GAGCCCGGCTGTTTTGGTATTTTTCTGACTCATTTATTTACAACGTGGGCTGTTATCGGGATCATGTCTCTTCCCACAATGGGGCTAGAAAAATGCAGAAGTTGCCTCCTATAAGCTGCGTCCCATCACACATTTCTGTACACATTACAGCCTCTCCGATGTTTTATTTTAATTTATTTCAGAAATGGAAATTAAAACAGAAACTGGTAGCTATTTGTTGCCCACAGTGCTATAATAAGGGCTGCATATGCCCCAGTTTGTACGGAGAGTGAACAGAAGGAGAAAATATATTCAGATAACAGTGTTCACTAAAATAACTTCTCTTACCGTATCAAAGAAGCACATAAAAATGTCAGAAAGTTTGCTTGTTGCTTTAGCTAAGCTGTTTGGGAACTGAAAGATTTTACAGTCCACCGTAATGAGCACTGATGCCAAGTCCTGTGTGCTCTCTCCCCTTCGTTTTATCAAAGGTTAATGTTATACGTTTATTTGTTGCTTCAAAAGTCAGGACTTACCAAGAGGCAGCAATGTGCAGACAATCCAAACAAAGCCCTAGCTCAGACTAAATACAGGCTCGGCCACTAAGTTTGCAAGGGAATTTTTATAGCATATATTGTTACTCGTTCAAAAGTCACAAACGTCAGTTCAGTCACAGAAAAGCTGATGACTGATGCTTTTGAGATGTAACTTTAGCCAGAAAGCTGGCAGGCAGAGTGGACTGACAAGGTGGATTTTACTCTGGGTTTACACATTAAAAAAGTAACACAGTAAAAAAGAAAACTAGGTAGTTCCTAACTTCGGAGTTTGCACACGCAAGACTTCACTTTTCAAATAGGATCTTTACAGGTCCTTCAACCAAACTCTGATCAAAATCTTTTCATTTCTTGGGGAATAATAAAGAATGTGTGAACTCGTTGAAGCCACTGTGCTCCAGATAGACCAGGTGTCACATATGGATAACAAATAATACTTCTTGCACAATACTTTTTCATTCCGTACAACAGCTTCCACTGACATGATAGTGTATCAGCACATCAGGATTCCGATTTCAAAGTTTAAAATGTTCTCTAAAAAGGCAAATGAATATTTCTGCAGGTAACCCCTATCGAAATTTAATTTTGTTAAACCAATCCTTCTCTAACAATTAAATACTCAAGAGGAAGGATGGCGATAATCAGTGTCAGTTAACGGGGCTGTCTTCGTTGGAACTTTTTGCGAAACAGGGAAAGTCTGAGAAATGTAGAATTCAAATGTAGCGAAAAAAGGAATGAAAAAAGTTTGGAAACGTGCTACTGGCCTCCTCCCAAGGCCCAGACGTTTCAGTAATGAGGGGTTAGCAGTCGGCTTATTGTTCCCAGATGTTGCCCGTATTAGAGTGAGCCTTTGAAGCAAACCCAAGTCACCAGCACTTTTCAATCTACTTTTAACAGAGACAGACACAGGCAGTTCCTTAAAGTAACAGTACCTCCCTTTCTAACCCATCAAGGCTCTGTCATGGGAGAATTTGTTTCCTCTCCCAAACTCGCACTGAACTTTCCATTCAGAAGACTTTGCTTGCAGTTAGAACTGTTAAAAACCCTACTGGGCCTGCAAATGAGCAAGCCGCTTAAATGTGAACATAATTTTCAAAAAGTCTTGTCTTCCTCCGCTCAGCCTCAGCATGTAATATCTAGCGAGAGTTCTGCCTTTTTTGATCAGCTAACTAACACATTACATCCGCAAAAACCTAGGATTGGTGGTTGTTTTAATTCCTTCCAGCCATCATTCAGCACTGTGTGTTTTTCCTTAAAAATTGGGTGGGGACGTTTTGCCTATTACATTTTCATTATAATATAGAATGATACGTTTGTAATAGTTCCTGCTTTATTCTTGAGGTAGTCCTTTTACACTCTACTGTTACGAAAGCATTAAAACTGCAAAATTGTAAGTTAAGCAGTCTGTTTTTCACTGAATTGTTTTCCTAACTGATCTTGTGTGCGTGCCCTGCGCAGTTCCCCGGACTTTATTGTGCCTGCCTGTTATCTGGCCCTCTCGCAGAGCACCCCAAAGTCGAAAAGCACCAAAAAGACAATACCAGCAATAACTGGAGCAAATGTTGCTGAGGAAAGCAATCAGCAGCCACACAGCAATGACATAGCAGTGCAGTGTTGAAAAGCACTAGTGAGGCGTTTTGAAACCATAGCAAGAGTACAATACTTCAAGTACATTTCTCCTTGTGCTTGTGCACAGGCATTTCCATCTGACCACAGGGCCACAGTACTGACCCAGGCAACAATACTAACCACAGCGCCACCGTGCCTAAAAACCATCAAATGCGTTTCTTTTGATGCTGTTCATGCTTGGTATAATTTGCGTTAAGGGCATTCTTTTTCTCCCCAAAAAACAATAGTTCCTTTCATTCTTAAAAATATCGTTCCGTCCGTGTCTCTAAGCTCAATTTTGAGTCTCTTTCTTTTGCGACATGTGTCTTGTGTGAAAATTCAGTATGCGATCCAGAGTCCGTTTAGGATGATTTACTGACATGCGCTGTGACGGAAATGTCTAGAAACCATGGAGGGTGCAAGAGGAGCCCAGCCCCTGCCTCTGGGTCAGTGAAAAGGGTTTTATCTTTCAAGCCCTGCGACCATAAAGAGAAATCCTGCTGTCTAGGACCGGCATGGCAGGGAAAATAATTCCCCCACCCCCACCCCCGAAAATCGTCTGGGACAGACGTCTGCTGGGCGCCATCTGCCTGGTGCTGGGTTTTGTGATCTGGTCAGATTGAGGGAATCTTGTAGCCGTGGTGCTCTTCTGTTCCTCCCGGGAATCTCTCCAGCCCCCCCCCCTCGGAGAGAACTCCCGCGTGCTAGCCCCCGCAGGGCGTTCTTCGAAAGAGCCGGAAATTTGGGTGAAAGTTGTGGACTGTCCTTCCCTGCTCCCTCTCACACTCTCTGCACCCATCCCAGAAGCCCTCGGCACGCAGGAGCACGGGGGCCAGGATAAAGCTCAGAGATGGCCGAAATATGTTGAAGAAAAATCTATTCTTCAGTTTCATGGTCGCTCTCGTTTTCAGTTTTTTGTTCAGTTCCAGCTTTAACAATGATAATTCCTTACGCTGATATAGCAGCTAAAATGTACCAGTCACCAGCACACAGACCAGCTCTCCGTGAGGAGGAGAACAGAGTGATGAAGCCAGTTCATAGAGGGGGATTATTAGGAGGCCATGACTGGTAAAGGCCAGGGGGATATTTGGCCAGGATGGCGGGGTAACACCCCTACTCTTTTCAAGAAACACCCTGGGATTTTTAAATGGCCACAGAGAGTCAGGACCTCGGTTTTATATCTTATCCAAAGTACAGCACCTTTTTCAGTCTAGTGTCCCCCATCACAATACTGTGGCCTTACCCACGCAGACCGCAGGGTGAACAACCCCTACTGGTTCCACTAACACCTCTTCCAGCAGCAACCCTAGCTTTCCCAGGAGGTCTCCCCTCCAGGCACTGACCAGGCTCACACCTGCTGAGCTTCAGTGGGTTGGCAGTTGTGAGTTGCCGGGTGAAATCGCTGTGGGGGAAATTTGTTTGGCAGCAGTCTCCAATACAACAATACAAACGGAAGCCAACATCACCAACAAAGAGATCGGGATAACAATTGTTCAGGAGGTAGAAGAATGACTGCCTTTTCTTCGTTAATGTCTGCAATGGATAACTGACTGCGGTTTTCACATTTTCTCATTAGTCTGCTTGGAAAAGTTTTACAAGAATGTGTCTCTTTTGGCTTTGGTGTTAAAACCCATCAGCTCAGCATCATAGATTTCAGTTTCAGCACCGAGCCAGCTGGTGTGTGTGGTTGCCTTAAGATATTTCAGTTCTGGTTAGGATAATTAAAGCACAGCTTGACACAAAGTGAGGTGTTTTAACCTCTCATACTGTATATTGCACTGAATAATAGAATTTTCACTGTGTTAGTACGACCGTTTAGGAAACAGAAAGCAATTTCCCTCTAATCCTCAATCATCATCCAATCTGCAACGGAATTGATAAAGAATCGGAACTTTTGGATTACATTCTTTTATTCAGTTTCTCCATTGCTATAGACATGGATGACAACCTTATCTTTGATCTAAAAGTGTGTCGTGGAATATGACTGCTAGCTTAATCTAGAGTTGAAGTTGGGTTTCTGTTACTGACTATGAACGAAATATGATGTAGAGATGTTTATTGCAAAATTGTGGTGATTTATCACCACTTTGAACTTAAACCAGACAAATAGCTATTTTATTAAATTTAGAGTGTACACACATATTTATCACAAGACGTCCTTGAAGTTTAATACTGAAGCAGAAAGTAAAAGGAAAAGCCTGGAGCTGTATCCTCATGGCACAGAAGTAAATATTAGTAGAGGTATAGAGTACAGAGACATACACTGCTGTGAATGTAGATACTTCATTGATTCAACTGATATTACTTCAGATATTGGAGGGTCTCTAGGCAGGTATAAGGTTAGTGATATTAGTGAGTATGGTGGAGGTGATTTTAAATTCCCGTGGAAACAATGTCGACACAGTCTAATCAGAAATCCATAATAAACAACTCATCTCCTTCCCTTGCCAGTATAACGAACGCACCCCTGCATATAACAGGGATCTCAGCCTGGGGAGGGGGAGGTCTCCTTTAGCTCATCCGGCAGGATCCCTGTTGTGTGACACTGGAGACCCAGGTTCGCGTCCAGGCAGTGAGGGACGAACTGGCAGGGCAGGAGCAGCAAGGGCAGAAACCCAAGAGAGCCATTACACCCGCCATAACCTTTTATACCGACGAGTAAACTGCACCGATTACCAAAAATTGCAATGTGCAGAGAAGCATGACCGCAGAATTTTCCCTTTGCTTGAAAGCGTGAAACACTGAGGTACTCGTCAGGCCCATTCAGGGAATTCACTGGCCCTGCGGGCGCAGGGATTTCAAGGCTGTGAAACGAGCCTCCCCTCACCTCCACTGAACTGTCTTGTGCCCCCTCTGCAGGAGAAAGAGAAGAAATACATGCTACCGGTGGACAACCTGAAGCTGCGAGACGTGGAGAAGGGCTTCATGTCCAGCAAGCACATCTTTGCCCTCTTCAACACCGAGCAGAGGTGACTCCCATGTGCATATCTCTCCTGTATCGGGCTCGGCCCATTCCTGTCCTCCAGAGTTCTGTTGGGTCTCCTGGCTCGGAGCCCTTGATGAGATTTAGCTGAGCAAGTCTTACAGTGTTCCCAAGACATAGGCAATTGATGATTTAAAGATAAACCTGTCCCACACTGTCCAGTAACCTGGTACACCTGGTACACCTGGTTACATGTGCAAGCTCACATGTTACATTATAAAGAGGACTTAGTAGCTTTCTTTAAATGGTACTTAACAGCTATGTCCTGCTTTGCATCAAGAGTCAATTAAACACCTGACTGATTGACAGCATTGTTACACTATAGATCACAGAGACCAGATATAAGGTGTGTGAGATGTGTTTACATTTCGGACGTTATTATAGACTGCAAAGGAAAATCTCGCTTAACAGCTTGCAGTAATGAAAGCACACACAATGACAAAACAGCACAGCTTCCGAAACGGGACGAGCAATCACCCTCAACTGCAAGCGCTGTGCTTGAAACGCAAAGAGAAGAAATTCCAGATTTCCTGGTGATCCAAGGTGAAAAGCGATCAGCATTGCTCTACAATCATTAAAGGTTGTTTTTTTTATCAATTGGGTGATTATATTGATTAAAAAAACTGAAGCACATCGTGAAATGAAAATAAAACCAGAAAACTGCAAACCCTAACTGTGAAAAAATGATGCCATGGCCAAACTCATTATTTGATACATTGTACAATTCAATTAGTTTGTTGTACACATGTTCATGTAAGGTTTTTAGCTTGTCTTTCAAAAGGACCTTATCTATTTTCAGGGCGTCCAATACATAGGGAAAAACATTCTCAATTCAGAGACACTAAACAAGTATTTGTTATAAAATAGATATGTATAGTTGAAGAAAGTCATAACTTGAGTGAATACGATTAAAATTTGATGATTACATCACTACAGGTAGAACTGGCTTTCAACAAATAATTCTGTAAGACCTTCTTGCATGTAAATACCTGTGTGCTTTCAAGACAAATTGAACAACTTTGAGACTGGCCTCTATGGGGCCATATTTCTTCAAAGATGTTATTAATTACATTTCCACTCAAAAGTTGAAAAACTTAAGTCACGAATGAAAAAGAGCAGCTAAATAGCAGCCTCCGATATATTTTGAAGCTGAAAACAATGGAATGCACTTTTAACATGTATGTTACCGAATTTAAAAATGACTACCAAAATGTGCTAAAATGCATTTCATATATATTTTTTTATTTTTGCTCAAAGATATTTCAGACACAGTTTGGAACTTAGAATACCTGCCTTTTTACATCAGACCATAAACAACATAACATGTACTACAACATTTTCAATTTCAGCTAAGGTTAATTTCAAGGACTACAGTATGTGCCCAGAACTGGAATACGTCTACAAACATAGCTATAATATACCTAAAGGTTTTGCAATATATAATGAAACATTTTGCTGTAAAAGCCTAAATATAGCTCGCAAGTGTTTGCTTTTTAGTATTCTCTACCCTACATCACGATATATGTTCCAGTAAACTGAGCAAAATGTTTCTCTGAAAATGAGCTTGTATGTTTTTAAGGGTTTCCTAAAGTGTGCATGAAATATTTTAAACCTAAAAACTTTCAGTATGGTTTGGCAGTGATTTCTAAGTGCTGTTGCATATGGTTCTAATTACATTTCTGCAATACTTTTTGGGTATTTCATTTCCATATGGGGCTTTTCCCATGTGAGGAACAAGAATGTTGTTCTTTCAAAATGGCTCCCGTCCTACCTGAGTGTGGCGTCATGGCTGCCCTCCGCTTTCCCCACAGGAATGTGTACAAGGACTACAGACAGCTGGAGCTGGCCTGTGAGACCCAGGAGGAAGTGGACAGCTGGAAAGCCTCCTTCCTGCGGGCTGGTGTTTACCCAGAACGCATTGCGGTACGACCAGGGGTTCACTCCTCCATCGTTTGCATGCGTTTTCAAAACTGCACCACCCTGAAACCAACGGCAAATCCAGGAAGAACTTCAACCGGACGTGTTCTGCTCTTTTAAGTCATCTTTTTGATTTACTTTGCAGCCATATGCTTACCGCAAGAGTTTACCTTACTTGGTATAGTGAAATGCTAATGGTATACACAAACATCGAGTGCATACTAAAACCCCCCAAAAGCTCAGGCAGCTCTCTAATGAGAATATCAGTATTGTCATTGAAGATTGTAGGATTTTTTCATCACAAAGATAACCCTAATACAGGGTGGCGCAGTGGCTAACACTGCTGTCTTGTTGCACTGGAGCCCTGGGTTCAATTCCTGGGGTGCTATCTGTGTGGAGTTTGCATGGGCTTCCTGTGTTTGTGTGGATTTCCTCTTGCAGTCCAAAGACATACTAGTAGGATAATTCCCTTCTGAGACAACTAGCCCTGGTGTGAGTGTGTGTATCTGTTGTGTGCCCAGAAAAGAAACTGGGGTCCTGTCCAGGGTGTACCCTGCCTTGTGAATGTTGCTTGCTTGCTCCATCCTGACCCTGAACTGGAAAAACAAACAGTTCGAAAATGAATGGATGGCTGGATTTAAAAACAAATATGTCTACTGCCTTGCATTAAAGGTAAACCTTTCAGAGAGATGTTACAGCGCAGCTGTGTTAAGGCTAATGGAGCTGTATTGCTCAGGACTCAAATGAACTGTAAAGCAGAGACACATCAGCCAGCCCACACCTGCTCCGATCATAATGTTCCCAGATACCTCGGCCGCATGCTAATGCTAACCTGTTCAGCCCGCCTCTTAATGGAAACATCAGCCTGCTGAAGCAGAGCTGCAGTCGATCAAGGCCAGGGAGCCTGGGAGATGAGGCTGCTGTTTCCACAGTCAAGCTCCACAGCTCCTGCATAATAATAACAGCGCAATAATTATTAATTAAAGTTTTCGTGACGTGTTATTAAATCCAAAGACGTGAGTCTCCACCCGTGTCTATGTGCCACTCTGTGTTCATTTAGTGTTAATGACAGTCTCTCGTTTCCATTAAGCTGCCCTTGCTCTCAGTCAGCCACAGAAAATATCACATCCTGTAATCTAACGGCATTGAAGACCTGCGTAATTAAAAGCTCTTTCCCCGCTGCTGACCCCTGTAACATTAAACACGATGCCTTGAATTCGTATTAGACTGAGTAGGCAGCAGCAGGAGTTACACTAGGGTGATGGCACACACTTAAGTGTTGATGGTCAGTTCTGCATCGCAGACGGAACATCAAGCCCTGTGGAGTTCATGCTTATTTTTTATTAATACATTTTCTCTCTTTTTGTCTCGTTCTTGTTTTCTCTTCAATATGACAGGACAAGGACAAAGTAAGTACCTGTTCTTACTGCTAGAAACATCCGTTCCGTTCTGCTGCTGCTTCTCTTTTTCTGTCTCCTATCCATGAAATCTCAGTGGTTCTGCCTGTGGTGCCTTGTAGCGGCAGTGTGGGGTTTCACTGATACGGGCAGCGTTGGTTCGGCTTCACGTACAGAATGTTTCTTCGACCAACAGCTGTTCCCTTTTGGTTACATGGAAAAATAGGAAAGTTAACATCCTGTCTGGAGGATCAGAACAGTCCCTGTTTCAGATGTCTCCCTTCATAAATCATTAGCAATGCCACTATTCACCCAGAGAACTGTAAACCGTATGTGTAACACTGACACCACCCCTCGGCTTTCTGGGAAGCACTTTTTGCACACCAAGTAAGCAACAACAACCTAGTGTTACATGGAACCTGATCAACTGAACAAGAAATTACACATTTCAAAACAGGAGAAGGTAGTGTATAAGGCAATTTACCCGGAGCTCTGACTAGTGAACTGTTTGGGTAGAGCGCCCTCTTCTGGCAGGATCCCATATTAGATATTATGGAAGCAGCTAGTGTGTCTGATTCTGATCTTCCAGTATTTGGGATTGCTCATTTCTGATCATAGGGCTGTGTGATTTTAGTAGGGGGGTGAGGAAGCACGCCAGAGCTCTTAGTTTTTCCTTTTCCAGAGCTGAAGCAGAATGTCCTGTTTTAACGAATGTGCGTTTTCTCGCTGCCTCCAGCAAAGCGAGTCGGAAGAGAACGGCTCGGACAGCTTCATGCACTCCATGGACCCGCAGCTGGAGAGGCAGGTGGAGACCATCCGCAACCTGGTGGACTCCTACATGGCCATCGTCAACAAGACCATACGCGACCTCATGCCCAAGACCATCATGCACCTCATGATCAACAACGTGAGTGTCTCTCACCCCCTCACACCCCATCATGAAGGTTTTTCTGTCTTCCCAGGCCGAACACAAGATCATCACGCAGATGAGCTGAGGTTGCAATTACAGTACATACAGACTGACTGGGGAGAGAACCATGCCTTAAAGATTGGCAGTAGATTGGCTCTTCTATTTAAAAATATTTAGTCTCATCTATCCACCTCTAATTTGGAACCGCCAACTGTTTGAAAGCACAGCCGTCTGGCTTTAATTCCTGTGCTGCGTCGGTAGTGAATGAGACACACAGGCGCTCGTCATTTGACACAGTGCCTGACAGGAGAGCTAGCCGATCACCGATCGGCAGAGCAGCTCTGGCAGCAATGCAAGCCTGTAGTCTCTCGGCTTGTGTTAGGAGAGCTGAAACCTGGGGCCGGGCTGACCAATCCAAGCTCTAGCCTGGCGGTGACCAGCCAATTCTTTGATGCCAGCTGGGTAATCATGCTCACGGTGGGTAAGGCTCGCTCGTGCCGCAACATGGGTGCCAATGGAGTTCATTTTATTGTAAGTGAAAGGCACTCAGGAGCCCTCTTGTGTTTGTCATGTTCTGTTGCTGTTAATTTTGTTCTTCCCTTCTCCTCCCTTATTTCACTGCCTCTTTACCTCCTTCTCTTACTGTATATTTCGTTTACTTGATCGCCTCCTCTCTCTGTTTCCCTTATCGAACAACAAATCCTGTGTCATTTCCTCTCCCATCTCTCCGGCGGTGGCCCCTGTCCCTTCCACCCAACCTGCTGTCCAGACCAAGGAGTTCATCCACGCCGAATTGCTGGCCCACCTGTACTCCTGTGGTGACCAGAACACTCTGATGGAGGAGTCCGCCGAGCAGGCCCAGCACCGCGATGAGATGCTGCGCATGTATTATGCCCTGAAGGAGGCGCTCAAGATCATTGGTGACATCAACACCACCACCACCAGCACGCCCATGCCCCCACCCGTTGACGACTCCTGGCTGCAGGTCACTGGCCAGCTGTCGGGCAGGAGGTAATAATAATTAAGAATTGCTTACACTTTTAGAGCACTTTTCTGGACACTCCACTCAAAGCGCTTTACAGGTAATGGGGAATCCCACCGCCTCCACCAGTGTGCAGCCCCACCTGGATGATGTGACGGTAGCCATTGTGCGCCAGTACGCTCCCCACACACCAGCTCTCAGTGGGGAGGAGAGCTGAACAACTACTGGAGCTCAGGACAAGACAAGTCAATGTAGAAAATGATATAGTTTTTTTTTTTTTAGCATTGCATTTTCATTATTTATCTTGGTCAAAATAGATCCTGTATTTGTACATCTGTGAGATGTATAGTGTGAGTCAGAGCCACGAATAAAGCTCTTAGGTCTTCTCTTTAACACAAAACAATGATTCAAGCAACAATAGTTTTGATGAAACTCAATTTCCATCGAAATTTTGAAATAGACTGGGAATATTTGAGCTGCCGTGGCAACATGGCTCCCCCTGCTGGAAAAGAGATGAACTAGTGATATCACTGTAGATCAGAATGCTGCAGTCTTCCACAACCCTCAGATCAAACTCGTCTTGAATATTCTGTATCATCGCTTTTCAGTACAGCTACAGGAATGGCTAATTCACTGACAAAACAGCCAAACAAGGGGATGTTTTTTGCATGAATCTGACTGCAGTGTATCATATTCTAGTGCTTTAATTAGTATCATTCCCCTAAAACAGGAAATGCACTCTTGAGCAGCTTCCTCCTTCATTCCCTTTAAGCTGTGATTGACCAATGCAGAAATGCCAGCAGGCCTCCTTTCACAGATTTTATAGCTGCTTGTGACACACCTCCCCAGGAGTCAGTGCCCAGTGTGTGTGTCGGCTCTGCCCTGCAGGTCTCCGACGTCCAGCCCCACACCCCAGAGGAGAGCCCCCGCTGTGCCACCGGCTCGGCCTGGGTCCCGGGGCCCCGCCCCGGGCCCCCCCCCAGCCGGGGCGCCCCCGGTGCCCTCCCGTCCCGGCGCATCCCCGGACCCGTTCGGGGGACCCCCTCCTCAGGTCCCCTCCCGACCCAACCGCGCCCCCCCCGGCGTCCCCAGGTGAGTCACCCTCGCCTGAGTCGAGCCCCGGCTGTTGTTGGTTGTTTTGTTTTTTTTTCCAGTCTAGCACGGTGTCCCAGGTGAACATGGTGACAAAGCAGCCCGAAGCAGAAGTCGCTCCCCACCGAGGGCGATCTTCACCCTAAAAGCCTCTTTTCCAAAGCCAGCGCTCTTTCAAGCTCTCAAATCAATTGAATTAACCCAAACTGTGAAAGTATAGAATAGTGGTGAAAGGCTATGATCACCTGAAAAAGATTACATTCAATTTCTCTCTAATTTCCCTCCAGGCAATTCTCTGGTTTTCCAAATTTTACACAAAGCAGCCCAAGGCATTGAAATAAATACCGTAGATAGTCAAGGAAATCCCTGATTGATACTTGAGGTGTTGAGTGCAGAAGGTTTTCTGTGCAACCGAGGCCTGGAAGATCTCCTATATGGAGTGGACGCCAGGATTAGAGAAAACCATGTTCATTTGAGAACCATCTGGAATTTAAAAACAACAAAAAAAATACTTGCTACAAATATCCCTGGTGTAAAGATTGTTGTGTCTGGGGGTTATGTTGATGTGCTGATACATTAAGCTGAGTAGGAACTGCTTGTTTTAAGCAGCGTTTTCATGATGATCTCAGTGGGAGATCCTCTGATCGTCATTTTGATGCTATATGAACACCTAAGGGATCTAATCAGTGTGATGCTGGGTCTTTGCCCCTCCTCTCTGCTCCCTCGTGTTCGTCTCTGACGTTGAGAGCCCCTGTGTCACTGTCAGCCCCCCAGCCCTGTCCGATAGCAGCTTGTAAATGGACACCTGAGCCCCAAAACTGTGTCTCCCTCCCTCTCACCTCTCCTTTGGCCCTGTCACCCCTTACAGCCTCTGAAGCCCCAGATGCAGTCAGTCTTCTTCTTATTGACAGCCCACCACTGCCCCAGTGCAGGACAGTAAAGAGACAGACAGAAAGAAAATGTTCAAGAGACAGATAATGAGAAACCAGCGTCTGGAATCCCTGCTGAATTCCTGGAGAGGCCTTTGACTTCACCGCAATTTGATTCAACATTTTAGTCTGGGTTTTTTTTTTTACAACAGCCTATTAATTCAGATTAACGCCACCATCTACGAATAAGTCCCCAGAAAGGAGACACATAGTCCAGGTGACTCCTCTGTCACTCATGTACAGCGAGTCTGTGGAAAGACGGTGTTGATCTGCAAGTTCAGTTAACGAACGTTTCTGGATCCAAACCAGGTTCCAAGAGTTTGAGTTCTATACAAATCAGACCTGACAATCCTTTCTTCGGTCCAGATCTCTCAGATTCCCTCGTCTTTCCCCGCAACACAAAATGCTCATTTCTTTCTACATTAGATGATTTCTTTCTCTTTCTTTTTGTTGCAGTCCTTTTATTTTCAATACTAAAAGGAATGATCTCTGAAAAACATATTTACTACACTCACAGTACATTTACTTACAGTTTTAACCCTAGAAAACGCGGGAAACGTTGTCAGTATTTACATCGGTCTGTGGCTCTTCCACCCTCCTCCTTAAACGCTGACGATAAGTGTAACCTGCCATCGTTCCAGCTTCAGAAATCCTCCACACTTTTCTTTAAACCTCTTTGGGTTTTTTTGTCTTAAATTTCCTCCTGCCAAAGCCACCTCCAAACATCACCTCTTACTTTAGCTCCGTGATGCGAAAATATTGAAGAAGTGCCTGAGGGGGTTGTCATTGGGTTCACCCAGCCCAAAGGCTTCTGGGATCCTGTGTGTTTGTGTTCTGTGTCAACTCCTCATCCCTCATGCCTGAGCTATGTTAACACCCCTTAGGGGAGAGGAAGACGAGTTTAACCCTATTCTTTCCTAACACCTCTCAGCTGTTTGCACGAACATCAGCACTATCGTACTTTCGTATGCTAACCATCTGGAAATGGCGCATTTACAACAGGAGACACACACTACTGTCCAAGACTCATCCGACGAGCCTACACAACAGCACTGTTCAAAAAGATGTTAAAGGGTAGTCTCATTAGGAAACACTGTGATGTGTTGTGCTGTGCTTGAACAGGTCTGCTGCCTGATCTGGCCTATTTTCCTTTCTCTGTGTTAAGAAACATCAGCCTCTGTTTTTGTTCAATTGGTCAGTGCCGTTTGGTCTCGACAGTGTGTGTTTCTTCTGTTTGATCTTAACCTCTGATCTTGCCCCCCTCCCCAGCAAAAAAAAAAAATCTCGCTCCTTTTCAAGTGCCCCATGTTGATTGACTATTATTTTTTCAGAATTACAATCAGTGACCCATGAGGACTAACGCTAATGGTATGTCTTGTACTTTCATACCGTGATTCTTCACCATCATCTCGATGCATGGCTCATGACTCTCGCCATAATTCTCACCACCTCCCATTGCCAAAGCTCTTAAACTACTAAATCCAACTGCTACCACCAATGCCAGTAACAACACCTCCCCCTTTACTTTCAATGTCTGACCTAAATCAGTGAATGAGTCCATCTATCCCAGTTCTGGTGATACTAACACCCAGATATACTGTAGTCTAGATCACAAAGATGAAAGAAGACGACATGTTTCTTTCCTTCCTGTGGGTAGGAGTTTGGTTACTGGGATATGTGTGGTGCTTCACTAAGATGCAGAAAACTGGGTCATTCTCTAAACTCAGCCCTCCCAGAGGGTCCTGGAATCTACACTCACTGACCGAAATGTTTGTAATCCCACATTAAATGAAAAGACTACCAGCTAGAGGCATTTCATAGTTGGAATAAAGGCAGACCTCCATCAGCTTCCTTGGCATTAAGAATTCTCTTTTCTGAGACCAGGCCTTCTTGGCAAAAATCTAGAAAATTGGAATAACGCACTATTTTGCTTCTGCATCAGATTGGAATTTGAACTAGTGCCCTAGTGCAATATGTGCAATTGCTTGTTCTTACTTCTTGCGATGGGCTGGTGTCCCATCGTCAAGGGTGTGCCCTGTCTTGAGCCTCTGGCTTGCTGGGATAGCCTCTGGTTCCCCCTGCGAACCTGAATTGGATGAAATGGATTAGGAAATGGGTGGATGGTCATGCGCAGTCTTCACTACTGCTGTTCTTGAGCTAAAGTCATAACAGAGGGGCGGTGACATTTTCCGCTGTCTAGGGAGTGATGCTGTATCATATACCACGATCATATTCTAGTAGGGGCCTGGGACTGCTCAACTCTGTGTGTCTTTCTGTGGCACGCAGGGAAATGTGTGTTTGCTAACAACCAAAAATACCCCCAAAAAGTCCTTCACCTAAAGATAAATTTATAGAATAGATGAATAGAATAAATAAATAGAAAAGAGGCACCTCTAATCCTTTCTAAACAGAAATAATGGCTGCAAAGCCCAGATAAAACTAGGAAAGGACAATGCAGGAACCCAGTGTCCGACAAAAGTTACCTGATTTTATCCTGCATTCCTTTGGAAGCAACCAGGACAGCTGTGCATAGTCTTCAATGTTAGTTAACGCTTGCCAGAATTAAACAGCACTTAAAATACAACCAATCCAATGCAAAGAGCATCATGGGGAAAGGTAGAGATCTCCACTTGGGTCAACAGGAGCTGAGGTGTGTCTCTTGAGACGAGGTGAAGGTTGAAGTGATATTCTTTTCTAGATATGACGAGGAAGAGTAAAAAGACATTAGCTACAGTCTACTGAGGGGAAGGCGCAACAGGCTAAGAGGCGCCTCTGGAGAGCAGGCCTGCAGCTGCTCAGTAGGGTTGGCACTGATGTTCAAACAAATAATCCATTGAGTCCATAGAGACTCGGTAAACACTTTCAAAAATGTGTGGGCTGCTGCTCTCATCAGCAGTTTCTGGGTTTTGTAAGTTACTGGCTTGCAAACACTCCAGCTATGCCATCATTAACACGTTTCTTAGTTGGAATGGAGAAACAGATTTTGCCAAAAGGGAGTATTTTAATGAATTAATTGCTTACACTTATATCGCGCTTTTCTGGACACTCCACTCAAAGCACTTTACAGGTAATGGGGATCCCCTCCACCACCACCAATGTGCAGCATCCACCTGGATGATGCGACGGCAGATTATTATTTAGAAATAACCTCAATTCTCTTTTTGGTAACTTATGCTCGTCTCATATTCTGTATTGCCATTAAAGTCTCGTGATTCATTTACAGTTAACTGACATTGGAGCAGAGAGGCACTGATCTCTTGATGCTGGCGTTCATAAACACCTTACACACACGCATGCATAGACTGTATACCACCTAACAGGATTTATTTTTTAAAAAATATCTAAAATCAGCCCCAAAGGGTCTGCTGAAGGAAAGGTAAGCTTTTTTTAAAACTGGGTTTTAACTTAAGGTAAAATGGGTAATGTACAGACAGTACTTTCCAATATCATCATTTATACACAGGGCAATCCCAAATAAGTCAAAAAACCAAAGTGGAGTGCACTAGGACAAACTTTCAATTTGTGTAGAAAATGCCCAATGTGTACTCACTTCTCGGGCCTTTCCATCATGGGATAAAGATTATTATTTTATGTTATTATTTGATAACACTTTTATCCAAGGGATTTAGTTAAAGATAAAGCTGTCAAAAAATACAACTTACAAAATACTACATAAAGCGGCTCTTAACATAAATGTATACAAAGATAAAGAACAGCCAGTACATTTGTCAGAGCAGTGTCTGGTGAACCAAAGATGTGAAGAAACAGTTGGTATAGAAATCCTTTCCTGTAGCCCCTTTAACCTGGAGTAGCTCCATTTGAAAATAATGACGTTTCTATGATGCGCAGAGGAAGAGGAAGACGTACATTTTTAGGAGTAAGAAAGTCATTTTTTTTGTTTTCTGTAAAGATATGGTTTCTCCCACGGTTCCATCGTGTGTGTGTTGGTGTGTCAATATGTGCCTGTGTTCGTGTCAGTATGTGTTTCTGCTATTGTGTTAGTGGGTGCGTTTCTGTGTCAGTATGTTTGACAGTGTGTGTTTGGGTGTAATAGTCTGTTCTGTAGTGTTTGTGTGTGTGAGGACGTGTGTGCTCCTGACTCTGAGGCACCGGTGTCTGGGTCTGTGGTCGCCACACTGTGCCTCAGACCTTGCTCAGGGATTGCGAGGGTGTGTGTGCTGGGGTGGGTGATGTCACTTCCTGTACCGCTAGTTTATCGCTGTTGGTGTTGACGGCTGTCCTCTGTATTTTTCTGTCTTTGTTCCCTGTGTCTCCTCACAGCCGGAGGGCTCCTGCTTCACCAACCCGACCTGCAGTGTCCCGGACAACAGAGTCCCCCCTCTTAGATCTCTAACCCAGGGTCCTCATGCGATCCTAGGGCTGCAGTAGACCACCGACATAGCCCTGCGCCTAACTTGATCTGCTCCAGTAGACCTCCCCCCTGTCCCTTCCCGGAGAACATGCTACACAACACCCACTCGCACGCGAAAAAAACGGCAAAGAGCTTGTCCCATTCTCGTCTCGTGTAGTGTAGATCGTATACCCGACGTGCTTCTTATACTAGTCCAGTATTTGTATTTCGTAGAAGTAGAGCAGAATGACTCGTATCCTCTTAAAGATGTGCAGTGAAGTCATTGAATTACATCCAGCCTATAGCTAAGGTAGGGGAAAACTATTATATACAAGATGCATCTGCGTTTCAGTTTTTGGTCGATGCCTCTCTCTCAGCGGGCGATGGAGGTCTGGTTCGGTCAGCGTAGTGTGTGCTCGGCTGGCCTACGCCTCCAGACTGCTCGACGAAGCGCCATCAGTGCTGCATAAACAGCTCTTTGAGTCCTGCCTGGGGCCTGGAAAAACGCCCCCCCCCCCTCCTGTCTCTGTGCCACTCTGCCGTTTCCGTTTTCAGATGTAGTCCAAATCCGTGGGCACCGCCCTGTACGTCTTGGTCTTTTTTCCCCCTCTTTCGCCCGTTATCGCTCACCCCCTCTGGAGAAAAGTAAATCCTGCACCCCCAAATTCTGTCAGACGAACGTGAACTTTGGGGACAGCAACCTCCTGCCTGCCTGAACGCTGCTCCACTTCTCCCGATACGCGCTCTGCTCTTCCCCTCCCTCCTCCCGCCCCACCTCCCTCGGAACTCTGGGAGAGAGCCGCTGTCCTGGTCGACCAACCAGCAGGCAGCACTGCGTTGGGCAGCCAATGGGGGGAGGGGTGGATTGGAGCACTTGTTTGCTGGCGCTTACTTCCTAATTGTGTGACTTCTTTTTTTTTTTCTTTAATCTTTTTTTGTTTTCTGCATGTCCTGAAGGTGTTCCATGAGATGCAATATTCCTCGAGGCTGTAGGAGGGATAACTGCATTTTTTTTTTGTTTGTTTCCTGTCTTTTCTGTCCAGCTTGGGCCTGTCCTTAATTCACATGCCAGCAAACTGACCCCGGACCACAAAGTCATCTTGCTTTCCCCTTTTCTGATTAGCCAGAGGTTAGGACCCGACAGCGCACACTGACCGTGTGACTGCCAGTTGCAAAAGGCAAAGTTTAGTAAACGATAGTTAAAGCTTATCCACAAGTCAACAGGTATTCTGATTAAAAAACAGACCAGACCTTTTCACATCAGTTAACAGCCATCAATTGCTTGCTCAAGGACTGAGAAGAGTAGAACATTTATTTCAGTCGCTGCGATTTCACAAATAAAATCTAGTGGGTTTTACTTTAAGGACCCAAGAGAAATGCTTACCGATGGACTGATCTCACCCGGTGAGATCTAGCATTTCTACTCTGTTCTAAACTTCCAGTTACTATGATATTCCAAGCAATCAGAGAAGATTTAGATAAGCTGTTTCTATTAAAATTATAGAAGACAACAAGCCCAAGTAGAATCTTAAGCAATCAGAAGTGTTTTCCTTTAGCCTTGTGAGCTTTTAAGATGCTTGGCTTAATCTTTGTTCCATTATTTTTAATAATAATCATTAATAATCATTTTCAATTTCTGTAAACCCCCTTATGATGCTCTGAGTTGCTCTGTTTCACAATTCATTACCATCTCTTGCCGATGCCTTATCAGAATGCCAGATCAGGTTTGGCTTTAGAAATCTTTGCTGATGGGTCACCCCTTTAATATTTTACAATTTGTTTTCTGAATTATTTGAAGAAAACTTCCGTCAGAACAGTTCATCGGCACATGCGCCAAAGCTTTTGTATAACTGTGCGAGACACAGAAAATGAAGGCAGCTCACGTTATTTCAGACTGCACCTGCTGAAGCACAAGACCAGCCAGGCATGTTTAAAGTCTAGAAAATATTAAAATCCCCTGAGTCACACCAAGCAAGGCAGCAGAGCCACTTTCAGAAGCTCGCTGTGTTAGAAAAAGCAATAAAGACGTTCAAAGCACAATCTGAAACGCTAGCCGTTGATGAGCATTTTGAAAAATGGAACGAGATTCCGTGAGTCTTTTGAGATGGAGGAGAGATTCATGGTGCTTGATTTCTAGGGCAAAAACAGATCAGGTATAATAGATATTACCTGTCAGTTCACCTGCAAGAACGTGTGCTTTAGGCTTTGCACGGAGAAAAGCCTCCTTTAGTTCTTTAAAAACATGCCCGTCGGTGAATACTGCTTACCTGTAGATTCAATAATACTGGGGGCCGCAGAAAAGGGGGGTTTGAAAACTAAGCATGCTTCCATGCAGAATTTCTGACCCAGGCATTCATTTGTTCTCTTTTTCAACCCCTCCAGAAGATAGAATTGTCTTTCCTAGATATTTTCCAGGGTGTACATTCATGATATTCAGTGGGAATGTCGAGGAGCACAGATATGAGGCAGGCTGACTGGGTCGGGGGTCGGGGGTCGGGGGTCGGGGGTCGGGGGTCAGGGGTCAGGGGTCGGGTCTTCTTGCTGGCTATGTTGCGATCAAGGGCAGCCCTCGGTTTTTTTTCCCCCCCTTACCTGTTGCGTTCGTCGACTTCTCGTTTCACCGTTTTACGATTTCCTTTCTCTTTCTCCCCCCCAACCCCTCCTCTCCTTTCTTTCTCCCAGCCGACCCAGCAAGGGCAGCCCTTCCCGCCCCGAGAGCCCCCTGCCCCCCTTTGACTCGTAACGGCCCTCCCTCCCCTCCCTCTCCCCTCCCCCCCCCTGCACCCCGGAGACCACCAGCCACAGTCACGGCGGAGCGCCCTTGGAACCTCACCTCTCCCAGCAGCTCGTCCCGTGTCCTTCATGGCGACGTCTCAGGATGGTTCCCATTAAACACACTCGCACGTACAAAAAAAAACAAACAAACAAACAAAAGAGACACAAACCGGGGGGAACTGGGCGAGAGGAAGAGGAGAGAAGCTTCCCAGCACCAGGAACCCCGTCGCCTCCGTTGCCCAGAACCCCTTCCTCCGAGACCACGTCTTGTAGTGCCGGTGTCGGCCGCGTCAGTGTCGTGCAAAGTGCCGTGTTTCGTGCGAATCGTGGGGAAAAGAAACGTCCCAACGCAAGCCCAGTCCCCCTCCCCCTCAGCTCTCCATGCAGCGAGCTTGGAGGTGTCGGGAAGGTGTGAGGAAGGACCGCTCTTTGATAGACGGGATGGCGTGAACAGGACCAAAACGAGAAGCGCGTTCTGCCCCCCCAGCTGCGGTTAATGACATTGAAAAACCGGAGGAAGGGGGTGGAGAGTTCCGAAAACCTGAGAAAATCTTTTCTCCTCCTGCTCGTAGGGGCGTAGGGAGAACGAGATCTGTTTGACGTGAGGGAACAAGTTCACATTGGAGAGTGGGGTTTGTTTCCGATTCCCTACAGCCCGGCCTCGGGTCCTAATCGCTGCCTCCGCAACAGTGCCTTCATTCGCGATAACTCTTCTGCTAAAAAAAAAACAGAACCAGCGTGAGGCGGGGATTCAATTTGATGTGCAATATCCGATTGAAAGGAATCCGTGATGCAACGCGGATTCCACAGCAACTACAGAAAAAACGCTCAGTAATAACAAAGGCACTGTTGCGACTCCAGCATTTGGAACTGTGGCTTGCCACTGCAGGTAGGCCCAGTAAGGTTACCCCCTTCAGAACAGACAACGGAGCAGGAGATGAAAAAAGGGGAGAATATGGAATTCCTGGTTTTACACAAGAATTAAAAGCTAACAATCATAACCAAACAATCCCTTGATAAGTACAATGAGTGAAGGAAAGAAAAACCTGCAAGATGCCTACACTAAGGCTGGTTTTTGTTTAGCTTGTGAATTCTAGGGAAACATTTATGCTCAAGGATCTGGGGTGGCAGCTTTCGTAAAGTCTGTAACGGCTGATCACCATCATTAATGACGTTAGATGCAAAATCCAAAAAGAGCTCCGCTGTGCCCGAAGCTGTACACTTATGGTGGAAATCGTGGAGTAGTGGTTAGAGATCTCAATCATTTCAAAGGTTCCCGTCTAGCAAAGAATACTTCAGGGTCTGGTCTTTCTAGAAATGCACCACACAAAGCAATATTTGCTGCTAACGTTTAGGACACACTTGTTGGTTAAGTGTGAATGACAAAGTCGGGGGGTGAAAGTCATTGCATTTGCTGAATTAATGATTTGCAGGACTTCCAAGTCTTTATTTTCACAAGGGAAAATAATCTATAGACTCATATATAGTCTATGTATGTCAGGCACGATAAATAATGGGAAATCAGAATTGTTTATCGTACTATGCCTTGAATGTCAAATTTCACATTAAGGATCTGGGGGCATGGACGAGAATAAAAAGTCATCACGTGAATCATCACTGGCAAAGTGAGCACAAAACAGGCGACTTAATTCTTATGACTGCTTCTGCATGTTATCTTAACTCTAGAGAGCGCTGGAGTTCATCTGTCAAGGTGATCACACTCTGACATGGCTACCTGGCAATGATCTTTCAGAAAACCGAACCCAAACCAGCACTGTTATTCTCTGACTATTATTCTATCCCTTTTCTTGTCCAACACTCCCAATTCTCAGAAACATCAACACACAGAAAACAATGATCACGGACATATCTTAAACGTGTTATGTATCTTTGTTGTGCATATATGGGAATTGTGCTTCCATTGTTTAGATTTTAGTAAGATGTAAGAAATAAATGATTATGAAAAGTGATTGTGCAAAATTATATATGGGGGGGGAAAAAAATCGGGGCTTACTTTCAGTCGGTGTATTATAAATATTCTTTCTGACGAACTGCTTACAAGGCGGAGATGCTGGGAGTTTCAACCTTTGAAACAAAGTGAATTTGTGCTTATCTGATGCAACACGTGTCCTGTACTTATTGCTGTTGGTTGAATGATGAGTATCCTATCTGTTAAACAGGGCCGTGCCTTGTAAAGAAATAAAATTATGTTGGTGTGAAGCCTCTTGAGTGCCCGTTTCCTTTCGATCCAGGGATTTTGCAGATTTAACGGTAAGGAATTCAGCTAATGTAAAAGAAGCAGCCTGTTTGCTTTTGCTCAATCATGTTGTTTTTATTCAGGAAAAGGTTCTAACAGGATAAATCACAATCAGAAATCTGAGGACAATTGCAGCTGTTCGTATTGTCTCGATATTCATTTTAAAACTGATTCATTTCATGTTTATTCCAAATAAATATTTGTAGTTAACTTCAATCTGAACTATTCCCCAAACACCTTTCATTAGATTTACAGGTAAATAATGCCAGAGCTGCAAAAAAAAAAAAAAAAGGCTGCAGACCCACTCAATCTGTTTTAAATCTACTTAATGAATATACAATATGTTACACAGTTACAGTATGTACACAGTTCCTTTTACAGAGAACATCAACTTGCACTTTTTGTCTCCTGGTCGTTCAACAAATTCAGACACTCAACCCTGGAAAAAAATGTGCAGGATAGAAAAAGATCAGAAGCTGGAAAACACTTCCAAGTTTGTTTGTTTTTTTTTTTGTTTCTCGTGAAGACGGGTGCGATGACATTGTCCTCATCTCGGCCCTCGCAACGAACAGATTTTTAATAACTACCCCCAGAGGGAAGGGCTAGAAAAGCCCACAGTTACATTCAAAGATGGCACACCTCCTCAGAAAATAACAGGTCACCGAACCCAGAACTGTCGGGCTAAGCTTGTTGAGTTTCCTGACTTAACTATAGTATTTAGGGATGTTCAGCACTGCTACTGAAATGCACAGTATAGAAAATTATTCACAGCAGCCAGCTACCTCTTTTTTGTCCCACAAGTCCTAGTCTCCCTTGATTTATAACAAACATGTTACAGCTTCCCCACTGAGATGTTTTGAATAAAGCAGTTAAATAACAAGCCTTATCTCACTCCTTCATAAGGGATGAAGTTCTACAAGCTTTCATTACTGACATTGCGAAACAGGATTGCTACAGGGTTTAGTATTAAGGTCAGCTACTAAGATGTACGCACGTTACTTTTCGTAGTGTTTTCTTCTCGGCGTTTGGATTTACAAAAAGATTGTTCTGGAGTTACAAAGATTACTCTTTAGTGACATTCAATTCCCAGCATGTCCACTGGTTCGATAAAGTAATTCGGAAGCGTTTTCTTAAGTGTTCGTAAGTACAGTTTGCTTGGCAAAGACAACATTCATATTGTTCTCTGCAACAGTGTTAAATCTTTAAACCAAGTTTGTTCCTTACCAGGAGCTAATTTGTTTGGACGTTTTGGATTTTCCAATTTGGACCAACTTTAAAAATGTATCCCTTTTGCCGACAAAAAAAAAAATTGTTTTACACAAATTAAATGGGTGGGAACTGATTATATTACTAGCAGTGAGCAACTGTGGAAACTGCATTAAAAAAATGGACCAGAGTATTCCAGACCTGGTCCTGGAGAGCCACAATCCTGCACATTCTCTAGGTGGTGTTTCAAAGGCCAGGGAGACGAGATCTGCACACCTGTTTAAACTTGAATCGACCGATAGGCTTTCAGAGCTCAGCTGGAAGGTAAACCAGTAAATACTACAGTCATTAAGTACCAGGTTTAGACACTCCTGTTGTAGAATAGCTGTCCTTCAAATGCAATAGGAGTGAAAGCATGGCAAATTCCCTAGGAAACAAATCTGGAGGGGAAGGCAGAGACAGCAGAAACCCGGTCCGGATCGACTGAGTGATGGATTCAAACAAAAATAAGAGACAAACTTTGATCTTCCAACTAGGTGAGCAGCTGGGTTTATTTCTACAAAATACAACTCTGGCTCCTGAAATACTGTTTCTTGAAGAGCAGTCATCTTGAGATGGCCAGCAAGCTGGGTGAAGGGATCTATGGAAACAGCCCAGGGTTTTGTTTCTTATTTAATTCAGGGGATCCTAAATTAAGTCCCATTTAAACTGCTCACAGTGTTCTAATGGTGATCAGCATAACTACTTCGGTATCCAAGCAGGTGAACCTCCTCCTTCCCATATAGTCCAGTTCATTCAAAAGGAGACAGTGTAACCTCGGGATTTAATGATTATGATTTAGCAGTACACAACCAATCAAAACACTTCTTTTTCCTTCGCTGTCTAAATTCACAAATCATGAATAAATTCCATCTACCCTTCACCGAAAGAAAACTCGCTTCAGGGTGACACGGAATGCAACGTCTCTGGGGTCTGTCGGCCACAGTTAGAAACTCATTCAAACCAGAAGGCTATGATCTCAGGCCGTCTCAATATCAAACTCCTTTCAGTTTAAATCAGTTTAGACTTTTAAATAATGCACAATTCTGGTGCCATGTCCAGGTTATCCCCATTGCTAGCTGGCTTGTGAAAGACTGTAACAGGAAACTAATGAGAGGAGGACAACTAACAGGAAAGCCATATTACACTGAATTAATAACCTTATGCTACAGATATTTTGAAGAAAGAATACCAGATAGTGTCAGACCAGACTCCTTTGTCTGGATATTCCAGAGTGCAGGTAAAGCAGATTTAGATTTCAAGTCTGAACATTGTGACAAAAGCAGCGTTGGGTGACACTGGTAGTGAACTAGACTCCATAAGAATTCCACGCTGCTTTCTTTTATGCTGTTAGCTGTCACACAATATCTTAACTGCTCTTCAGTTAGAAATCCAGGATCACCTGGTTGTGTTGAAATACCAACACAAAACCCTGCAGTAAGAAAAAATTTGATGAACTACTGTGAAAAAGCTGAAAGTGCTCTTTGGTCTAAGCAGAACTATATGTACAAATGAGACGTTCAGTCCTCGGACAATGCCCTTATACCCCTCCACTGAAAGCCAATGCAGTGTAGACCATTCCTACATCTTTATTAATAAACCACATCTCAGAGGACTCAAGTTATAAAGAATTAACATTTACAAAGCAAACAATCTTGCAAGTCAATCTCCTCGTCTCGCTCGTTATATTTAAATTACCTAGAGACAATCGGACAGCGTACGCAAAACACCTCTGAGACCATCAGAGGTACTGTAGGGAGACCATATCATGTCTTCATGGGGACACTTTGAGACTGGGCAGGATTTTAAAACTACCCTTAAACTGAAAGACCATTTGTAAACGGAGAGCTGACCCTTTGCTGAAATGAATAACACATGCTTAATGTCACTAAAGAGTAAACCTAAAGCCGTTCATCTGTTCCTGACAGGTGCAAAATATGACTGGTTTGAAAAGTGTCATTTCAACGAATATCCGATCAGTTTCATGTTGACTGTGCACGGAGATTTAACACCAATTTCCATCTCGGTAAAGGTGTCAAATTGAATTTCCAAGTTAACGTCTTCCCAGGGCAGTTTTTGGTCTCGGTGAACACAAAATCATCAGTATCAGAGGATTCTCGGCCAAGCCTCACTTAAGGGCTTGGAGGGTCACTGAATTCTCTGTCTGCAGCTTGCCAACCTCTCTTTATATCAGGCTGTCCTCAACAGAACTTCCAAACCCAAGCCCTACATAGACAAGAACATTCAAGAGTGCTCTTTGTCCACTGCGGACTCAACATAGAACAAAAAGACAATAACACAAGTCTGAGGTTTTTCTTTTTAAATTGATGACATGTGGCTTGATATGAGTGGATAAGCCTATTGTAAAGTAAAATCATGTACGATATTTCACAGCTCCTTCCCCTCTGGGAGAGGACTTAAGGAAACATTTATCACATCTTTGAGCACACAAACACAACGTTTGAGCAAGAAACTCCTTAGCATTCTCAAGTTTAAAGCTTCACACTAGGCCTTCCAGAACTGTTTTGCAAAAGAGATTCCAATGCATTCATCTTATCAAAAAGGGGCTGATGTAAAAAAAACAAAACAAACATGTTCTGTCTTCTTAAAAATTCACAGCCCGCAGAACAAGTTGCCCTTCTAGGACGTGTCCAGTTTATAATCCTGATCGACACTATATGCACTTTTCCTGCACAATTGACAGAATACCCAGTGCAGTGGGAAACAGTTGACAATCATCTCCTATAAACTTTAGCTTCATGCAGGAAAAACACCCCAGCTGCTGAGACAGTTTATCAAGACTTTCCAAGTTTCATAGTTGACTATAACCATGAAGGAATGGTGGCAAAAATTCACCCATTTCAGTCTGAAACTGTTAAAATGACAAGGACATGTGGAAGGTTATACAGAATAGTCATTAAAGGACACTTCACCCAAAAAAAAACTAACAGCAGCATTTAACTGAACAATCTGGTTACCGATTCCCCTTAACCCTGTCCCGTGTCCTTCAAGGACATGAAGCTCCATCATCTCAGACATTCGGCTCTCACTCATGAGAACTGGCAAGACCCTCCAGCCCCCAGGTGATCACGCTGCTTCAAGAATCCTCTCCAATTCTTCTGCCTCGTTCTTAGTATTCATTCTCATTTATGAGATATGATCTCAACTCAACCTTTAGTGCTGTATCCTCCCTGAACAGAACAATGCAGTGCTGCATACATATGCACATCGCATGCACATGAACAAAAATGCCTGAGTCAGTTTCGAGTCTGTGCTTTGGCGTGTCATTTCCCTCGTATCGGATCGCAAATGGATCGTTTCCTACACCATTTTCACCATGTCTGCTACTATAAAGATCTCCTCCCCCTCTAGTATTACACGGGGTAAGTAATGTACATTTACAGCTGACATGGGTGGAATGACACAGGCCGGCCACTTTGAATCGGAACGGGACATCTAGGTTAAAACTCCTGCCTTACGTTTCTGCTCAACAAATATCATCAACAGACTGCTCAATTGGGAGGTTTCACAAGAGTCCACTTATTCCTGCTTAGAAAGCAAAATCTTAACAAGAAGGGTAAGCTCCAGTCTTCCTGGTATATTAACTTCTTTCACTAAGTGTTATGACCTCAAGGTAGACTTTGTGGATCTCTTCTTTAATACAAAGTGCATTTCTCCTATTCTACTTGTGCAAAAAAATTTGTATGCAGGGTTAGGAACACCCCCTCGCCACCCACCAACGATTTCTAAACATCTTCACTTACATTGGCCAGAAGCCTATGGCACATTGCCGGGAGGCAGATATGGTCTTTCTATAGGCCAGGGTTGACACCCTTTTCAAATCCACTCATAAAACTAAGAGATTGCGGTATGTCATGATACTGCTTTTTATTGCACCCACAACTCCCGATATCAAAGGGGCTGCAAAACCATCCACCGTTCCCGAATCCACTGCAATCAGGGCATTAAAAACACGGGAGATTCAGTAATATCAAGCTGTGAGTATCTGCGGAACACAGCAGAGCCACCAGCACTCCCTCGCGACAGTTTTAAGGCCACAGTTGATTACCCCTCCACTTAGATCAGCAACAAAAGGGGGGAGCAGATAAGATATTTTATTCCCCTTCAACAGAAGTAAAAAATATTTCCAGTTCGCTGCTGAAAGGGGGCATGACGACAACACCAGTTCCTTTTGCGATTAGCTGGTCCAATCTTTCAAAAGAAGAGTGTTTCTTCACAATAAATAATTGGGGGAAAAACCAGGAAGGACACCGAGATTAACTGCATGCAGCCCTGTTACTGGGACCCAGATCGTCCAGGGTGCGGTGTGTGATCGACACGTCGTGGGGGGGGGGCTTGTGGCGTCCTGGGGCTGACCTGACCTCAGCAGGGAAGGGCAGGCTCAGACCACCAAGATCTTGACCTCGTCGTTGTCGTCCGCGCGGTAGAAGAAGGGGATGCAGGGGTTGTCTCCGAGGAAGGGGGCGGGCCGGGCCTGGGGATTCTGGATCTCCTGCAGCAGCTGCATGATCTGCCGGGCGGTGCCGTCCTCCTGGGGCCGGGGGGGCTGCCCCGCCTGCCCGGACAGATCGCCCTCCGGCGCCGCCTCCAGGGAGCTCAGCTCCGGCGCTTCTGCAGGGGAGGGAGAGGACAGATCGGCTCGTGACTCTGGATTCTCCAGCCCCACTCCAGGACGGGAGGAACCTTTCGTAAAAGCAACCGCCCCGATGGAAACGCAATCAAATCAAGTGACGCGCGTGGAGAAAATCCTGCGCTGGCTGTCGGGCTTATTATCATTTTTTAACTCCAGAACAAACCTAAAGGTGTCCAAATTCGGGAGATCCTCAGGAGTCAGAAAGGGTGGGATGTGGCCAGTCTGTCTTCACTGCGGAGCGGCCGGAGGCAGAGAAAATGCTTACCTGGCCCGTCGGTGGCGTTGAGCTCTATGCGTCTCTCTGCCGGCGCGCTAGGCTCCACGCTGCTGCTGGGCAGCAGGTCAGGGTTGCTAACCGAGGTGATGTACTTGCTGTACCACTCATTCCGCTCTCCCACCAGGCGCAGCACAAGGTCCTGCAGCTCGGCCAGCTTCGCCTGTACAGACGCACACGTTCACAGCGCTCGAACATCTCTTCGCTTAGGACTCCCATTTTCTATCTGCCTACATTCTGTCTGAACTGTGGCTTTATTAAGAAGCGGAAGAAAGCTGTTGATCGTTGGGTGGGGTCAACTCTTTTCGCTCTTTAGCTCTGTTAAATCTACTTGCACATCTGCCACATCAGGTTCCTACACCTTCATTTACCAGTCTCTACACAAACGGTAAATGGCAAAACATCTGGGTTTTGGCTAAGCTACAGAAACCCCCTTCACCATGCACAGGTACTGCCATGCTAGGCAGACAATGTACATGGGTTATGATCGGGGGCTTGCTGATTTAATGACGAGTATATAAAAAAAAAAGACTTTCCCCAGATACTGTCACGGATAGAAGCGACAATCCTGATTACAAAACAACAGATTGAAATTCAGATATCAGATAAGCCTACAACAATCAAATAAGGACATACACAGTCCTGGTGTTTCTTGCATGTTTTAGGTACAGATTAGAGGTTGCACTCATCCCTTTTTGTATCGTTTGGATCTTTGATCTCAATCTCCTCTCTGGTTTCCTTCCCACTGTGTTTAAGCCAGGTAGGCAAAAGTAATTGATGCGGGTGTTTATTCCATAAACAGTATATTAGAATCTCTTGCAGTGGCTTTCTGTGGTTGTAGAACCCAAGAGGAAATGTAATAGTGGGGAAAGTGAAGATGGTACTGGGCTGTGGTGCGAGGGGGAGATCTTAGAAGGAAATGCCAGGAAATCTACAGCATCTGTACCTTCATTTCCTCCTTGTCTTTGGCCAACATGCTGATATAGTGCTCCTTCTCCATGTGCCTCTGCTTCATGATGGCTCTCTGACTCTGGTACAAGGCAATGTACTCCCCTGTAAAACAGACCACCGCCCACTGGAGGGCCTTCATTCCACACATCACAAGATTGCCCAACCCATCCCGCAATGCAGATTCCTGGAGTCACACAGATGGCTCCGTTGTTTCGCTCAACACCAAGAGTTTTTCCATTTGATATATGAACTTCAGCCAACAGGAGAACATTTTGAAAAAATGGTTGGGTTTTGTAGTTACCAACCAAGAAATCAATGGGGCACCTGTTGTCACCTACACATGCATGGGCAATAGCCCGGTACAATATCCACAGTCACCAATTGCTAATCCCCGTTTCAAAGACATGTTTTCACATCAATCTGATTTTTAAAAAACTAAGCGTCCTCGGAGCTGTGCAAGCTGCACAGCCTTCAACACTAGTATTAGGGAGGGCGTGTTTTGCAGAAGCACACTGACGTACAGTATGTGATGTGCAGAACTGACGTGTTACTGAGGTACAGTAGTGCTGGCCAGTGGAGGACCCTTGGCATGATGGGAACCTGCAAGGCAGTATGGGAATGTGCTTCAGCCCCTAAGGCGGCAAGCCCTCACCTATGGTGTCCGTTTCTCCAGACAGCTGTATACAGCGGTGCTCCAGCTCCTCCACTCTTTCCTTGAGGTCTGCCTTCTCCTGCATCAGCGCTGTGAACCGTGACTAGAGACACAACACAGGAAGAGAAGAGGAGATCACTCACTCACTGGGACTGAAGAATGAGATGGTGTCATGGAAAACCACACCACCCCCTCTTTGGCTGCGAGCAGTGCATAATTGATCCTCTCCTGACACTTCCGAACAATGGTGCGGGAGATATACTAGAAATACTACAATGCAAAGCTGCCTTCTTTCACCTGTAAATGGATTTCCACTTGTATCTTCGCCAGCAGCCATCTCACCCTGCAGCCCTCAACTGGCTACCCGCTGGAGCTCAGCAGGGTCGAGCCTGGTCAGTACCTGGGTGGGAGACTCCTGGGAAGCTAAGGTTGCTGCTGGGAAGTGGTGTTAGTGGGACGGGCGGGGGATGCCCACCCTGCGGTCTGTGTGGGTCCCAATGCCCCAGTATAGTGGCGGGGACACTATATTAGTGGGCGCCATCTTTCGGATGAGACGTTAAACTGAGGTCCTGACTCTCAGTGGTCATTAAAGATCCCCGGGCGTTTCTCAATAAGAGTAGGGAGTTATCCCAGTGTCCGGGCCAAATTCCCCCCCCCCCCCTCGGCCTTTACCAAACTGTCCCCATGTACGATTGGCTTGCACTTGCCCTGCGATGGTGTACCCTGCCTTGCGCTGGGCGCTTGCCAGGTAGGCTCCGGCATCCCACGACACCGTATGGTATAAAGTGGTTAGGCGAATGACATGACATGACTCCACGCTTACCTGAAGCTTTTCCATCGCTGCTCTCAGAGCCTCATGTACTTCAACTGGCACGCCGTCCCCAGCAGGGCCTAAAAAGAGCAAAACCACATCAAGGTCACCAGATTCACAGTTTGTCTTCCATGGTCTTCTTGCGCGGTGCGTTTCCCAAATGTTTCCATCCTGGCACATGGGGTTCATGTGAACCACGTGACCTTCGTGAAAACATGTAGCTTCAACGGCTACTACATGTTTATTGCTTGGAAATCACACACAATTTGTTTTATTTAATGTGGTGGAGACACCACAAATGCCAAGTGCACAGAAACCAATAAATGCGATCGACACTGATCAAAAATGGCACGTTCTGGTGTAATGTTTTCCACTCCAGGCTCTGCTCCCTTCTTTAAGACAGGTGGGAAATGCCCTACCTGCAGCAGCGGTGCTGTGGTGCTGGTGCTCACTCCTCAGTGCTGCCACCTGCTGGAGAGCGGCCTGGTGCAGCCGCTGCTCCTCCTCGTACAGCCTGCTCACCTCGTCCCACTCTCTCTCCACCTGCGACAGCGCCGACTGCAGAAAGGCAGCCTGCCAACAGCAATCGGCAGGGACAGAGGATCAGGGAGATTCTATCGCCGGGCAGGACTCTCAGAGCCGCAGCGCGGTGCACACAAAACAAAACTACAACACCGACGGCTTGGAACCAATTCTTTACATAAAACAACACAACTGACAACCTGACATAAAATAAAAGACCGAGACAAGTGAAGAGGCCTTGTTTTTCCTCAGTGAAAGTTGGGAAGACTGGCCTGATTTCGTCTTGCAAGAGCACTCTCACCATTTCTTCCCTGCTGTCAAAATCCTCGGGGATCGCGATCGAGGCTTTCTGAAAGCTTTCAGCCGGCGATTTGCTCTCCACACCATCACCTAGACAGGAAGCCTGATATTAATACACACCACATGCCCTGGAGAACCCGCAGTGAGGTGCTGCATGTCAAGTGCTGGATTGTGCCGAGCCAATTATTTTGGCTACAAAATCGTAATGAAAGTAGACTTTTTTTTTTTTCCAACGACACATTGCTGGCCTTTGACGATTGTGACCCAGTCTCTCGAGAAGATTAAAGTTCGCCTGGTGAACTGGTGATGCCGAGGACATTATACACAATCAAAAGGCACGCAGTGTCGTATTATGAATTGCAAAAAGGTCTGACTCATTGAAATCAGTTCCCCTCTTTGAGGGCGACTATGGGAGACGCTTACACTGCATCTATTATTAAGATTGACCTAGAATACCCAAGCAAGTACAGACCCTGGTTATTACACTGTGAAATAAGAGAGGCAAGCAACACAGGATGCCACAGCAATAATACACTAGATATAAAGTGTGACACCGCTCCCCCTTGCAAAACAGCCCCCCACGTTCACCTCAGTCATACAGAACTGACAGTTTCTCTCGGGCAAACCCTACCTTGATCTCTTGGCTGCGTGCCGAGTCCCGTCAGCTCTTTGACCTCTGTCTTCAAGCTCTCGTTGTCTTTGGCGAGCTGCGTCAGCTTCTCCTGAAAGACATTTCGTCCAGAGCTCAGCCCGTTTTCGGCCTCATACTTCAACATGAAGACGAGAATACAAAATTCTGGATGGCATTTTTGTTCCTACATTTCCGGCATCCTGCAACTTTCTAGAAAAGCGTAAAAAGTATCCTTCTCCCTGCTAATGGAGATGAATATTTAACAAGCAGTCGCATTGCTGGGGTTAAAATTCATCAACTGACAGAAGTCATATCCAGCTTTTGGGTTGATTTGTATTTTTTTCCCAGTCATTAGATAAAGATTTGGATTATTACTGCTAAAAAGACTCGGGAAACCTTCAATAGCTGGATGGGATTATCAGATTAGCATCGATACAAACTAGACTGCCTCCTCTTTTTTGCAACTTTTAATATACTCTGAACAGAGTGTCATGAATTACACTGTAGAGATTCAGCTCCAAAGAAAGATGCACGCTCTCCCCAAATGTACTTTCCTTTACAGCATGGACGGCATAATTTCTGTTCTGTTACAGCCCTAATGGCCACTCTTTAGAACTGAACAGTCATTACCCATGGTCATTATGCACTCAGTCTAAGAGCTGCAGTTTCGTATTGATTCTATTTTAACCTCAGGTTTAACCAGGTTGAATGCCATTAAAACACTGATGAAAAATCCCCTGGAACACTTTTCCCAAGCAAGTGTTTTTCCCCCTTCTGTGCAGCTGAGGTGATCTAAATGTGAAATTCCTCTTTTTTATTTCGAATCGGGGATGTGCAGTTCCAGTCCTTCAGAGCCACTGGTGTTAATTACTCGAACAAAAAGTTCACTCACCTGATTCCTTTAGCTCTTAACCGGCTGCAAACTGAACAGCGCATTTAAAACATGTAGGAATCTGGCTCTTGAACACTGTAACTACCCATTTCTGCCCAATATGAATAAAAAATGAACAATGTACTTGAACCAGATGGGGCAAGTGGAAACTTCATGGAAGTGCATTTGAAATTAAACGCTGATTTTAAATGCAGGAGGCACTTCTTTAGCTTAAGAGTGGTGGGAGTATGGAACAAGCTACCTAACCGTGTTTTTAAAGTCATACCCTGTCTTCTTTCAGGAAATGGCTGAATGAGATCCTAAGGTCAATTAGCTTTTAACTAGAAAACAGCAGTAACTTCTTTTTAAACTTTCTCATGTTCTTAAAAAAAATTACTTTTACTTTACTTTCTGTAATCTGTACGGCAGTCACAAAGTACAGTTTCTGGGACGAATACTGGTATATGGGATTCAGCACAGTACAGCAAGTATGTGAGGGAATTGGTATGAACGGTCAGTGACCAACAGGACGTCCCAGAAAACAGGCTTGCCAGGTGACTTACACGTGAGCATTTCATTTGAATTGAAATTCAACACTGGGCAAACACCTGGCCGATATTTAAATACTGACAAAGCAGGAAGCAACTGAAGCTAGTTATAAAAAAAAATACAGGTGTTTATAGCTAGCCAATGTGAGAAAGCAAACAAAGGGAATTTTACTAGTTATAACCATACATTGTAAAACTGTTCAAATTGGACAACAGACTAGTTAGGCCTCATTTAAAGATATCATACAATGTTGGTCACCATGTTACTAAAACCTATTAATGCACTGGGACCGGGCCAAAAAGAAATGGCCCCTCTCATTTTTAATTTTCATTTAGAAAAGCTCCAAATTACTGAAGAGCAGTAGTACCCTCACTCTCGTGCCCACGTATTGCTTTAAAACAACTGATCTGTGCACTGATGTGTATCGGTGTGCGTGTTCTTGTCAGTGTGTGCCCTGTGATGGACTGGTATCCCGCCCAGGGCGCACCCTGCCTTGCCGAGCTAGGCTCCAGCTCCTCTGCCATCCCACAGCTGGAAGTCGCCGTGAGAAAACGGGTGGGCGGACAGGTGGATCGGTGCCTTTTCGACACGCTCGGGTGCGGCTGAGGAAAGGACAACTCTTTCTTATTTGGCTTTCTGTGTATCCCCTGGGTGCCCCCGGGGCTCGGCGCCCGGCCCTACCTTGGCCCGCTCCAGCTCTTTCTGGCTCAGCTCCAGCTGGACCTTGCCCTGCACCTCCTCGTGCTGTAGCCGATCCATCAGCTGCACCTGGTGCAGGTACTGCTTGTGCAGCTCCTCTCGCTCGGCCACCAGCTGCTGGTAGCCCGCGGTGTACTGCTGCAGGTGAGCCAGGTACTGGTCCCTCTGCTCCAGGAGGGAGCGAGCCTCCTGCGTCTTGCCCTCCAGCTGCGCGCACACAGAGAGAGGACTTCAGGGAAAGCAGCCTCACGGCCTCCTCTGGAAACGCTGCAGCGTCTACTGGCCCTCATTCAGGGCTGCTGCTCTGAACTTGGCATTTCTTGAGACAAGAAATCGGACCTCTAATTCTTTTTAATCCACCTTACAAAGCTGTTAATTTCAGATACATTAGTTGTCATAGTGGCTGTAAGCACTTAAATGCTAAAAACAAGTAGAGGAGTCCTAATTCAGTAATGATTCAATTAAGAGCTTCATTCAGAGCTCAGGTGGACGAAAATAACAACTGTTGTGAAATCACACTTTTCCAGGATCAGTGCTCAGTGAAGGGTCCAGGAAATGGCTTCATCTCCTATTAAGGAGCAAGAGGTATAGATTTCTAAAGGGAATCCCAGAGTATCTTCTGCAAAACTGGGATCTTCCAAGTAACGCACAGGAATTTACTTCCAGTATGTTCTAACTGGAGCTCTGTCATGTATGGTAAACAATTTAAAGGGCCACAAATTTTCACAGGAATATTCTGAAGCACAGGCAGAAATTTCACCTCTAACGTCTAATATTCACATAAAAGATGTTGTACCTGCTCAAGGCAAAGTACCCAAGCCAAAATGTGTTTTTGTTGGGGATTTGTGAAAAGCACTTTTCTTCTTGCGCTTTTTAAAAAGTTGGTACACCGTAAAAGGACACTGAAAGGAAGCCTCAGACGAGGCTACATAATTGGGCTTGTGCTATCGAGACACCTGAGCCGCACTCACCTCCTCCCTGGACTGGTGCAGCTCCTCCTGCATCTGCCCCATCTTCTTGGCCAGCTCCTTCTTGACATGCTGCTCAGACTGCAGCGCGCTCATCAGCTCCATATTCTCATTGGTCTGCAGGGGCGGGAAGAAAACCGTCTGCCACAGCCCGCCGCCAACACCCTGCCTGGAGCCCCTCACGATGGAGGGGCCTTGTCCCGGATTCTCGACAGGATCCGAGTCCATGTTGAAATTCCCCCCTCCTTGCAAGCAACGTTCGGCCAGGTGTGGCTCCTGTTTCTAGCTGACCTTTTACCTGTTTAAACCCCTTTCGTGGGACCTTCATTCACCAAACTGTCTTATGTGCCCCAATTCTACCTTCTGTATGGAGTCTGCGTGCTGTATGGCACTAGGCTTTCTGCTTTCCCAGTGCCGGAGTTCCCGTTAGTCATTGCAGGCACTGTGCCTATGACATTTTTAGGGCCTACGAAGGAGGGAAACACTAGTGACTAACGAAAAACGAGCTGAAACAACATGCTTGTGATCGACTCTAGGTGCTCCAAATCAATAATCATCCGCTATCTGGCAGGCTGTTCTAGAAACTGGAAGTATCGAAGTGATGGTTGCCCGACTCGCTCCGTCAATCACGTGGTTTAGCATTAGAATAGTTTCAAGTGCCTCATGTCAATTAATGCAATTCAGTTGGCGTGTCCCCCTCTTTTTGCACCTTTCGGAGTGAAAGTGCCTAGGGCCTACGAACACCAAAATCCAGCCCTGTGGTTTCCTCCCAACTCCCTTTGACACATGGGCTAGGTTAACTGGAGTCTCCTAATTGACCCTGTGTTTGTGCTTTTCCTGGAATGGCTGGTCTCCTATCCAGGGTGTAGGCCTGTCTCGCCCCCGTGATTCTGGGACAGGCTCCAGGTTGCTGGGATCTGTTCCAGGAATTTGCCCTTTTCTGATAATGGATGGATGCAGTTCTTGTTTTGTACAGCACTTGAAAAGATCAACAAAATCTCGGCTCTGTATCAAATACTTCTGCATGGTCTTCTTACAATTACTACTGTCACATACTCCCTCGTTACACTGCTGCCCTTTTCTCAGTCATGCCATTCATTTTAATGATTTAATTAATAACTCCATGCGCAACTAAAGCCTTCAGGATTGGCAACATGTATATGAATAAAGAACCAAGGTTTATTCCATGCTGAAAAGAGAAGAGAGCCGAAACGTTGCGTTTGCTCTCTTCTCTTTTTAGCATGGAATAAACCTATTACTTGTTCCTTTGCAGACTACGCATGCTGACGCAGCTACCCACCTCAACCACTTCTGTATATGAATAAACCCATTTGGTCTATCTGGCTCAAAATAATTGTTCTCCAATTGATGAAGTACCAAAAAAAAATGGTTATAATATTCTTATGGATGATGATCCATCCCACACTCCAGCATCCTAAAAGGCATTATTTTAAGATCCAGTGAATTCAGACACGGGTGCAAATACAGTTCCCGATCTTCCTCCTTCAAGTTCCTAAGGTGTTAATGTTTCTTTATCAGCCCTATACAATTTCTTGCATTAGGAATTCATCTTTTCGCATACCCCAGCTTTTCTCCATGGAGACACAGACAGAGAGAAGCTTGGGGTCAGAGCACAGGGTCAGCCATTGTACGGCGCCCCTGGAGCAGTTAGGGTTAAGGGCCTTGCTCAGGGGCCCAACGGAGTAGGATTCCTCTGCCGGCCGCGGGATTTGATCCTTAACCACAGAGCCCATCTAGCCGCCCTAAACAGATCTCACAGAGAGCCCACCTCATATTTGGTTCTATCGCAGTTTTTGATCGTGACTGACTGTACGGAGACGCCTGCCGGAGTCGGGAAGGCGTCGGGCCCCCCCGGGGGGGGGGGGGCGCGCGCTCTCACCAGCTTGACGAAGCCGTTCTGCAGCTCCGCCAGCTGCTCCTTGAGCTCGCGGTTCTGCGCCAGGGCGCGGCTGATGGTGGCCTTGTCGCTCTGCATGCTCTCCAGGATCTGCTGGCGGTCCACCGCGTCCTCGGAGAAGCGCTGCACGGTGCGCTCCAGCTCCAGCAGGCGCTCCTCCTGCTCCTGGCACAGGCGGCTCAGCTGCTCGTTGTCCCGGACCTGGGGGAGAGCGGGAGACCTCTGGGGTTTAGGGCAGCAGTGCAAGCTTCTTGACTTTTATTGGATAAGAGTGCATCATCTGATTAATAAAACAGTGTGCAGGTATAACAACAACTCCTGACACTTTTATATTATTATTAATAATAATAATATTTTCTGGACACTCCACTCAAAGTGCTCTACAGGTAATGGAGACTCTCCTCCACCCCACCAGTGTGCAACACCACCTGGATGATGTGACAGCAGCCAGAGTGCGCCAGTACTCTCCCCACACACCAGCTCTCAGTGGGGAGGAGAACAGAGCGATGAAGCCAGTTCAGAGACGGGGGTTATTAGGAGGCCATGATTGGTAAAGGCCAGGGGGAAATCTGGCCCGGACACCAGGGTAACCCCCTACTCTTATTGAGAAACGCCCTGGGATTTTTCATGACCACGGAGAATCAGGACCTCGGTTTTAAGTCTCATCCGAAGGTTGGCGTCTTTTTTACAGTATAGTGTCCCCATCGCCATACTGGGGCATTAGGACCCACATAGACCGCAGAGTGAGCGCCCCCAACTGGCCCCACTAACACCTCTTCCAGCAGCAACCTTTGCTTTCCCAGGAGTCTCCCATCCAGGTGCTGACCAGGCTCACAGCTGCTGATGAGCTCCAGTGGATTACCACTTGGGAGCTGCAGGGTGATATGGCTTCCTGGAGTGACGCACAAGCCTCACTCCGCGATGTGCGAATTACCTGGGCCTGGTACTGTGTGCTGAGGTCGTCCTTCTCCTGCTGCAGCTTGCCGAGAGCCTCCTGCAGGGCAGTCTCATTTTCAGAAGGTCCTGTGGGCTCGGGGGCAGCCTGGTCTTCCCTCTCCTGGGACAGCAAGGCTGTGGAAACACAGAAGAGCACTGAAGGGGCAGAGCAGGGGTGGAAGAAATGGACTCGGACTTCTGTTTTGCTTTACCATTTTGTAGCCTCTTTAGGCTTAAAAAAAAAGTCACTGAATCTAAAGGCCTCCGACAACAAAGTAAACTCCACTGCCAAGTCGATCTCATTCATCTTTAACAACCAACTTTTTGTGTGCACAACTAAAGTAATCAACTCATCTTCAAGCTGCAAAAATGTCCCCCAAATCACACCGAGTCTAGAGATCAGTCATTTTGAACTTTGGAATGGGTTACTTTTGCCACTGGCAAGTACTTTCAAAACCACTGGATGAAGTAATCAAACACACAATCACCTTCGAGGAAATAACGCTGTGGTCAGCTCATTTCTATGCAACTTAAAGATCTTTACCATGATTAAACTCTTTATAAAAATGAAGCAGGTGTGTTGCAGTAGAAACCTAGGAAATGTAGTTAGAAGAGAAGAGTTCATCTTCGCAACTGCTGATGACTTACCAGAGGCGTTTCTCAGCTCTATGACTAAGTTCTCCAGCTCCTGGATCTGAGTCATACTTCTCTCCTTCTCCTCTGACAGTGAGTTCACCTAGAGAGGGGCAGCAGGAAGGTGAATGCGGGTTTGGCTCATCAGTCTAGATTTATGTACAGTTCTTCCTAAGTTTAAACTGCAGGTTTACTTCCCGACAGCTGCAAACCAAGATCCTGTGTACACTGTGTGGTTTATTGTGCCTTTCATTCTTGCCATATTCGTGAGTTAAATCATGTCTCCCAAAATGTGTTAATGCTCTAAATTCTCTGGTTTCAGGTTTTTTTCTGCATCAGTGCCTCTGTGGATGTTTAGCCGATTAGAAATAAACAGAACTGGTAGTGATCTGGACTCTACATTGTTGTCATAAGTTAAGTAGGAAGGAACATAGCACATATGATCATTTCACTGTGAGACAAAGTAGCAGGAACAGAGCATTCCCAAACTGGAATATTCGCTCATTCAGCTTCACTAGAGGATCCTACATAACTGTGGTCAACATCAAAGAACTCGTTCAAATCACTAAGTCTGAAGTCACATTCCGAGTAACAATTTACTGTTTTTAGGTGGCAAATGTAAACGGGAGGGCCATTTTCACATTACTCCATAGCACATGTTGTCAGGAACAAGCTACACAGACAAGCTGTTGAAGTGGACATCCCTGGGAATAAGCTTCTACCAGCCAAGTTAAGATCCGTCCAATGGCCTTTAGTTTGAAACCTTTTTTTTTCATCTAAATGATATGAACAAAGATCAGTTTTCCCAGACAGTGCAGCTCGATGGCCTATGAACTAGACAAGGCATTTCTGCAGAAAAACGTGAACTCTCATTGGAAGGCTGTACTCAGATCTCCTCTTAAGGCCCCAGAGTTACCCCTCCAATGGTTGACAACGCTGTGGGTCACGAGCAAAGTCTTTTAGTATTACACTTCAAGTTCTCTCTTCTGTCTCTCCCCAGCATTTCTAAGGCAATACCAGAGGTTGGAAAGTAAAGAACTACACCTATAAAAGAGATTTTCAAGGAAAATAAAGGAGTGTGGAGTCACTGTGTATGAAGTGTCTACTTGCAACTAAACTGAGATGTTCTGTAAAGTCCACTCACCTGCAAACATTCTGTAAGTTACTGTAATATCTGCAAAAGTGAAAATACTTGCAAAATGACTTTGACTTAGCAAGTGCTTCATTTTAAATGAATGTCTGAGGTAAAGTTACTTTAATAACCACAACTCTCTTGAATTATTGCTGTATGGAGGTCTTTGCCTGTGAGAACACTCCAAGAGGCAGGCAATGACGACAACACACCACAGTAACAACGCGCTCTCTGGGAGGACATGCACTGAGGAACTGCAGTTACCTGGGAGAGCAGCTGCTCAGTCCTATCCTTCCACACTTTGCCTTCCTCCTGCAGCTGGGCAGCATACTGATCCCTCTCGGTCTTCAGCTGCTGCACAGACTCCATCAGCTGAAACAACAGAGGGTGACCCATTAAAACGGCACGTGAGCCGATGAGGAAGTCAAGGGCGATTTGTGTTACATTCAACACCTCCAAGTGATGAGGTCTCTGGTGAGCAAGAGATGTGTTATTTTGAACACTTCAGCCATCTGAGACCGTCAACCTTGAGCTGTTTTCTGTAAATAATATCAGTCGCCATGGAACAGTCATGAAGCACAAACATACACATACAGGGGTTCCTTCAAATGCAACAGTTTGTAAATAGTCTCATCTGCGCACACAGTCACATCGGACCAGGACTTGAAACAAAACATCACTGAAGACAACCAGTTACGCATCACTCTACCGTGTTTCACTGGTCAAAAGTTATTCAAAATAAATATGTAAATGGAATGTACATTTTTCCCCTCGCTAATGCAAAGAGCAAAACCTGGCACAACGACTCATCGTCTCAAACCTGATTACCCATCTTGATGACCATCTTAGAGAAGAACTACATCAATGTTTTACACACCTTAGTTCAGCAATTAAGATGGAAATATTCACCTTCCAGACGTTCAATTTTAAGATGTCAAACACTCACTTAATAACAAAGCAGGGATGTTTTTCCATACAAACCATTTTGGGAGAGTAGGGGGTTAAAGATCAAGTGGGTAAACTGAAGAACCACATATTTGACTTGAACGCACCGACTATCATTTACAACTTCTAATACCCAGACATGTCTGTAGACGGCCTCTGCACCCCACAACAAGCACACAAATGAAGCTGTTTAAAAAAGCTCAGCTGTCCCAGATAACACTTCCATGTCCTCATTCCATATTCTGTCCAGCTCAAGTTGACCTCCCGGTCTTCAGTACTCTCAGCTCTCACAGACTCATTGCTCCCACAAACCTGAGATGTCTGAGCCTCCAATTGCATCTTCTCCTCCAAGGCCATCTGGAGCTGCTGGTTGGCACTGGGTGGGCCTGACTGGCTAGAAAACTACAGGGAGACAGTCAGGTCAGGACAGGCACAAACAACAAACAATTTTGACACAGACAGTCCATCACCGTCTTTCTGAGCACTCATCACTGCCCTACCAAGCTAGTCAAATCAATCAACTGTATGTCTTCATCTTTACTGAGTTTATTATCAAGAGTAACAAATCTTTTTTAGTGGAGTGAAGGCACAAAACAAAAATCACTATAGCTTTTCCAGTCACCTCAAGGCAGAAAACAGGATGTTTAATTCTGATAGCTTATTCTTTTTATAACTGTGCCATTACTATCGGCTGGTAATTCACGGCAGGAACCTGGAATTGAGGCTTTAAGTCCGTAAATGTCCTCATTAAATTGTAAGATGCAGTTAATCAACTAAAGCCTCAGGCTGAGATGTAGGATATGTCTTCAGCCTGAACACAGTCAGTCAGATTTCACTTGTGCCTCTTGGTGAAACAGCACAAGAGCTGAACACACCACATGTCAAACATGGCCCTCCTGGAGCAGCTAGGATGCAGAAATGCAGCAGAACTATCGGAAGCTACAAACAGTATAAAAAAAAGGGAGAACCAAGGGATTCGGGAAAAAGAACATTCAAGCACTGCCGGTCAGAATGCTCGCCGGTGTGGTCTGGGGGTGCAGAGCTCTGACCTGTTGGATCATGAGGTCGGCCATCTCCAGCTTCTTGTGCAGCTCCTCCAGCTCCTGCCTCATGGCCGAGCTCTCGCCCGCTCTCAGCCTCAGCTGCTCCGACAGCTCCGAGCTCTGCTGCTTCGCCTCCTCGCTCGCTTTGCTAGACGCACAGACGCACAGGTCACGATGAGTAGGACAACATTTGCTTTTGTAGAAGATGTGATCAAACTCATCAAAATGGGGAAACCCCTCCAAACCCAGGCCTCGGACCCACCGAGGCCTCAACCAGCTTTAATTAGCCGACACATGTTCTTTTAGCACTGATTGAAGATTCTTTATAGATTGAAAAGAACTAGGCCTCTCCAGGAGCGCAGATGGATACTCCTGCAGAAGGGATGAGGGATTTTTCTTTAATACTAACCACTAAATGTCTAGTAAAAGTAACAGCTGCAGGAGTTTCTCAAATGAGGGAGCAGAATTCATGGCATATACAAAATAAACACTTTCACGAACAACAGAACTGACCGGCCCACCAGCAGCCAGCCACACAGCTCTGAGGAAGGTTATTATACAACAAACCAATAGGAAGGCAGAGGTGTCTTATATTCTATACCACGTACTTCAATCTGTAAACTTCCAGTTTCAAGCTGTCCCTTTCCTTTTCCAGTTCCTTATTATGCTGTAGGGGGAAAAAAAAAAAATCAAACGATCACCAATCGTTAAACTGCTAATGAAGTAAGACATTTCCAAAAGACGGACTTAAAACTTGGAGCTCAGGAGTGGCTATGACAAAGCAGATTTTAAAACCACTCATCTCAGAGTAGTGCTGCTCTAGCCCTCAATAAATTATGCTGTCACCCGGAGAGACGTTACAGCTGATTATTTGACGATGATCTCAATCGTCATTATCGAATAATCTAGTTAGAAACCAATGGAATTCCAATTGTTGGTTTCCCAAATACATGCCAAAAGAAAGAAACTAGAGTTTCATGCATGTTAAGTATTAATCTGTCTATATGAAACAAAAATAAAGTGTCTTTCCTTGTTTTTGGCCATTAGATGTATTTACGCAACAAAATCAAAACAGTGCATGCCTTGCCTATACAGGCGCTATAAAAACTGTCAGCTACTGAGGACTGGCCTGTGTATTACCTTTTCAAACTGCTTGTGCTGTGTGGACACTGTGGACAGGGTCCTCTCCAGCTCTGCCACTCTCTGCCTGGTTGCCTGCAGGCGGTTACTTAAGTCTTCTGCTTCCGCTGGGAAGAGAGGAAAATGTCACGAGAGAGAACTGAGGACTGCGCTGACTAGACTTTCATTTTCAGTCACCTGGTAAAACGCCAGCAGACAGGACCGGAACACAAGGTGCTGTATCTATCCATTGATATAACGTGGACTATCAGAGACACCCGCCCCCCTCGTTTCACTCTCCCCATTGTATGAGCAAACCTGGTTTCTAACACTGAAAATCCAACTGTCCAATTTCTAACCACTTAGTCCGATTCAGGGACGCATGGGGAGCCAGAGGCTATCCTGACTAGCAACGGGAACAGGCCAGGAATCACTCTGAACAGGATCGCCAATTTTGGCCAAAATGGCCAATTTTCCTAGAAGCAAGTTAGCCTACTGGTATGTCTTTGGACTGTGGGGGGGGGAACCAGTGCACCCAGTGGAAACCCACACAAACACGGGAAGAACATACGAACTCTATGCAGATCACACCCCACGTAAAGAACAAAACCCAGGGTTTCAGCACCGAGGAGCAGCAATGCTGACTACTGTGCCACAGTGCTGCTCCAGGTCTACAAACATGGATTTAAAATGCATTTAATACCAAATGCCAAAGCATGCAATTTCAAAAGAGTGTGATGACTAAAGACTTTTATTTCCACACAAACTAAAACAAGGACGGATCTGTTAAAAGATGACCAAAAAACGAATTGAAACACACTGAGGCTGTTCTGTGATGGTACCTGTTTTCTGTCTGGCCGCCTGCTGTGTGTAGGACAGAGCCGTCTGCAGTTCAGACTTCTCCGACACCAGGATCCCAATGGTCTGGATGTGCACCTGCATGTGAAGGTTTACATTACATTTCGATTATTACTGTTTCTTAAAATACTCCTAGTTCTTTTCATTTGCATCATGCTTTTCAACCCAAGGGATTTTACACGTAGGAGGGGACCCACGATCTGGGTGATGCGCAAGAACCTTTGTGCGTCAGCAGCAGCTCAGGTGGGGAAGTGAGAAATGAATTTACTGTTTGAATTAAGGGAGAATAAACCTCTTTTGAAAGCCGCAGAGGAATATTTCAATAACTGAGTCAGGACCCCATCTTAACATCTCGATAGGAAGGAGGGCAAAGTCCTACTACAGAATTTCCCCGTTTGGGAATTCTACATTGCGGTGAAGAGCGCCACCTACTGGTCTGCCAACACCACAGACAGCAGCACTCTGGATTCCTTTGGAAGAAGGACACCCATCGCCATACTGACAAGGCCCAGTCCCACGTAGTTTTCCCCCCAACATCAACATCAGTCAGAAGGTACCGACACTGGTTGTACTTCGCAGCACTTACAAAACCAGGACAGCAATGAGCGTTGTGTTTTTTTCTGCAGGTATTATCACTCTAAATATTAATTAACTGAAGCTGTTGGGACCAAATGGTTCACTGATCACAGAGGAAGCACCTTGATGAAGTCCCTTGGCCAACCAGCAACCAATCAAGAATAAAGGGACTAATAGCTTCTTAACATTTATAACATATGTAAGGTTCTTATTTCCCAAATGAATATAAACTTCCATTTACATTACTATCTGAATTTGTTGTACAACATGCTTTGTAGATAATGAGTCATTTCCCACACCCTGTGGCAGGTTTTAAAACTGCACTCCGTTTCCCAGACTCATCACACGGTGTGGCCTGGCGCAGATGGTCCCTGTGGCTGTGCTCTGGAGATGAACCCAGGCCCTGATCTTCCAGACTCACCTGCAGCTGCTCTCGCATGGCTCCCTGCTCCCTGACGAACTTCTGTTCAAAATCCTTCCGCTCCTGCCCAGAAAAAGACACACCAACAGTGGTTGCTGGACTGCGTGGCTCACCTCCACTGGAAGAGTGGCCCAGCAGTGGGTGGTGTCGGCTGTGTGGACACTCCACTAGTGCTGCCAGTAATTGAGAAGCTTCAGCTGCAGGCGCTGAACAAGCTTCCATCTGCAGTGATGCCGTTCTGGGTATGGTTAAAGCTGTAGGCCATTACTCACTTTTATTTGGGAAACAGCTTTCACAGGCTTCAGATTCAAAATACAGAAAATGTATTGACTGATTTTAAGTCAGATACAGGACAACGTCTCTTTGTTTTTAAAGGGGTTGACAGGATTTTAAATGGGGAAGACCTTCCACATGCCTGATATATATAATCCACAATTGAAGACGGGATATTTTGACAGTATTGCTGAGTGCACACTTCTCTTCGGATCTTACAAGTCTTCATCTAACAAGCTGTAACTGCTGAAGAATGAGGCGGGGTTTTTTTTATTTGAAAGCAAAATTGATATACTTTGTGTACACATTTTTAGAACACAACACCTTCAGCTGGTGAGGAACCTTTTGTGCGTTATGTTGTTACAAGTGCACTGAGGAGTTAAAATGAGGAAAAATGCTTTATTTGTTCAGAAGTGGCTTTAAAGTGTACTGTTGTGTCCTTTTGTTCATTTCCTGAGATCCCCAAACACTGACACTGATCATCTAGATGCTGTGAACAGATAAAACGTGGCAGAAGTAAAACCTTGTATGAGGAATTTGTAAAACCTGGATATGTAAATAGAACTGTACCTCCCAAGCCAAGAAAAGGCTGTTTGGCAATATTCCCCTCCCACATGGTAAATACAGAGGACTGCTTACCTTCTGCAGCTGGTCTGTAACCTCCTGCGATTGTTGCTTCTAAACAACAAAAATAAAGGAAGAAAATTATTTTTAAAGATATCTGTTCCATCTGTGAGGGGTGTAGCTACGTAAAAGAAACGGGGTGCTTTTTCACGGCTCTTCTGCTCATCACTGCACACAAAGACGACCTTTGGCCCAACAACGGCGCCCTCCACAACAGAGGCCACATGGACTTCGGAGATCAGGACAGAGATCCCCTGACGTAGCTTACCAAATGTAAGGAATGATAACCGCTAAATCCTAATTGAGGCATTTTTTGGGTATTTAAGCACCACATATGTGCAGTGACAACAACACGTGCTTACAAAACAGCAGCCCAGTTTACTGAGCTCTCATGAGCTGGTGGGCTTATAAAATCATTCTCCATAAAGTGGCCGTTTATCATGGCTTCAGGCCAAAATAAAAATGCTATACTCACCATTCTCCTAAAACCTGGTGTTGTCTCACCACTATCACATCACTAACTCTTGGAGTGCATCATAATGTCATATGGCTGCACCAAAGATCAAGCAGATGGCCTACATCTCGCAATCACGCAATCAAGATCATAAACAAAAAGTGTGAAACTGCCCAGGCACATTACTTCCCTTTAAGCAATTACTCTAAATTTGCAAAATGTTACCATTTATATTTCCAGCTTACCTTTGACTTGCTTTTCTAATAATTTTACTGCTGCACCCAAATTTACAATCATCTCTAGTCATTGTGAGCAGGTACAGTCTCTGAGACAAGCTGTTTTGTTTATACCCACCCTTATTAGGGCAGACATATTCTCTTGAAGCAACACACTCATTGTCTTTGTGAAGAAAACAACATTCGCTCTCGAAGACTCGACAAGAAAAGGCATAGAGCACATCACCATCACCGGCAGATGCTAGCGTTAGTCAGGTGTTAGTACAGTGCTAAAAAAACACACATATCACAGACTCCAAACACCAAGAACTTCCACCAAGTCAATGTAATGATATGTCATTTGTGACGTGCTAGCGAGCACCCTCTTCAGCCTACAAACCAGACTCCACTCACAGGATACTGCAAGAAAAGTTGGTACTGCTGTCAAAAAATCTACCGTCCCATAATTCCAAGTCTTACTCAGCGTTCCAGAAAAATGCTCTTTAGTCTCTCTTAAAGAGACTAATGTTTATCATTTTTTCTACAAGCTAGGTCTCCCTTAAAAGCACAGAAAAGCATAAAATAATTCTTTAAAGAATTAAGAATTGAAATAATCTATAAAATATTGTTTTAAAGATCTTGGGGAGTCCAGTGCTCCGGTTTGCTAAACTTGGGGGGGAAAAAAAAAACAACTAAAATACAAGCACAGAGATCAAAACTGATACTGCACGGACTGTGGATTAAAAAGCATCCATGCTGATGACCTTTAGCACAAAACCAGTCAGATAATCAACGTCAAGAAGAACAAAAACACTTCATTCATTCGGTCATGCAGATGCAACAGAAGTCCAACATTCCGTTCATATGGACAGACTGCACCAGGAAGCAGGCTGCTTACAAGTGCTTTAGACTGGCAGGATGCAGCAGACATTGTTGCAGGAGGGAGAGCATGTCACTAGCATTTATTGTTAACTGTGATCACTTAAAAAAAAAAACGGAAAAATGGTTGTGCTAAATATTGCCAAAAACCAAAGGGAGGAGCACAATCTTAATTAAACCAGGTGAGGGGAAACGGAGCACATCTGGAACAATGCCCAATGGAACGACCGAAGGAATGAGCCAGTGAGTGGAATGAGCGGGGTTAGTGTGCAAGTGAAGATGGGACAGTCCAGAGCCACACAGACACCAGAGAGCAGCAGCACCAGCAGCAGGCCCACACAGCCCACAGGGTTCTCTTACCAACTCGTCTAGCTTTGCACTGAGTTGTGCGTTTGTTAGATTGCTGGAGTCTAGGGCGGCTGCCAGCTCCTGGTTTCGTGTCTGACGTGCGAGCATGCAGAGAGAGGAGGGTCAAAACAGTGAAGGATGGACAGGAGGAACAAAAATTTACATCAGCATTTCTGACACAGATACCCAGTTCCACCAACAAGTCACAGACAGGCTGTGAAGCAATGGCATATAATTAGGTACTCAAATCACAATACAAAATGTGTCACGACGCACATCTGAAGGAACAATCGGTGTCACAACACAGCTTGAGGTGGCAAATAGGACCGTTGCACACTCGCAAGAGTTTACAACTTGCTTTTCTCCTGCTGATGGGAAAAAAGAACGCAAGTTAACGTAACACAACCATAGACACACTGCTGTGCAGATTGATCAGGGAGCCATTGACAAACTGCTGCATTATATTGAAACTGTTGGCATTTTGAAAAGGAAAAAAAGGAGCACATGGCATGAAACAAACTGGTTTTTTTTCCCCCAAATGGTTTGGTTCGAGTCTTCTTCAGAAAGCTGGAATCGTGGACCAGAGGAAGCACTGGAGTTTTGTAATCCAATCTGTGATTCCATCTGGGAAGTAGCAGACTGAATTTCATATTCCCAAAACACCCCCAACGCTATTCCAAGATATGTTTGAAGTTCTGATGTCCCATAAGATCAGCTTGCCATCATCACATCTCTTACCTATTTAGTATGTAAAACCACACTGAATAAGGCATTCAAACACAATATAATATAATCGTGTATTCTACATATATTTCCATAGATTTTACAAAACAGACACACATCTCTTGTGGTCATTATTTGTCAAACCGTATGTTAAACATGCAGAAACCTTGATTTTCTTATGGTGTAGGGATTTCCTTCATACACCAGGTCTCTATTTGTGGGTCACACATTAAGTTTACAAGATGTGCAACATCCATCACATATTTCAAATAATTCTACCCTGCAGACTGCAAGCAGCCATTGGAAGATGTGGTTCATCTCTCAATATGATGATTCCCACTTGACACATGAATGCAGACACTCACTGACCAAAAGGGTCAGCAACGTAGACTCGGTTCTAACCCGATGGACTAATAACCCAAACAAAATCCTAAATCGCTAGAACCTTGAATCGGATTTGCAATAAACCGCAGATTTTCCTGTGTCGGAGCCAACATGACACGAGAGGCTGAAATAACAGTTGGCTTTTTACCGGGAGCTTCCACATTGCAACACTAGCTGAATCCAACTTTACCCAACCGATTCTACCTGCTTCAATGCAGGCAAGTCAGATCAATCTGCGATTCCTCAGCTTCATCTGCAATTAAACCTTTATCATATCTATTTGAAGAACGAATAGGACTGATGTTTCAGAACCAAGGGTTGAGAAAAGAAAAAAATCGAAGGCTTTTCTGAAGCCGGGTCTCACCTCCAGCTCCTTCTCACTGCCAGGAGTTAGCTCACTGTCCCCGTTGACGTAGGATGACGGCGACTGTCCCAAAACAACAAAATCACACAACACTATGGTAAACCATTCTGAGGCTTAAAGTGTCCAAACAACAGCAATTTCTGAAGTTGTTTCTTTACATCCATCCTGTCATTTTCCTGAATACCACCATCTATAAATTTGGGCAATGGTTATCAACATACAGTTTAAATTTGTGGTACAAAGTCCATTCATAAAAATAATTTGTATCTTACTGATTCTGAAAGTGCAGTAATACTGGACGCTGCAATAACAATTTATTTTGACTGCAATGTCATCACACTCACAAGTTAAGCTGGTTGCAAAGCAGACAGCTGCAGTATAATGAGTGGTATTAAATATGTAAATACTTGAGTACTAGATGTATCGTACTGTGGACTCTTTCTGAGGATGGGAAGTATACTAATGTTCCACGGGCTTCAGTACTGATTTCACAGATGACTTGTGAAAGGAACACAAAAAGAATATTTCCCATCGTGTTTTTTTTTTTTACAATACACAGCCTTTCCTGCAAGTTAAGCAAGAAGTGCACACTTAGTGTGCATCGACATTTTTGTATTTAAAAGAAACCCTTCCTTCAAGATTTTAAACAGCCTGAACCTCCAGATCCTGGATCCTGCATACATTTCACATTTATTGCTGTCAATTTCATTCTTTTTTCATTCCTCGGATAGCTATGTATAACCATACCTTGATGCGAGCCCATACACATTTGTGAATGAACATAATTTTAGTTTATGGACTTTTACTTTCTTTTCCTTTGTTTTGAATGCTAAAACCCAAATAAAGTACAGGCAGCTGGCGGTGTACCGGTCCTACTCTTCTAGACCACTAAAACAGAAGATAAAAAGCTACAGATTTAGACAGCACAAAATGTCAGATATAAACTGTTGCACTGACCCCACTGGACAGAAAACGGTGGCGGACAGAGACGTACCTGGGAGAGCAGGCCATTGAGCTGTTGGGACAGCTGGCGCAGGCTTTCTGTGGATGACAGGGGTCTACGAACACACGTGCAACATTAGTGTCACGGGAATCAGGGCTCTGGGCAAGTGACAGAAGGGACGTCACCCCCCTCTGAAACCTAGTGAGCTGCGTTCGGCACGTTAGCACACAACAACTAGACGCTGACAGTTCTGCACAGAGAACGACGAGACAGGAAAACCACTGTAGAATATGAATCAGTTTATAAAACCACAGGCGTATTAGAACAATTCACCAACTGATCTATAGCTTAATGCGGTCATTTCAAGTCTGAAGTGCGATGGTCCTATCAAGCCTCTTCACCAAAAACCCAGCATTTTATACTGGAAAACAATACTAATGGTCTCTGTTGTGCCCTGTAGGTCCTCGTGGAACACCAGCCACCTCACGCTTATAATTAGTGCTTGGAATTTTTAATTAAGATGGTTGTAGTGCAGCCTGATGTGCAATAAATATGTGGCAATAAATATGTGGTTGACTACTGCATGTTTCATGTGGTTTAGCACACCCCTTCTTACCTGTTTTCCTCAAGTGAATTTTCATTGCAATTAGCATCAGTACTGGGGCTCTGTGAAAAGACGGGGAAAACAAATAATGAACCTTACGAGAGAAAGTAAACAGCAAAACAATGTGAAACAAGAAACTGCAAGTCACAAGCAACAAAACTTCAAACTGAAAGCCGCACATTAAGTAGGAATACTAAGGCTTAGCGTCACTCTTGCAATGGATAAGCAATCACACAGTTATCTTTTGAAACATTATTTAGGAGGCTTTAATTGTTTCACAGTGTATAATTGACCATACTTAATAACATTGTGTAACATTGTACCTGCCCTGGCTTGATGTAACACAGAAGGGCCTTCTAACAAAAAAAACCTGTGGCAGCAACAGCTATGAGAACAGCATACTTTAGCAATGAAAATGTCAAACCACGTCTCCTTATGGGTCTCCTTCTACAGCAATAAAAGCTGAAAGAAATCGGCCCTTAGAACTGCAATTATTTAAAGTTCTAAAACAAGGTAAAACCAACATCAACAAAAAAAATGAGACAAGAAAAAGAAAAGAGAAAAGCTCAGGTCTAACCTACATGTCTAGATTCAGCATTAGTCTACTGAAATATAACTATTACATAGCACACTCCATCACAAAGGATCCCAAAGCAGTCTAGACGTATACGAGAGGATCCTGTTCATCCCTGACTGCTGAAGCACAGCAGTCACTATGCACCATCCGCTCCACAACACAGCAGATCAGCTGGAGACGTGGGAAATTACTTCACCAAGGGAGTTAGGAAGAAACATGAGTTAGGCCGGACTGTTCAAGTCCACAGTGACAAGGAAAGGTTTACTCCATGCTGAAAAGATCTTCCCGCCTGAAATTTTGCGGCTCTTTTCTTTCCCTTGAGCATGGAGTAAACCTTCACCTCGTCCTTTGCGGCCCCTTCGTGAGGACGCAGGTCTCTGCCTGAACTCCAAGTCCAGAACGAGCAGCTTTGCCACGGGCTTTAGACCCCTCCAGGACCTCCGGGACAGGACGAGCATGACGGGGAAGCACAGGCGCAGAAACGCCTTCCTTGCGGACCAACCTGCGTGCCAGGGGGGGCGGCGGCGGCGCACTCCGGGTTAGTAACGCCAACGGTGTTAGAGACGCCAACGGTGTTAGAGACGCTCTCCCCACGGGGGGTCGCAGCCGGCCGGCCACTGGGGGGGCTGCCCGCTTCGGCATCGCTGAGAGCCTGCCAGGACAACACAAGCACAGGACCGTGACACGGCGCGGGCGCGCGAGGCACAGTCTGCCCCCATGCGGCCCGGAGGCCAACGCCGACGCAGACACAGACACACGGGCATGGACAGCACACATACTGCGGGGCTGGGGTTAGCGGGGACTGAGCCAAGTCCACTACACTGCGGTACGGCATTCAATTACGCACAAAAAAAATAACAGGCAGACAGGATACAAAATAAATGAAATTATTAACTAAATAAACACCAAAAAAAAAAAAAAACATGACCACAGACCAATATCGGAATTGTACGGGGCATTTCGGCTCCTCGATACTGCTTCTTACTGTCCTCACAGAGTCAAACACCTAAGAGGGAGCCATCACAATCTGCCTTTCCGTGGAGTACAGTTGCTTATCTCCATCCTCAAAAGGCAGCGAGATAAATGGTATACCAGAACAGAGGCAGGACTGTACCCTGTGCATGGTGCCATTTTCCTTAAAATCTTACATTTAAAAAAAATCAAACCCACCAAGTGCTGGGAGTCTTTCTTAAATAACCATCGTTCAAAGAGACGCGTTCGACCCGAACCTTAAAGATCAGCTTGCGCCGCGGCTGACTCAGGTGAACGCAGCCTGCTGCCAGCAGGGAAGCAGGTCTGGTATGATTACTTGGCAAGGATCAGATCATTACCATACCCCGCACACAGTATGGGAACTAAGAAAACGCTGTAAAGTTGCAGCTTTAAATCTGAGAATGTACTAAGATAGAATGTATAAAAGGCGGTAAATTATGGCAACTGTTAATCTATGAGAGCGGGACTGGGAAGCCCAGTATCCTTAAATAAGATATTTAATTTGTGAAACAAAAACTTTTTGCAATAATCAATGACACTGGCCAAGGAGCAGGGTGTGGAAGGAATTGCATAACCTGGCTGCTTTCAGCCCTGCAGACCAGGATGTGAGCTGAGCAAACAGCCGCAATGTCACTTTATATACAAGCACTATCCAAACACAACAAATAGCAGGACCTCATGCCTCTTCAGGGCTTTCAGGTATTCGGCAGTGGTCACGGGTCACTAAGCGTTGTGTAAAGACTGCGCTAATTGCCCTGGGCATGTTTTCACTTCAAACATGTCCCTGCAACAAGAAGATCACCTCTGAAGATGACCACGGTCTTAATAGATTACCCCCATTTATGACCAGTACTAAACTGCTGAGGCTGATGGGGCCTATTTATCACCAGGGGTAACTTCAACACGGTCCAAGACAGGCGGTCTCCAACCCTGGGCCTGGATCCAGGTCACCTGTATTTACAGACAGGCCACGCCCGTAAGATATTGAGGAATCAAGCAAGTACTTAGAGATCAGTAATGATCTCTAAATTACTGGATTTAACAAATCACTTGTGGGTGGCGTCCCATCCAGCCTGTATCCTGCCTTTTTTCCCCCCAGTGCTTCCCCGGATAGGCTCCGGGCCACTGTGATCCTGAATTGGAGAAGCAGTTATTGAAACTGTTGCGGATGTGATGTGGTGAACAAATAACTAGCTTCATTGATCACCACGTAACGACTCCATATCTTTAAAAAAAGAACGATTCAATTAAACTGGCGATTTAACTGGACTGGGGCTCTCAAAGACCAAAGCCCGAGACCATTTAAACTTGGACAACGAATTCTCTTCTACTCGATAAACCGCAGCTAATAACAATGAATCACAAAGGGTGGGGATACGGACGCCTAAAACTGGCTCTTCGTGAGCATGAAAGGCCTTAGCGATTAAAGGATTGGCAGGGTAGTTTTGGCAGGACGAAGACCACTCAGAGCCCTTGGCTCTCTGGACAGCTGGGCAGAGCAGTCACGGACAGAAAAGGCGGCGCCGAGTCTGGATTTTGTTTTTTTCTGGGTGCCAAGAGGGTTCTCGAAAACCGAAGAGGACCTTGGCGATGAGAGTTCCAGCCGGGTGCCAGCACCCGCTGCGAGGACAGGGGCGAGGAGGCCGGCAGAGGGCAGTCGGCCAGGACTCTGCTGCCCGTTTCACACAGAAGGCCGCCGGGGCCAACGGCTCAGGATAAAACAGGAGTCCCCAAACCCAGGTCCTGCTGCCCATGGGATCTTTTTTTCCCCCCCATTCAGGCTGGGTGCTCATTTCCCTTAAATCACCCCTTATGAATTAACCCAAACGTGTTGGCTTTCCTAGCACTGCAGTATTTCAGGACGGGAATCCTGCACTTTTCCAGTGACTTTCAAATCACAAAGAGCTTCAGCCCTCCGAATAACTCACTTCGGCATTTGTGAAGCAAATAATTCGTTCAAGAGGCTCGCGCGCAAGAGAAGTCTGATTTTTCCGCGGTGCTTGAAGTTTGACGCCGGTGCCGAGATAATTCCTGCTTTCTGGACGCGTCATGTGCCTTTCCTAAGCCAGCTCAGTTTCTCCTCTTAAACCTCCTCACACCATGAGCCCCTCTGACTGAGTTGACTAATTTGTCACCGCTGCCAGGAACAGCGGGCGTGGCGCACTGAGCTCAACGGAGGAAATGATCGCTGGTGCCATGCTCTGGAGTGGGCAAAAGCGCGAGTGAGCTCTCAGGATCAGCGTCGCATCGGTCCAGAACGGATGAAAGCAGTGCCCTTTTACAGAGTTTCAGTAACACAAGCACAGCAGCTTCAAGTAAAGAAGCCCAAAGAGACGAAATCGTGTTTTTGCAGCCAGAGTACATTTCCTCTGGCTAAGCGAAGTGATCTTGTTGTCGGCTATAGTCACGCGCTGGTTAACCCTAACTCCCAACGAACACTGCTCAATGGTGTGATCCATACATCGGGGCTAAAGTTCTATGCACTGACCTGGCCTCTTCAGCTGCAAAGAATCAATTAGCGAAACCTAGGGAAAAACACGCCTGGATCTCCGCCCGACCCAAGACGCCAAAAAAACACAGGAAACGATTCTTTCGCCAAACCAATCGAGCAAAAAAAAAAAAAGATACAGGAGGAGACGACAATGACATGCCAGCATAGCAGATGACATCTAGCAGTCAGTGAACGAATGAAAAACCGGGGCTCCCCTGCAGCAGAACAGAAGCAGCAGTGCTGTGAACAGAGAGGACGGCATGCAGAGAGAGAGAGTGAGCCGACTTGGCAAGCAGTCCCCTCACCTGGCTTTTGTCCAATGGAGGGAGAGCCACCCCATTGGAGAGATTAAGATCAGACACCAGCACCTTCAGAAGGGTCTGAATCTAGAGGAGAGCGAGAAGTGAAGAGACAACGCAGAAGGCTCAGAAGGAAGAGAACGACACAGAGAGAAGGGGACACATTTCATTACGTTGGGGGTTTTTTTTTTCGTCTTGGGGATGCCAGCTTACCAGCCAACTCGCATTCGATTCGCCTTTTTCCTTTGATTCTAAAGGAAAAAGGCAAACTTCTAATCATGTCTCGACTGAACTGCAGAAATGATAAGAGTCCAAACTTGGCGTGCCGAGTCCCGACACTTCACATACTGTATTTCAGAATCCATTTGTGCTACATATTTTGCTTTGGTGTTCTTTTGGAAGGGGGCTTAATCAACATGATCGAATCAAACACTTTAAACACTGTCCTTACACTGAGTTGGGAACTTTCACTCGGGGAATTCAAAAGCCACATGAATCGAACGTATGAATCGTTGCTCGTTTTTGTCACGTGCTGCTAAACCAGAATGCAATTTATAAAGCTGGTTTCAAGCATGTCGAAAAGCCTGAGCATTTCGCTTGACTGGTCTCGTAAATTCCAGATGGAGGAAGTGGTCAGAGGAAGAAATGTAGGTCACATGGCAGAACGATTACCTGAAGAAAGCCGGCATGTTAAGTATCCGATCAGTAATACTCTGGGGGGGAAATTCCAGTTTGGTGCACAAAACTAATGACGTTGTGCACAGATTTGTCTGAATTCTCCTCATCCGTAAAAAAATTAACATGTAATACCATTCCTGAACACTGACGAACGCTTTGACACTTGGAAAATATACATACATCAGGAATCTGAATAATCTGAGAGGCAACAAGTAAAAAACAAAGCTGCAAGAGAAGACGATAATAACTGGGGTGTTAAAATTACTCTTTTTTTAGATGCAGGATGGGATTAGGAATATACCCATTTCCATGTTTCTGAACACTTTTTCCAATGTTTATGCTCAGTAACGTTAATTATGTTTACCACAGTAACTCTGCTGTCAACACACAGCTTCCCAGAAGACATCTAGAACCTGATTACCAGGAAACACCCGGGGAGATTAAATTACTTTTCTCCTCTGCTCATTCACCCTATTTCCTCTCATGTGGACTTAATGTACTTGCATATGAAGAAGCATTTCAATCTTCAGGATTCAAAAATAGAGCAATAACTTGAGAACAAAAGTCTAAAAAGAAACTGAAGAGCAACAGAGTACACGATATATTGTACATTGCACTCCATGACCTCCTCGGCAGTCAAGTCACGATGACTATTTCTGCTGTAGACTCAATTCAGTTTGATTTTGAGATTAAATGATTAGAACAAGGCAAAAGTTCACCTTTTATTCCTGGGTATTATTCCTGTGTATTATTCCTGGGTAACAATGTCACCTTTTATTCCTGGGTATTTCTGTACATATTTGCTTTAGCATTCTACAATAATACCAAAAATAAAAGGCATCATTCTGTATTTTTGCCTCCTATTTCTACTTTCATCTTGAGTATACATGAGCTTTGACTTCACTGGACCAATATTAATGAAGGGACCTGTATAACCCTCTATTTCAATGTATTGATTAGATCTGCCTTTGTGAGAGGTGAACTAAAATGAAAACTGAGAGCTGGTGCAGGGCTTCAGCAGCTACGCTGATCCCACAACTTGATATACTACCCACTTGTTCATTGCTCTAACTGGAATGTTGGTCTCGATGATTTGCATGGTAGAGTTCCTCACGGCCTGCAGAGATACGCAGAGATCTATCTCCAAAGCAAATTAGTTTACTACTCATCTGCAGCCAGAAAGAAAAATGGTATACAAGGATGAGCTACGCAGGGCATAATTGTCATTTTGTCCTGAATTTCAGTAGCATACCGTGGTAAGTGTGCAGCACAGAAACAACAGAGGGATGCAAGGTGTAAGAACAAGAAATCCAAAATACAAATTAAGGATGACAGCACTTGATATACTGACTTCACAACTGATAAAGATCTTGAATAGGAGGAAAGACCACAGTGATGCTAGTAGCATCGTCCGCTCATAGCCTTTTTGGAATCACCCCTATATGAGCCCCACATCAGCTCTGGGCATTAGATTTGTCCTTCACTGTCTCACTATGGCCACCGGCTGTATAGGACACTCACTTCAGGCCTGATCCCGGACAGACAATATTTGTTTTCCCCGATTTTCACTTGGGACCTTAACGGTAGGATTTGAATCCGCTGTTCACTTTGGTCTCATTAGTCTATATTAAGATAGTGGGCAGGTCTTTACACACAAGAAATTATAAGCCACTTAATAGGCCTGGTGTAGTGCAGGCACTGCAAGAAGAGGAAGGGTGTCAGGGAAGCCAGGGTGGGAACGGACCTCCAACTCCCTGTGGGAGTAAACTGCATCTGTTCAGAGCAGGACTGCCTCCCCACCACACTCATAAGGTACTGGAGTTCTCTCAATCAGATTCTTTGTAAAGGAATTCTGCATTTAAAACTGTTTTTGACACTGCATGCGCTCACACGGTGCAGGTCTCGCCCATTAATCGGTAACTGGGTTACTCTTTAAATAGAAAGCCTGCGCAGTTAGCTTTTTTAGCGTGACTTCCCGATTCGCCATGGGCAAGCTCAGAGGCAGAACTACAGGACGGCGAAGGTGGGACAAGGCCCGGCCTCGTCCCGGGACGCACAGTGACTCACGTTTTCGGGAGAGTGCCCGTCGCCGGAGGGGGTGTCCGGTCGGCTGTTGTCTTTGACCTTCCTCTTCTTTTTGGCCCCTGCGCCGGGCCCCGGCGTGTTCTTCTGCTGAAACTCCTTCAGCTGCGGGAGGGGAAGAGAGGCAGGACGGTAAAGACTGCGGGCGCACACTGAACGGAACCCAGCCGAACCTCAACACAGCACCACCAGCTGCAGCACCAAACTAAAACCTACAACCTGCAGGAAAGAGTTCCGAGACGTTATTAGAAGTATGCTTCTACATCTACATCTCTTTAATAGACTCCATTTCTTGCGACTTTGAGGGGGAGGAAAAAAAAAGCAATCCGAATATTGGATTGTACGAAAATACAAACAGGAAAAAAAGTAACTAAAATCGCTGTTGCTGTACTGTATGAATAAGGATATATACTGTATAAAGGAGTTCCCAGCAATGAGAGTAAATCTGAGGTGATATAGTAATATACACGATTTAACACACACCTCTACTTATACAGCTTTTCAAATAAGTGGTAGGATTTCTGCCGAGATGACAAAACGGACATGTGCAGATTAAGGAAACAAATGATTCGCGATAACAAATGAAAGATTCCTCACTTCTCCGCTGTCATCTCCAGAATCTTTTTAGTGAAGACGCTCTGGACCTGACTTGCCGCTGACAGCTTGTAAAGGAAACCCCGCCTCATTATTTTTTTTTTACTACCACCACTAAAAATCAGCGCGCCGAGCTTCCCTTGCGAGTGAACGGCAATCAATGAGGTGAAAGGCACCGTGCATCTGCGATGCCCAACAATACAGTCCACGTGAAGCAGCCTGACACCCCCTCTCCAAACTCCGATGATCTCAATCGGCTGTCACCAGGAGCGGAAACTCACCGATTTCATTTAACTTTTAGATACGAGACGGTTCACCCCTTCTGGGAATCACCTTGATGGAGGAATTCCCACCTCCAGGTGAACAGAACGCATCCATCGCTGTGTGCTTGGATAAACAGCCAAACCACACTGTGGGTATCACATTCTCTCAGCAGACCAAACTGCAGCCTTGGCTACGAACACTACAATATTTACTGAAAATAGGAAGAAACTTATCATTACCTATACGTATGCATATAAAATCAAGTGAAAATCCCAGAAAGGCACCGATATCAATAAAAAAAGAACAATGCCTTCTCGTTATTGATTTATTGGCATTTATTTATTATTTATTGGCAACAGTTCCGGTGCACTCACCAGCAGTGAAGCCAAATCCTCTTTAGAAATGAATCATCAGCCTGTGCAAATCACCCTGATCAACATCCACGACAACATCCACATGCAGAACAACGTATTAAATCAGTTGTGCACCACAGACCCAACTGATGGGAAGATCCCAATGTGAGGATCAGAGCAAACTCCACTTGTAGTGACTGACTGAGACCTGACTGCTTGGTGCATCTCTGATCAAAGTGCCTGCTTCCCTTCCAGGGAAGGTGTGTGCCACAACATTCCCACAGGACAACAGGTTTCCCGCAAGAGGAGAATAATAAAGTTATGCCAAGGATGCCTAGCTGAACATGTGTGGCAAGACCTGGGATGGGGTATGGCATCTAGGGCTCAGAGACCAGTGAACAGGCGGAGGTCTGTCCAGGTTCTCCATGGGGAATTAGGCCAGAATCCCCAAAGACAGCGGCTGCAAAGCATTACGGATACTGGGCTACCATCCTTATCCTTGCTTCCAGAAGGCCCCCTGTTGATCTGCTCTATCGATGAAAAATGCTCATCAGCACGATGAATTTCCATCTGTCAAATCTTTTCAATAAAACGTCCCTGCAAAACTACAGAAAGATTTTCATTTTCCTGACAATACCTTTGAGAACGTCGCAGTTATAAGTAACAGGTTTCTCTTGATGCCCTGTATACTCCTACTGCTCTGTGGCCTTCAAAGCAATACACACTACGAATAAAAGAAAACGGACAATGCTCTATGATATGACTACGGAGCAAAGACTGCACTGCTGAAAGCAACAACTTGCAGGGTAAAAATAATCAGACCTAATGTTATAGCCAATGTACCACTGCTTCACTCTAATATTATAACATTAAGTTGCATACAGAACAGACAGTCTCTTACGTAATGCCCGAATCAGCAAACAGATTAACCTCTCGCTGTTAAAGTTTCCATTTCAGCTCAATAAAAGGATTATATCTGGCCTGCACATACAAGTCCTTCTGCGAGTTACCACATTCTCAGAAATTTACAGCCAACTTAAAGCGACATGAATCGGAAAAATCCCCTTTGTCTGATGCAGACCTTACCTTTAGTTATTTTTCATTACTGCATTCACACAGCATCAGGTATGGTCGATACTGCTGAACCTCCGATTTAAAAACAATCCTTGAAAACAGAGTGGGAGCGCTCAAGTCTTAAGTGCTTTTGTTGACTGAATAAAATAAAAAATTTGCTGTGATCATGTTCTGGGGAAATTATTCCTTCATCAGAAGTCAGGACTCTCCCAACTACCGACTCTCATTCTGCACTGCAAACCAGGAAAAACAGGAGCAGTGACTGGATATTTCGAGCTCCTACAGGTGCGGTGTTCTGTAAAATCCACACTGCACCCTAGTCTGCTTCAAGCAAAATACCGAGCAAACTTTGTAGACCATTTACAATACCTCTAACATTTCCATAGTAGTTTATTAAAGGCACAGAATCCTAGAGGCATCTGCAATGCCGGGCGGAGCGGTGGCTCTGTGGCTCAGGATCTGCGCCTGTGTCTGGGAGGTTGCCGGTTCAAATCCCGCAGCCGGCAGAGGAATCCTACTCCGATGGGCTCCTGAGCAAGGCCCTTCACCCCAACTGCTACCAGGGGCGCTGTACAATGGCTGACCCTGCGCTCTGACCCCCAGCTTCTCTCTCCCTGTCTTTTAGTCTCATGGAGAGCAAGCTGGGGTCTGCGAAAAGACGAATTCCTAATGCCAGAAATTGTATAGGGCTAATAAAGTGAGGTTATAATAAATCTCCAGATGTGCTACAATGGCATTAAGATGTGGCTATTTCTAGATAGCCAGCCACAGGAACTCTCATTTTCCCTTTGTGCATCAGAATAAATAGTCAGCGTGCCGCCCCGATTAAAAGAAACATTTTTCACACAACCTGAAATCTCACATGTGAGACGGGTGGCAGAAATCCGGGTGTATTTTTCCAATGATAACATAATGCTTTCTCTGCCCAACACCAAAATCTGTGCCAGGCAACACTGGATACTTCAGCATCAGCAGGAGAGGCGTCGAAACCCGTGGTTTACTCACAAGCGAAACTAAAGTCAACACTCGGTCCCAGTCTGACCAACTGTGACATGCAGTCAGGTCAAAATCAATACCGGACTTTGGGGTCAACTCTGCGAGATAAGACTGGGAAATCTGGCTTCGGTCGAAAGCGTGCTCTCAAAGCACCTACCTAAAGACAAACGGGGCCATAATGACCTCTTTGCAGATCAGCCTCGCCGGGCAAAGGTCACAAGATAGCCATCGCTGCTACAAAATGACTACAAACAGCACACACATGCACTGCACCTCCCCTTACCCCACAAAGTTCTCCGGCTACATCAATCACAAGTCAGTCCATCACACAACTCGGCAGCTCCTTTTCCCACAAGTCCATAAACATTACGAGTGTACTGGAATTATTATTTAGCATCCCTCACAAACCAGCGTCCTCTTTTCTGCTCTTATCTAAGCGACCACACAGACACACTAGCACTCGGTACATTACACAGCCAGTCACTGCTGCCTTCGAAACCTCCCTAACCCTAACCAAATCTCTTCTCCCGGTGGTTTCACTCCTTTAGAAACCGGCCGGGAAAGGACGGGAATCTAGCTGGGATTGATAGAGACGCACGTCTCATACGACTCGTTAGGATGCATTAGCGATGTAGCTGAAATTGGATCCGGTTCTTGGAGGGAGAAAAAAGAAATAGGTCTCCGTCATCGACACATTAAAAGGCAGTGCCAGCAAGTACACCTGTCGCCCTCACCAAGTCCTTTCCGCAAACCCCTTCGCCGATTTCAAGGTGTTCAGACCCGTAACCTGGATAATTGGGAAGCATTGCCCTGAATGTTGGGGAATGATCCGGCAGGGCCGGACCTGCGACCTTTCGCCTCTTCGAGAAGACACGGATCCACTCGCGCCTCAGCCCCCCACGCGTGTCTCGCAGCCCCCCACCCACCCACGACCACCGGTGCCACCGAGAAATGAGTGAAGCCATCGGGACCCCCTTAAAATCCCGGATCCTTGTCGTGAAACGCTCCTACCGCAGCACGGATAAGGCAGGCACTGCACAGCCCAGCAACAACACTGGGGGCCGGGCTGAAGGCAGGAAAGAATTTAAAAGGCACTTTAAACACAACCTCGGAGCAATCAGAAAAGGGGTAAACTGTATTTCCCACGAGTCGATTGATATTTCCGTGTATATTTTTTTCGATCCATGAGATTTCACCCGGTACCGTGCCCCGGCTTAGGTAGTAACAAGGTCCAGGGATAACTTGACAGTAAAACAAGACCACAGACATCTTATCACACGGGATTGCCTTTATAGTGGTCCTGCAACCCCAAACCCCGCAGACAAGGCAGGGCCAATCATACGATATACACGAACACCGACTCGCCGGCTGACCCACTTTAAAAAGCCGAAACATAATTTACAGCCGCTCAGGAACTGCGCAAAAAAATAAAATGACACCCCCACCCCACCCCCAAAAAAAATAATAATAAAAGGAGCAAAACGTCCACCTGCGCGTCTGCGCTCCCCAGATGCAAATGTGTCACGGTGCACCCTGAACCCGCACTGGGCAGGCCAGCGCGGATCCCCGGCCTTTCCAGCGCCGCGGCCGGCCCCCCCTCGGCGCCGCAGAGCCGGTTCCGCGGCCGCAGAGCCGCCGGTGGACGTGGAAGTGCTTCGTGGCTCCTTGTCCGTGACAACCTCCCCTCCTCGTCGTTTCAACCCCGCGGAGAAGCGACGCGACACGTCCACCCCCTCCCCCCTCCGCCAACCCGAATTATTTCTTTCGGTGTGCGTGTGCCTGGGCAAAAGTTTTTAATACCTTTTTCTTGGCCGCGGCGAGTTTATTCTGCCTGCTCTCGTCAGCCATCCTGGATCGCCCTGGAGGTAAGCGGCACCACGTCATCAATAAGGGGTCCGCGGCCGCCGGCAGTTCCCCCCGCCGGCCGCCAGGGGGAGCGCTGCGCAGCTCAGGATCCAGCACAGGGTAAACGAGCCAAGCAAAGAAATGATCTGAATGCCGACATTCAGGTGAAACCACTCCAACTTGCCACGCATGACAGGTGTGATCTTTGCTGTGACAAGACAGGGATACCCAGTTAATACTGCACTGTTGCTAATACCAGACCCGAGCGTGTGACATGCCAACACAGTCTGTACAGCACTGTCTTTGTCCTTTGTCTTTGGGTTTTTCAAGATGTGGTGGGGCAGATCAACAATGGATCAAGCGGATTCGTCTCCTGGGGACGTGTAAACCAGCACAACAAACGACGACGCGCTTGCAAATTCAAAACGATCACGGCAAAATCTGAAGTCATTGGCAGCCACATGTCATTCTCGCCTATTTCCGGCTGCACAGACACAATACCTGCCTAAAGTTGATAAGGTTCTTTTATTTTAAAAAAAAACCAATATCGCGAGAAGCTAAAACTATGCAAAGCATGACAACGACGATATGAACGAGCCGGCTCTGACCACTGGAGGTCGTAAATCCGACACGAAAATAAAAATGGTCAGCAAATGGTTGTTCGGTTACAGAACTTTAGAAGAATTATATAAATCTAATGAAAGAAAAGCAAAAGGCACTCCAGGTAGCCTTTAAACTTGTCAGCTTTATTTATAGTGCAGTAAAAAAACAAGAAATGGTACATTCTTTGTGCTTTAAGTAGAAAAATGTGAAGATACTATTATTTCTTAATAATATACTATATTTTCCAGTAAGATACAGTTTGACAGTCTGTGGCTGCCACAAAACTCACTGCATGCAAGGATCATGCCGATGTGTAGCAATATGGCAGAAAGCAATTGTTTCATTCAACAGTGTTCATTGAGGCTTTGTAGTCCGCCCGAACATTTTCTAACTGCTTCTTCCTGCTGAGGATCGTGGGAGAGCTGGAGCCTATCCCAGCAAGCAACAGGTGCAAGGAAGGATACACACTGGGCAGGACACCAGTCCATCACTGGGTACAGTCAACCCCAAAGCCTCAGCCTTTAACAGAGAATATAAACCCAAACGTCATCCCAGACAAAGCCAGAACTGTGCGGTATTGAAGCTGGTTGACCACTTCCAGACAGGGGCCTTGTGCTCACTGCTCGGCCACTAGGAGTACCAGCCTCTACCTCCATTAAGCTGGCAAGACAGGCAGAGCTCTGTCAGGACATCACGTGATGGATTTTTGTGATCAGTCCCCGAGCGCAGCTTGCTTACGAAGTGATTAAGATACCGGCATTTCTGATGAGACCGAGGCTCTAAAACTGTCTGGAATAGTCCCGAGTGATGCTTTATGGGTAGAATCTATGTGTGGTTGAAGTTAATCCATTTCAAGTCACCGATACTTATTCTGGGTGGTGCAGTGGTTAGCAGGTTCAATTCCCGACCTGGGGTGCCATCTGCATGAAGTCTGTATGTTCTCTTTTTCTTTTTATGTGCTTTTTCCGTGTGCTCCAGTTTCCTCCCACAGCACGAAGGCACTTGCAGGCGAAGTGGCCCTGCTCAAGTGTACCCTGCCTTGCGCCCATTGCTTGTCGCGATTGGCTGCACCACGACCCTGAATTAGATCAACTTGTTGGAAAACAAAGGAAATCGGCGTTCTGTGCCTTTATTTTACCGGATTGAATTAATTATTTTACCGGGGCAGACTGCAAATGCAGTCTCATTCACAGACCTGGCAGGTTCAAGGCTGAAACGCTAGCATCCCAGCCTGGGTCTCTTCCGCCCCAGTCTTGAGTCCAGAGCCCCCGGCCAGCCTGGACCCCCTGTCTCTAGAGGTCCCAGGTCCAGCATCCAGAGCTCCCAGCCAGCCTGGACACCCCAAGTCTCCAGAGGCCCCAGGTCCAGAGCCCAGAGCCCGGCCACAGCTCTGTACTGCAGCCTCATCTATTGGCAGGAGCAAATGTCCTGTGATGATCTGAGCTGGAGGAGACAAGGCAGCCTGCCTGTTTGATGCAGAGCCAGTGAAGTCACTGCCTAGGCTGGTTCCTCCAGTACTGCATGTGTGAAGCCCCTACGCTCCTAGATTCTGTTACCTTGCTCTGCAATATGTTCGATCTCAAGGGCCATTTATTATCCGTAATCAGTCTGTTCCAAAAAACAAGTCTCCCCTGTAACACTTTGAATGAGCACCCAGCTACAGAATTAAATACAATTATTTCTAATAAGGTGTTTAGTCAGTTAACATTCCATCCTCTGTTAACTAAAAATGTCACATTCTAACTTAACGTTTGAACACAACTGGAAAAATAGGACATCAACGTTTCCAGCAAATAATGGGATATCATTCCTCAACTTTATTTGTTTCCTTGAAGCATACAAAAGTGCCATACCTCTAAGTAAATAAGTCTTATTAGGTGTAAATTCCTATATGAAACAATGCCACTGGATAGCAGAATCAAAGGGGGCTGATGAATCTTTAGTCTTCATCTCAGTCCCAACTGCAACACTTCCGGTTCTTAATTCTGGTCAACAGGGCAACACAACCGTGCTACCCTGTGCGATTAGTCCGGAGTATTTCCATCCGCCCTCTTTCAGGGGCTGCTGTCCGAATGGCAGGACATTCTAGGTCCGCGCTTCCCCAAGGAGCTTTGAGGGAGCGGTTGGACTCTGCTCGGGTCTCAGTGGCTGTGCTGCGAGAACTCCTGCAGGGCCCACTTCTTGTTGTCAATCTCCTGCCGGAGGCGGGAGTACTCCTTCACCAGCGTCTCGAAGTCTTGGCCCAGGATCTCGAAGGAGGACAGCATCATCTCTGCAGACTGTTTCTCACTCTGTTCACTCTGCAGCTCCGACTCCAGCATCTCCCTGATGGGGTGAGAGAGGCAGAGATAAAGCAAAGAGACGGGACATTGTGAAACATTGTGAGAATATAGTTCGCTATATTGGTTTTTCAATGCGGGAGTTCATTAATCTAACCAGGTGTTGCTCAAGAGCAGGGTCCTTCACTCAGATTGCTCCAATAAATGTCAAACTGGACATGTGATGCTCCAGATTCTTATTTTCAAGGACAATTTGTTCTCAATTGACATACCTGGTGAAATAAACAATCTATCTTAAGTGACACCTGTCAGCATTACATTTTAAAGGAGCAGTTCAGAAATAAAAAGTGCTACAGTTTTAAAAGGAATGTGATGAGTAAACCAGTCAACTTCAAGCCCTTCCTTGTGATTTTAATTAGTTCTGTATTACCCGTTGGTGTCGTTTCCTAAGGTTTTGACTCTAGTGAAAATCAATCACATCTATCCCAGTTTTCAAATACAAGACTTGTAATTCATTTGCACAATGCAACAGAAGTATTGCTTGTAGTCTCCTTACGAGCAGTGGAAATAAGATTGTCCATACCTTACAACACACAATACACAGGGTACCTCTCACCTGATCTTCCGATGCACAGCTATTTTCTGGGGTGCGTAGGAGTCTAGCTGAACCTGAAGCATCTCCATTCTACATAAAATAGAACAATCCAAAGATCTGTCAACATCAACCAAAAAGCACATTCCCGTACAAAACCAAAGCTTTAACGAGCTTCTGCATATCTGCTCTCGTGTACATGAAGTCCACACTGCTCATATGAAGAAGATATTGTTTCAGAAGGATACTTTCAGTATTCGTTTTATAAAAGTGTTCCAACTACATTTAAAACAAATATACCTTTAAGTATAAAAAGTACACATACCTTATAAAAGCCTATCTCAGCAATCACAACTACCCATAAAAATGCATAATATATAGGAAGAACTTATATTGCAGAGAATTGATTTTCACCAGGGTAATCTAATCAGTAATGACATACATAAGCCACCATATGAATTACAGAAAACGCAATGTACTACGGGCAGAAGAGTTAAATCAATCCAAGACTTTTTCCTTCCCATTTAAGTTTTACAGCACCCTCCTCCCAGGAACTCCCAGAACATGAGATTTTCTGACCTGATCTTGTGAATGATGATTTCGCACTTGGCCTCCAAATACTGGGTCTTCTTGCGGTCCAGCTCATTCTGAGCTTTCAGCCGGTGATCCAGGATGAGCGACTGTAGAATCTGAATGCAACCCAGAAGCTCCTGCAAAAGAGAGCAAGCGGCCCGTTTTGAAGAAGGGGTGGAGATCTGCACCACACACAGCTGCTGAAACCGTATCCCAGAGTTTCTGGAACTGCTGAAACTGGATCCCAGGGCGTTTCTCGAAAGGAGTAGGGTTGTAACCCCCTGTGTCCTGGCCAAATTTCCCCCCGGCTTTTACCAGTCATGGCCTCCTAATAATCCCCATCTCTGAACTGGCTCCATCACTCTGCTCTGGTGTGTGGGGAGACTACTGGCGCACTATGGCTGCCGTCGCATCATCCAGGTGGGGCTGCACACTGGTGGTGGTGGAGGGGATCCCCATTACCTGCAAAGCGCTTTGAGTGGAGTGTCCAGAAAAGCGCTATATAAGTGTAAGCAATTATTATTATTACTCACGGTCAGATAGGAGTGAGTTAGGGACTGCAGCTGTATGGCGTTTTCCTTGGCTTTCTGTCTCTCGCTCTCCAGCCTCTTCCTCTCGCTCTCCAACAGGTCCGGGAGCTGGGACAGCTTTGCCATCTTCAGGCCTGCGCTTTCGCCCTCTGGTAGGAAGAACAAGTCAGCAGGCTAAGGAGCGGCCACAGCTTCGACCGCCCAATTTACAGATCAACAGTATGAGCAGGTCTGCGCCGAGCCAACTTCATGTAGCTTTTCACATTACGCTCAGGATAAAAGGTAATGAACCTTGTGACACCTTCTATGAAAACACCTGTCTATTTTAAAAAGGCAAGCATCAACAAGGTTTACCAGTTTGGCCAGGCCGTCTGTTGCTCCCTCAAACGTTTCAAGCTATCCGATGAAGCAGTCTTGTTGCAGGTTTGAGACATTTAGAAAGAGGTTCCAGTTCTCAAATAAATTGAGAACCTACACATTTCAGGAATCTGTTTTGCTCTGATTTAATCAAAAACAGATCACTGCTCGACACGTGACTGTGCATCTGAAAGCCAAGACAAACCTGTGTGCGAGAGCTCTCGTCACAGAATAATTAAAAGTACAGATTGCAGAAGAATAGGAGGCAGAGGAGAAACAACACAGGACCAAAAGACACTCAAAATTAAACTTAAAAAATCCTCTGACATGAGAGGGGTCTTATTACAGTACTTTCAAAAGTGAAATTAAAAAGCCCCACGAAGGAGCTGGACATAAACGGAACATCCTAATCAGAAGCCTGGCTGTCTCAGTCACCAGACATTACCCCAGTCAGGCTGGTAGTAGGCGAGGATGGTCTGACACTTCTTCTGTAGCGTCTCCTCTAGCAATCCCAGCAGCCTCTGCTTCATCCGCTTCACGTCCTGCGGACAGAGAAGCAGGGCTCAGTGTTCCAGACCCACCTCACTATTCTCTACAGCTGGAGATCCAACAGCAGGGGCACAGCACCTCTTCATGGACAGAGTGAGCTTCTCAATAAATTCCTACATGGGAGGACTGAAAAATTCAGCAAGTGTGTGCTCGAGAAGAAAGCAATTTCTCCTGCTGTTAATTGCTCCTGCTGTTAATTGCTCCCATAAGTGTCTGTAAACAAACTGTCCACAATGAAGCCAGTCTGACCTTTACTGTGGTATCCGGATATAAGCTGTATGAAAGTTTGGGGAACACACAAAGGCCCACAAACACAAATGTAACAGAGAATCCTTCTTAAAATGTGCGCAGCTGAATGAAATGTACACAGTAAATAGCAAAAGGGAAGAAAATATTTTTACATAACCCCCCAATAACTGCAACCAATAAGTGGGTTTTTAATAAAAGAATTCTGCAGACAAAACCTTTTTAACTTTAGCATACCTAACCTATCCACATTTCGGCTAGTACGCTGTATAAATGTAATGCAACAACAAGCAGTCTTTACGTCTGCTCCAGACGTAATTGAATTTATTTAATGCATTCAGAATTAGCTCAGGGTGGCACTCAGTGCTGGGGCGCAGTCCGAGTGGTGTCTGATCTAGTAGTTTTCCCAGCATTCGTGTGGGTTTCCTCCAGGTATTCTGGTTAACTGGCCCTGGTGTGAGTGTGTGCCTGTAACAGACATACAACCTGCCCGGGGCGTATCAGGCTTTGCACTCGTTTCTCCCCAGTGACCCTGAACTGGAAGAAGCCAAGCAGTTAAACGGATGGATGGAACTGGCTGACCAGTATGCCAGTGCGAACGTGCCAGTCATGCCCACCTGCTCCGATGGGAAGAGGTCCAGGACCAGCTGGGATGACAGCCCCAGCAGCTGCGGCTGATCCTGGGCGGTGGTCGGACTGGGGTCCAGCTGCCGGGCACACTGCGCCACCAGCAGGCACTGCTCCAGAGTCCCGTAGAACTGCACCGAAGAAACGGGCTCTTACTGCATCTCCTCACCCAACCACTCCCACAGGTCAAACTCCAAAGGGTTTCTTCGCCTCTGTGAGCCCCCCCCATACATCTCTGAATTCCAGTTTTTTTCTACACTTCAGATGCAAATTTACCATAAATCATGGTTTTAACACTCTGTTAAAATGACTACTGAAAGTTAAGAGGCAAAACATTTTTACCATTTTTACTGTGTCACACTGTGACCTCCGCAGAGGCAAGACCGACCCGTTTTCCCCCCCATCTATTCACAAAATGTGCACCTTGCCGTCTTCCGGCGGGATCTGGGAATGATGTTTCCTGCCAGAGTAATCCTGGAGCATCTCCTGCAGCAGCCGGTGCAGACTCTCCGACCTCAGCCACCCCAGTTTCTGCGCCTGCATCTCCCTCTCAGCCTGGCCTCCCCGAGGAGAAAAACAATTCCGCAAAACAAACACAGTTTGTTGCTGTAGACTTAACTCACTGCCAACCTGTACACATTCAGAAACAATTTCTATGTTAGATCAGTAGAGGAGCAATGGAAAAGAAGTTCCAGAACAGTACTCCTAATTATAGTTATAACGTATATTGACATCTGTATTGCAAATTACAAACCCCCTTTTTTCAGCTAGTGTTGCTTTGCGAGAAGGCCACCTTACCTTTTCCAGCTCTCTCTTCAGAGAGGCGGTCAGCCCAGTGCTGTCTATGCGCTGCGAGAGACTGGACAGCAGCCTGCAGAAGTGAGGGTTCTGGAACAGGTCCTCCTCAGTCACCTCGCACAGGGGGAAAGACCCCAGCACTGCGACACAAACAGCGGAGCACCGAGTAACTTTCAGAGAGGCGCCGACAGGCAGACGGCCCGCCTGGGGCAACACAACAAAACATTTTACAACACCAGCAGGCTGCTGGATCCATTTCCCAGGGTTTGTGGTTTTAATCAAGCTCCTTTTCATGACGTGCTTCATTCCAAAGCTTCTTCCACAACGCAGAGCTATAGTGCACAGTAAAAACAGTATGCAAAAAGTCCAGTCTAGACAGGTGAAATATTAAAAAAGGTAACAGCCTGAACCTCAGTTACAATGTCAATTTCAGAGAACCTGACATTACATTTCTATGAATTTTAGAAACTGCATAAAATGAATCCTCAATTGTGCACCGATATTAATGGCAACCTACTAAAAGTATTTCATGTATTCTTACTGTGAACGATTTTTCTTAATTAAAATAGACGGCGTTCACAATATATTTCTGAAGATGAGAAAACATCTGACCACGCAGTCACAAGTTGGACATTACCAAATAGGAATCTAGCTGTATTTCCATCCAGAACAATTCCTGCCGCTGAATGCAACAGAGCACGATTTCAGAATAAACGGATCTCAGCCTCTACCCGGCCTCCTAATGGTTCATCTTAGTTAGATCTACCACCCATTCATGTGGTACACAAAGACTGAATTTAATTCTTCATTTGCTTATGAGACCTCGCTGAGAGGCAGCTGTCGATGGCTTAACAACACATTCAATATCGAAAGGACATTCGCCCAAAAGCACCTGTGATAACAGTGCTCTGTTATAAGTGTGTCTGTGCTGGTTCAGAACACTTTCGGACACTTTTCTGTCGGGAAAAGAAAAGAAAATAAGTGCAGACGCTCACTGAAGGCTGCAAGAGGAAAATCGAATGCATTATTTGATCAAATGTAATTATTTTCATTACGTTTCCCTATAGGCAGACAACATGTGAATAGGTGTCTGGAATAGTCTGTGTAGTTAGAAAACGATATCCTGGCGACACCACTGTTTAGGGGTAGTTTGGTTTAGAGTCGACTCCAAATCGGGTAACAGATAGAGCTCTGTGCCTGCCCACTGACTCAGGGCCGAACAGAGAAACAGAAATAAAACAATTTGCTCCCCCACCAGTGAGCTCACTCACTCTCCCAGGAACCAGTTCTCCACTGGGGAAGGAGGGGCAGCTCTTGGGTGGACAGAGCGATTTCACCTACAAGTTACAGCCATGATAAGGTGGATCCAGCCTCAGCCCCAGCTCCGAGATCACTGCAGCGCAGGTGGCACAGTTTCTGCAAGAATGAGCACATGGGAAGGGCATACCTTGCTGGTGTAGGCCATCCCCTTTGGCCAGTGGAGGACTAGACACTGGATCGGGGCACAGAGCCATCTGGACCGCTCATTCAATATCCAAAGTCCTGAGAGGAAAAACAAACAGGGGGGAAATATCACTCACTGAATCTCCGCTCTGAGATAAGCATCCGAGGGCTTTGAGAGGAGCCATGACCAATGCTTAAGGGACGTTTCAAAATGTTTAACAGGTAAAACACAAATGCTAAAAAATCGTCAATGGAAAAGATGGAAAAGAGGACAAGACGTTGCATAGGAGGCTGGTCTTTCTTTTCTCATAAAGATCTTCGGTCACTACATACTTGTAAGTGCTGCTTAAGACTGATTGCCAGACAGCAACAGTGTTGAACTAGAGATCTTCATGACTGGAAACCACTGATACAAGGCAAGAACTGGTTCATTTAATATACCGTATTATTCCTGTCCGGCCTGACCTGGTGTAAGTGGATAAGTTAGCGAAAACACTGTTTTCTCCACCTTGGCCTTAGCTGTTCAGACGTGTAAGTTGATGTCAAAAAGCTGCAGGAAGACTGGAAATTACCAAGGGTCTGCAGCTCAGGAGCTCTTGGGTCTGCGATTTTTCCCTGCTGTTGGCCACGTCCTGGTCGCTTAAGACACCTCAAGAATGAAACACGTTAACATTATTCTTTAAGTATCGCGATAAGTATCAATGGGCTTAACTTTCATGGGCAACGCGATTTAATTTTACTACAAAAAGGAGAAATTAAAAAGCCCAACTGTCGCGGGTTCACAGCCTCTTTCGTGTTTTCACCACTATCCTGATCGAGATGAAATACTGTTGTAGATGTTGCACTCGCTGAGACGTCCTGGAACAAAATGTCAGAGGGCTCATTCTCACTCTTGCAGCGTTAAAGCACATTTCATCAAACAACGCACACCTACATTAATAACCTTGTCCCGACTGCAAAACCCAGTCGTCATAAAGCTCTACACCTAAACTAATCTACTCGTAAGAAGAAAAACTTAAAACAAATAGGGGATTGGAAGCTGCATTTTTTTTGGTGCGACTGCACACACAAACCTTCAGTTTCAACCATCTTAAGTAAAACATTTTTACAGAATTGCTCTTTTTTTCTATACTGTCTTTCAAAATAAACGATTGCACGCCAGAACAAGACATATGGCGCAGTTAAAATAAAGCAGCTCATTTCAACGCGCTAGTTGTACCCTACAAATTTCGCCCCACTTACCTAATCGGTATCCCAACAGAAATTCGGTATTTAGCGGGTTGCATAAAATGCAAGTACTTTTTATTAGAGATCTAACACACAAACCTCATAAAACCTCCTAACTGTCCGTCCAACCCATACCGCGCTCGGTCTCAAAACAGAGTATACCATCTGGCCCACAGCACTCGACTACAAGGGGTTAGTGCATAGACCCCAGGACAATACATATATAGGCGATATCTGTAATGCGCATGTGTAATGTCTTTCAGGAAATCTAGTTAGACATTATATGTGCAATAACACAAATAAAAAGGCATTTAAATTAGAGAAGCTCATGCGCTGCATAAATCACATCTTCCGGTTTCCCCTACGAGGAAGACGGATTTGGACGCTTCAAAAAACCGCCTACAGGAAAGCTCACTGTGCGCAGAGCATAGGGGTGTGATCAGTTGTTGTTAGTGGGCCGTGTCGATGTTACATTTAGGAACATATTATACGTGCTTGCTTGATTTTAAACATTTGACAGCATGTAATTTTTACCTAGAGAAATTCAGACTGTTTTCTTCGTGTTCCTTTCACTCCTGTTAGGAATCTTTACCCTACACCCCTCCAGAATAATAGCATGGCCCTAAGACTAGGGAGTGGTTTGGTTTCGTCATCTGACGTCACAGACACGGGGCGGGGGGGACATGGGAGTTTTCATTCATGAAATGAGTGTTTAACGTTTCAATGATTTCTTATGTCCGTTTTTACTTCATTTTGACATCCGATCTCCATCTATGAACTAAAAGCATAAATGCTGTCATCAGAAAAATACTTTCACCGAATTGGTCTTTTTTTTCCTTTTATTTATTTGATTACACGAAATTTCCAGCAGGTGTCCTCGGACTCCAGAAATTTCCCCTATGTACATCATCGTACTGCATAGGCAAGGGAAACTTGTTTTTCTTATTTTTGTTGTATTAGGTGTTACGTGTCATTAACACATAATATAAATACATAAATTATTTCTGAATTATCACCTTCACTGTACATCTGTTTGAATGTTTCCACTCTATAAAGTCAAAGTAAAAATAAATATTTTACTAAATTGATTAATTAAACTTTGACATTATAGAATACTTTGTGTTGAAGACAAACATTGAATGTCAAACATTGTCAGTTAAATACATCATGGTTCCAAGCTGTAACAATATAAAATGTGAAAAAGTCTAACGCAAGGTGAATACTTTTTATAGGCCCTGTATATAACGACGTCTCATGTTGATGAGCAGTATTTACAGCTGAATTATATTTAATAATAATAATATAATGTAATGTTTCTTTATTAGCCCTATACAATTTCTTGCATTAGGAATTTGTCTTTTCACATACCCCAGCTTTTTCTCCAAGGAGACACAGACACAGACAGAAGCTGGGGGTCAGAGCGCAGGGTCTGCCATTGTACGGCGCCCCTGGAGCAGTTGGGGTTAAGGGCCTTGCTCAGGGGCCCAACAGAGTAGGATTCCTCTGCCGGCCGCAGGATTTGAACCAGCAACCTTCCAGTCACAGGTGCAGATCCTTAGCCACAGAGCCACTGCTCCGCCCTAAAAAATATGGAACGCTTCACGAATTTGCGTGTCATCCTTGCGCAGGGGCCATGCTAATCTTCTCTGTATCGTTCCAATTTTAGTATATGTGCTGCCGAAGCAAGCTTCTTAATGACAAAGGTGTGTGAAAAAGCTCTGCAGTAAAATGGGTGTTTGAAGCAATTATCATACGGGCTTAAAGAAGAGAACAGAACCCTCTTCTTATGTGATCTGTAATCAAGAGGTATCTTATCTCACACCTTGATCACACACCTGACACATGCAAAAAAAGCATTGAAAAATCAGATAAATGATGTCCAATTCATAAACCCCATAAACCAGTCTGGAGAGTCATGTCATGCAGCATTCGATGGGTTCAATCAAGTCTGCCTTTCACTTGTATAGCACAAACTGAAATATGTATCATTGATTATGCCAGGAATCTACAAAAGAGTCCTATATAACACAGTCTTGTCAATGTCCAAGCAGTGTATGATCTTAGATCATGCACGTCTCTAGCGAATGTATGCATACATCGTGTTACGTATACATTAGAGTCCGTGATACAAGTCATTAAAAAACATTGCATTTCCTTGTGTGGAATACTGTGGGTGTTGTGTATTTCCTTGTAAGATTTTTTGTTTTCAAATGCATCTCAATCTTTTAATAAGAATATAACGTAGCTGGTGGTCACGGCACAACGTTTTGCTCATTTATGGACGGATGGAACACACAGTCAAGCCTGCAAGGTGGAAAACCGCGTTTTAAAATCTGAACAGAAAAGCTGTTTCACGCATAAAAGAGTAAATACACTCTGATATTATCCACATACCAGAGTGTTTCCTAGAACAAAATAAGAACATGTCCTGTAAGCCCATTGTAACCCCACTTTCCTCCAAATATGGTGAAATACAGTTCCGTGTCAAGCTGGAAATAAGTACAGAAAAAATAATTAACATAGAATGCAAAATTTACGCTCCACATTAGCTTACAATGGTCACAGGGGTCGTACAGCTGTTCGCGGCCTTTTGTAATAGGAAGAAACTTGAACAAATCGTTCAGTGGGACTTTTGCGTGCTCTTCTCCAAGAAGCAGAACCGCCCTTACTTGGCAGTGAGGTTGTTCTCGACATCTCCGAAATCGATGGCTGGTTTCCAGGATGGACTCGGAAGAGTTATCGACCCTGTTTGGCAAACGGCACAGGTTTCGCTTACCTCCTCAGAGTCTTTGCATAGGACACTGATCACAACAGCCAGATAAGCTGTAGGCTGTTAACGGGGTAGGTCTGCGCTAACTTATTTCTGCGCTCTGCTCTTGTGAAACGTTCCTCCCAGGATCACTGTGTCACGACCGCCAGCCAGCAGAGATCAACCCACGAAAGAGCTAACCGGTGCCAGCAGCGGGTTGATCGTGTTAACCCATCAGCGCGCAGCGCTATTTAAACCATCTGAACTCGTTTCTCGGTATTGATTCCTCTCCTAGAGAGCTCCTACCTCGCCTTGTGCGATGCTTCTTTCGGCTACTGAACCTCCTTTAGCTTTTTGACCACGAACTCGCCTCACGCTTTGGAGCGCACACCTGTCTCTGTATTATTCAGCTTCTGATCTTCCTTTTGCCTTTCGACCACGTTCGAGTAACGTTTTGGAGTGTACGCCCGTTTCAGTATCTTCCCTCTCCTTCGTCTGCCTAGGATCCTCAAATCTCATCCTTGGGATTTAAACCTTTAGGAGGGTCTCGCCGCTTGTACTTACGGAGGCCTTGTTGCGTGAGTCATCTGACAAGTTGTCTGCTTACCGGTATCAACTACATTAAGATGCACTCTGTGCCCATTTTTTGTCTTTGTTCCCTCAACAAACTCGAATCCTGGTATAGGCGACATTAAGTAGGAATGCCGTGTCAAGACTGGAATGACAGATGTCTTTGAAAATGTTTTGTCCGTTTGAGCGACTCAGTGCAACGCTTGAGCGCTGTATCCGCCCCAACTGAGGGACGCTGCTTCAAGCATATCCCTGAGTTGAAACGTTACCCCCCCCAATTCACCTGTATAACATCGAGATAATCCGATAAAACAACAGTTTTGGTAGAAACTCCCTTGATTAGCCGTGGAGCGTCTTTAAGAATCGAACAACAGACTTATTCCCCGTAGCTTTTATTAATGACTCTCCCCCCCAGAAAAGAGACAGACCGAGCACGTCTGTTGGACACCTGAGCCCCATATTCAATCAGCAATATCCTCAAGAGGCTGGCGGGTCACAACACAACACGCACAGTCACAATCCAACCGGTTTGGGATTCCTCTGAGAATAATGACGCTTTGATTGCACTCCATTTCGTGTGCAAGATCTGGTGGGTGATTCATCCCCGATGTGTCACTGATCCACGGAAGGAGAAACGTGTTGACGGGTGTTACCACGCAGGAATGCTCCCGGCATGGCCCGATCACGCACGTTCGCTCCCATCCATGAAACATTCACTGACGGTGCGTCCGGTAATGTTGAGTCACATCATGGAAATCACGAAGTAAACCTCATTCCGTGAAAATAAAAAGGTTCACATTCGTGGTTCTGTTATGGGTGTGCGCTTCCTCTTGCATTTGTGCTGCGAGAAACGCACACAATTCTTATTCTCAACTGTCTTTTTCAGTAGGAGTTTTGCATACTTCACAGGAACCTCATGTGCAACAACTGAAAAGGGGACATTGTTTGTCCCGCTAACTTAGCGAAGAAAGTTTAAATCCTTGTCAACCCACTTCTTGTTCAGAAGGAGCGAATGCCCTGTGATGCAACACGCCGCGTCTTCCCTGCAATTGCGCACCGAATCCTAGCCAGAGCGCCGTCAGATTGCGTCAGTGTCGTATTTTTCTCGTTCATTCCCCCTGTCGTCGCTGTGATGCTGGATCGGCAACACCATGGATCTGGAGAATTCATCCTGCCATTCCCCCTTACCTTGAATGGCGTGCTGGTTCAGTTCAAACTAAATGCATCGCCGGAACTACACAGCAAATGTCTTTGTAGCTGTGGACCTGCAGATGTCGTTTCGTGTGCTGTGCTACGCTATGCTATGCTATTGAATCCTAGTTTTTAAACGGCTCCCCACCCAAACCACCACTTTTCTGGAGAGCTTCTTCTAACCTTAGACAATTAATTACGGGGCGTGTACTGCAGACAGTAACACGGGTAACAGACTCAAGGCACCCGGTCACCAGGAACCGCGCAGGCGAGCATGTGCTCCGAAGCGAAACCGAGAGCGGGGAGAGTCGCTTCAGTCAGGTGGTGTGGTTACCGGCGTGGTTACAACTACTGTGTAGCACTCGGTGACCAGTAGAGTGAGCACAGCCTGAGCCCGGGTTACACAGCTGTGGGCTGGGGGCCTAGAGAGGAATATGATCGTGTCTGTGTGTAGTAAGACATGACCCCGGCCTGGGTTTCTATAGGGGGGAAACAGGTCAACAGGAGGAATACCGACATCACAGACTGTGGCAAAACTAATAATGCGGGGATCTTTTCCGCACTTAACCAAAGACCTTGTCTGCATGCCCTGTCATGCTACAGGGCTGCTGAATTTCAGTTGTGACAATAATGTGGCATTATCTGTCAAAGCGCTTTGAGTGGAGTGTCCAGAACAGTGCTATATAAGTGTAAGCAATTAATTATTATTATTATTATTATTATTATTATGATTATTATGCAAAGGAACAAGTAATAGGTTTATTCCCTGCTGAGAAGAGAAGAAAGGAAACACAACGTTTAGGTTGTGAAGCCTTCTTCGCATATTCGAATCCCACACCTGAAGAAGGCTTCACAGCCGAAACGTTGTGTTTTCTCTCTTTACTTTCCAGCATGGAATAAACCTATTACTTGTTCTACTGAGGATGAATACTTTATACACGAGCTTTCATAGCTAGTTTTTCCAATCATTGACATTTGCTTGCTAGATTGAAACTGGATGCTGGAATGTTGCTCCTGGGACAGCCTGAACTGCCGACAGAGAGAAAAAATACTTGCTTACATTACACCTGTCGGAATTGCAGCCGTGAAAGAAATCTCCAGAAACTGGCCGACGTCGGACAGACCTAGTGTTCAAATGTGGATGGTCTCTGTGAACGAAATACTATCAGATGGCGAACAATAACCACAGAATTAGAAACCACCAACACGTATTTGTACAAAGACGGTCAAAACGGGAAAGATATGTAGGGGCACTCTCCCAGTAATGGACTAGAAACGAAAGATGCAGCAATCAGAAATTGCATAGCAAGTAATTTCACACTTATTCTGATTTTCTACATGCCCCTTTCTTACTGTAGTTTCTTTTTGTTTTCGGTAGTGTGAAATAAGGAATAATGCTTTAACATAACTACAATAAAGGATAAAAAAAGACCCTTGCTGTCGCCCGAAATACACTGAGAATTTCACTCGGAAAGAAGGCCGTGTACCAGTTCAGGCCCGTTTTAAAAAATGATTTTTCGCAGCCTGCAGCGTGAATCTTCCAGAACCGCTGCGGGAACGAATCAAAGAAAGGCAGCGCACGGCGACCGGCAGCGCGGACAGCCAATCACACTCGGCCCCGGGACACCGGCACGTCCGCGATTGGGCCGCGGCGCTCTCGCAGCCGGCCAATGGCGGGGCCCGGGGGGGGGGGCGTGACTCTCCCGACGTCACCTGGCCAGGACGTGTTCGAATCGGGAGCAGCCAGCGTGCTCCTCGCAGCCAATGAAAACCCTCCAACGAGCTGCTCGCCGACCAATCGCTGGCCTCCACGACGGGGAAGCGGCGAAGGTTTATATAGCGGTGGCAGCGCAGCGCTGAGCATCACACTAACCTACTGACGGAGAGGAGCGAGTGTTTCAGATCCTAAAATCTGTGCGGAATTGCGTTTGGCCATTTTGTTGCCGACTGTGCGGGAGTCTTTCTTTACTCTTTCTACTTGAGGTACGTGTTATCTCTTTTTTTTTCTTTTTACTCCCCACTCCACTCTAATGCCGCTCTTGGTGTATTTAAAGCGATAAAATAGGAGTTGGTGGTGCTTGCGCTAGTAGGAGTGCAATTCTCTAGCCTAGCTGTCGCTGATGCATGTCTAACTGTGCCCGGTCGAAGAGAAACAGTCAGGATTTTGCTCGTTAAGAAGCGCGGCTGTGATCTCTGCACTAGGCGGTTGGTAGACAGAGAGGTGTGAGCGGAGGTCGGCGTGCAAACCGCGGGTGCTCATAACGCCTTTTCCACAGACCCCCACCTTTCCGATGGGGGGAATAAAGCTCTCGACGCGACTGGGTATGTGCATCTTCCCAGTTGCACGCAAGAGAGTTCATGCATTTTAAGCGAACGTGTAGTCCTCCCCCCCAAAAAAAGGGGTGTTGCATTTTGAAACGTGTCACGATAGCGAGCGGCCGCTTTTGTTTTCTTAAAAAACGCGGATCTGGTGGTAAACGCCGAGCTTTTAAATGTCTTAATGGAGGAGGATTGGGGGGGGGCGGCGGGTGGTGTTCATTTCCGTCTGATTTCGCCCCGCCGGACTGCGGGGTCCCCATGTCATTGATGCCTCGGACCGAGTATGTGAAGATCGGAAAGCCACCGCCTGCGGCTGTAAGGTCGTTTTCCGCTCGTTAACCGGAAACGTCTGGGTCTCCCGGCGTCGCCTTGTTGTGCGAGGAGGCGCCCCTGTCTCATTGAGGCGCAGAGATGCGCTCTCGCTCCCAGGCCTGGAGGCGGCACCGAGGTTTCGTTTCCTGTAGGGGGGGGGGGCTTCAGTTTGCGTCTTGGCATCACGATTGATGGTCCCAGTTGCCACGGAAAATCGTTGCAAGACATAACGGCGGTGCCTGTCGCTTGTGGAGACTGACCTCCTGTCCGTCTCTCGCAGGCGACCGCAGAGGGACGTACCGGTGAGCGGACGACGCCGAGGATGAAGAATCTGCTTGTGGTCCTGCTGGTTCTCGGCAGTGTGTTTGCCGATGATGAAGACAAGAAGGAGAGTGTGGGCACCGTTGTTGGCATTGATCTGGGCACCACTTACTCCTGGTAAGCCTGAGCTGAGTACTGTCTTCATTTGTAAGTAAATGACGAGGGGGGTGTCAGTCCTTGGCTGTGGTTAAGGAATTTTAGAAGATTATAATATACAATTTCTTGTATTAAGAAATTGCACTCCATGACACACACAGACAGGGAGAAAAGCTTGGGGGTCAGAGCGCAGGATCAGCCATTTATACGGCGCCCCTGGAGCAGCTGGGGTTAAGGGCCTTGTTCAGGGGCCAGACAGAGTAGGATTCCTCTGCCGGCCTTGGGATACGAACCGGCAACCTTCCAGCTTCAGGTGCAGATCCTGAGCCACTGCTCTGCCCATTTGCCCATTTGGGTCCCCATTTGCAGTGGGGACCCAAACAGGTGGGTTTTGAAATTCCACAGGTGACAGCAATGTGTTGTCACTGGCTTAAAACGCCTGACCTCTTTCTAGAAGAACTGTTAGAATCTGCTCCTAGTGCAGCTTCTGTACGGGCCCTGCTCGACGAGCTCTTCAGAGCAGTCTGGCAGTAGATACAGTACCCAGGGCCTGGTCTATACCATGTGAAACTTGGTTGCCGTTCCATGACTGTGGTCCCGTTTCAAACGAGCGTGGCTTGTGGCTTTTCCTTTGGGCAGCGTTGGCGTCTTCAAGAATGGCCGCGTGGAGATCATCGCCAACGACCAGGGCAACCGCATCACGCCCTCCTACGTGGCCTTCACCGCCGAGGGGGAGCGCCTGATCGGGGACGCCGCCAAGAACCAGCTGACCTCCAACCCCGAGAACACGGTCTTCGATGCCAAGCGTCTGATTGGCCGCACCTGGAACGATCCCACCGTTCAGCAGGACATCAAGTACCTGCCCTTCAAGGTAAAGGCACCCATGAATCGGACCGCTTCAGATGCGGGAAGACTATATACCTCTAAAGCTGGAGGCACTTGGGTTTTAAGAGTTCTCCTTTACCATCTTGCTAGTTTCTTTCCAGATAAAACCCGCCAAAGGCTTACGTTTTCCTGTGCCGACTGTTTATTACATGCTTACTGGCATCTTTATCAGGGGGACAGATGTGTGAGGAATTCTTTTTTTTTTTTCTTCCTGGTCATTAGGTGATTGAAAAGAAGAGCAAGCCCCACATCCAGGTGGATGTCGGTGGTCAGATGAAGACCTTCGCCCCAGAAGAGATCTCGGCCATGGTGCTCACCAAGATGAAGGAGACTGCCGAAGCCTACCTGGGCAAGAAGGTATGGAGATACCCAAGCTAAATGCAGCTCTGCAGGCGATCGAAACGGGCCAAGATGCCCAGGGAGGGATTTTGATGCGCTCTAACCTGCTCTTCCATGCCCACAGGTTACTCACGCCGTGGTCACTGTGCCAGCCTACTTCAACGATGCCCAGCGCCAGGCCACCAAGGACGCCGGGGTCATTGCTGGACTGAACGTGATGAGGATCATCAATGAGCCGTGAGTGTCCAGCAGTGCGACGCCTTCAGCTCTTAAGCAGATGTACAGATGGCTTTTATATCCAACTGCTACCATGCAAACAAGTGGAATTAGTTGCTACGGACTGGGATTTTGTTTTTGATCTTGTAATCGAACTCGTTTTTTTTGCCCGTTCTCTTCAGGACGGCCGCTGCCATTGCCTACGGCTTGGACAAGAAAGACGGGGAGAAGAACATCCTGGTCTTCGATCTGGGCGGCGGCACCTTCGACGTGTCCCTGCTGACCATCGACAACGGGGTCTTCGAGGTGGTGGCCACCAACGGGGACACCCACCTGGGCGGGGAGGACTTCGACCAGCGCGTGATGGAGCACTTCATCAAGCTGTACAAGAAGAAGACGGGGAAGGACGTGCGCAAGGACAACCGGGCCGTGCAGAAGCTGAGGCGCGAGGTGGAGAAGGCCAAGCGGGCCCTGTCTTCCCAGCATCAGGCTAGGATCGAGATCGAGTCCTTCTTTGAGGGGGAGGACTTCTCCGAAACGCTGACCCGGGCCAAGTTTGAAGAGCTCAACATGGTAAATCCTGCCTATTGAAGCGGGCTTAGGTGTCCTTTGATCGGGGAGTGTTGCATGGAATCTTGACTAAAGTACTTTGAGCTACAGGGAAGATCTTGGGTTTTTTAAAAAAGGTTTTTTATCTTGGGCAGGATCTCTTCCGCTCCACCATGAAGCCGGTCCAGAAGGTCCTGGAGGATGCCGACCTGAAGAAGTCGGACATCGACGAAATCGTGCTGGTGGGCGGCTCCACCCGCATTCCCAAGATCCAGCAGCTGGTGAAGGAGTTCTTCAACGGCAAGGAGCCCTCCCGGGGCATCAACCCGGACGAGGCTGTGGCTTATGGGGCTGCCGTGCAGGCTGGCGTACTGTCGGGAGAGGAGGACACAGGTGCGTCTCGGCTTCACTGCGCCTCGAAACCAATTCAAGAGCTTGCATCTAGTTGGCGTTTTATACCCATTGTTCTACCCAATTGGGGGACATCTAACTGGTCAGCATTATCCACTGCTCATCCAAGTCCTCCTATGTCCTAATATTTCAACGCTGTCCGAGTCTGTGACCGGTGGGGAATGAATGCGTTCTTGTGTTTTGCCCAGGTGATCTGGTCCTTCTGGACGTGTGCCCTCTGACCCTTGGCATTGAGACCGTTGGTGGCGTCATGACCAAGCTGATTCCCAGGAACACCGTCGTGCCCACCAAGAAATCTCAGATCTTCTCCACAGCCTCCGACAACCAGCCCACCGTCACGATCAAGGTGTACGAAGGTGAGTCCTGTTCTGCACACATCTAAAAACGTGGTTATGTCATCTTGAGATGCTTTATTTTTAATAATGGGTCCTGAACAGGAAGTTGCATCAAACCTTCCTTAAATATTGATCCTACAGGATGCATGAATACTGATCAAATGATTCCTTCAAAGTTGATGCTTTGTCACAGAGCATAGTCTAGACTGTGCAAGATCCTGACTACTTTGCTTTGTCCAGGTGAGCGCCCCCTGACCAAAGACAACCACCTGCTTGGGACCTTTGACCTGACCGGCATCCCCCCTGCGCCCCGCGGCGTCCCCCAAATCGAGGTCACCTTCGAGATCGACGTCAACGGCATCCTGCGGGTCACGGCCGAGGACAAGGGCACCGGCAACAAGAACAAGATCACCATCACCAACGACCAGAACCGGCTGACCCCCGAGGACATCGAGCGCATGGTCAACGACGCCGAGCGCTTCGCCGAGGAGGACAAGAAGCTGAAGGAGCGCATCGACGCCCGCAACGAGCTGGAGAGCTACGCCTACTCGCTGAAGAACCAGGTCGGGGACAAGGAGAAGCTGGGAGGCAAGCTGTCGGCAGAGGACAAGGAGGCCATCGAGAAGGCGGTGGAGGAGAAGATCGAGTGGCTGGAGAGCCACCAGGACGCGGAGCTGGAGGACTTCCAGGCCAAGAAGAAGGAGCTGGAGGAGATCGTGCAGCCCATCGTCAGCAAGCTGTACGGCGGCGCCGGCGGACCCCCTCCTGAGGGGGGCGACGAAGAGCCGTCGGACAAGGATGAGTTGTAGAGCTCCGCCTGGGGGAGGTACGGTGTACATATTGGACTCCTTGAACTGTTGCAAGGAAAACGAAATCTCCTGGGAAAGACTTTTTAAAGCGGAAGCGAGCGGATGTCCTGTATTTTCTTCACTGCGAAGTGGAGTTTAAAAAAACAAAACGAAAAGCCCTAGCCCGTCTGGGCTGGCTGCTGCTGTTCTTTGGCAGTTTCTGACTTAGGATTTATTTTGTTCTTCGGGGGGGGTGGGAGTGAGGTGTTGATGGGGCTCGACGCGTTCACAAATTCTGAAAGTTATTTATTTGAGATTTGGTCGTTCTGGGTGACGTAGAAAAGCTTTCTACTGTACAAAATACCTTGAATAAACAAATGGTAAGTTTGATACGAATACCTGTCTGGCTCTATTCTTGCACTTCATCTCAGTAGTCAAGAATGACGAATGCCTTGGGCGTTATAAAAAGTGACACTTGAGTGGTTCAAATCTCTTCAGTTTGAAAGCTGCTTATATTCAGTGTGGTTTCTTCATACCTGAGATTGTTAAATGTGGATTTTTATTTTGATAAGAAGTATGTCTGGCGTTTACTGGGGGAAAGCTGCAGTAATGGGACCCATCCTCATCATTCCTGCTTGCAGGAGTAGACGCGCAACGTGTGAACTAAAAAAATATTTCATCCAGGAACACTACTTCTGACCAGGTTGAATAGGGGAGGCAGGGAACTCATTGAGAAGGAAAATTCAAACTCAAGGACTTCTCTGAAAAACCAGTTTTCTTCAGAGAACTGGTGTGTGTATGTATAGAAATGCCTTCTACATTTTTCTGATGGAAATGTGAAACACTGCAGATTTGAGTTATAGATTCTCCCTAAATCTTTCACACCTGTGTATCCTTTAAATATGATTCAACATGTATAACATTCTGCCCTTTGCAATAGAGGACTGAAGTTTACTGTGGTATAAAGAGGTAATTCAACAGGGCTGACGAACCTGATTCATGGAGGCTCTTCGGCTTTGTTTAAACAAGTAGTTTAACCTCAACCATCCATCCACTTCTTCCAAACCAGCGAGCAGGAGCCTCTCCCAGCAAGCAATGGGTACAAGCGCAGGATACACCCTGGATGGGACACCAGTCCATCCCAGAGCAGCCATACAGACATGCCCACACTCACACTGGAGCCAGTATTCCTAGAAGCCAATTCACCTACCAGTATGTGGAAGGAAATGTGAATGTGGGGGGGGACATGCAAACTCCACACAGACAGCACCCCCTAAAGAATTGAACCCAGGACCTGGGTGCTGCAGGACAGCACTGCTACGCATTCTGCTGCTTGTCAGATAATCTTTTTCTTACTTAGACAAGTCTAAACAGACTTAATGAGGTTTGAGGTTTTTAATAGTTGATTTTTTTGCAGTAAAGCACATCAATAAAATGACTTAAACCTGAGAACTGGTTTCTCACCCTGAACCATGATGACCACACCTGTCCTGATTCTCATTCCAGTTTAGCTTAATTGCCTTATTGACGCTTAAACTGAGCTAATAAGTTTGGGTGGGTTTATGAGTTTTGTTTTGCTCACAAATCTGGGATTTTAGGTTACTTGTCAAATGGACCTGACCTTTTTTTGTTGCAACATGTTTAAGACAATTAAACCTATTAAGCCAACTAAGGGTCGGAACAACAATTGGCAAGTGTTTGGGCCTGCACGTGTAGAATTGGGAATTGCTGACAAGTATGTTGATGAAATAAGTAAACCAAGGATATAACTGCACTGCAAGAAACCCAGGAGACTCCAAGAAGCATCACAATGGCGAAGGTCACTGCTGGGTAATGGTCATCGATCTCCACAGGTTGGTAATGACTAGAGAAGAATCCAGAAAATACTGAATCCAAATCTTTCTACTGAGTCCATCTACAGAAATGTAAACTAACATACCTCTAACGGGATGCAAGTGGATCTTGCCACCACAAGCTATAAACCAAAGGATCTGAACAATTTACATTAGAGCAATATGCATTGTAAAATGTTCATAACTGCCCTCTGACCTTAATTCAGAAAGTTCATAGTCCACAATTACACTATTAAGCAGCTGTATGTACTCCTTGCAGCCTCCATTTTAATGTAAATAGTTTTTCTAGAAGAAAAACTAGTCGTGTTATGACCACTGGGTGCTCATCTTTCTCTGATTTTGCTTTAAATGCTACAGTTTCACACCTGAGAGAGGAGGTGTGGTCTTGATGTTCCACATGAATAGGAGGAATTTCCTGGTATTTCCCTATATACGAATTGTCAAATCATCACATAGTAGCCTTTACAGGAGTTTGTCTCTGTGGTTTTGTCTGCTTGTGCTCATTAATGGACTAAAACTGTGATGCTTTCTTGACATGTTCACGGTGCCTCTTGCGTCTGACTTTCTCCTTTTCTCTTTCATTTTGAATTTGTTATTTTGTTTCATGTAAATAGGGAATAGAGAGAGTAGCAAGATAGTTTGTGGAAGATTTCCCATCAGGGGACGTTCGTTGTTTCTTGAGCCAGGTCAGAGTGCTGGAGTATGTTTGGACAAAAGCGTGTAGTTTTGTGTTTTTGTTTGGAGAAAAGCAGTAAAGGTCTGTGTTTGTTTTGTTTGTAAAACTGTTTGTTGTTTCTTTTCTGTTGCAGCTTTTGTTGTATTCAAGATATAACGTACGTATAATGATATAAAACTGGGGCTTGGGCCACAACACAAGTTCTTGAGCTCTGGGGTGCTACAATTAGACTTTTCCTGCGCCATGCTGCGTATCTGTTCCGACATACACTCCTCTTAACCTTCCTTGGTATCTAATACAGGGCTTTATTTTTATCCTTGGGGGCGGTAATCACAAATTACAGAACAAACTGGGTCAGTTCTGAAATTCCTTTATGGAACTGAGACTTTCTACTGACTAAGAACAGCCACAGCACAGTCGTTATAAATGTTCCCCTCGGTGTCCATGCCCCCGAAAACAAAACACAGATGAACAAACTCCCCTGGGCTGGAAAGGCTGCTGTTCTCCTCCTGCTGTCTTCTGGGTAAGCTTTCTGCCGGGTCGTCTTTGTCTCCACCGCCACCTGTGTCTGCCAGCGCCCTTGAGACGTCACCGCTGGCTCTCAGGCGCCAGGGAACGACACACATGGAGTGGTCCAGGCGTTTCGAGGGCAGGGCTCCGCCGAACGTGACAAGGGTCCAGCGCTGCCGGTCTGCTCAGGGAGAGAAGAAGCCCCACACGTCACCCTTCGGATGAGAAGGAAAACCGAGGTCCCGACTCTCTGCGGTCATTAAAAATCCCAGGATGTTTCTCGAAAAGAGTATCCCGGCATCCTGGCCAAATTTCCCCCTGGCCTTTACCAGTCATGGCCTCCTAATAATCCCCATCTCTGAATCGGCTTCATCACTCTGTTCTCCTCCCCACTGAGAGCTGGTGTGTGGGGAGCAGACTTGCGCATCATCCAGATGGTGCTGCACATTGGTGGTGGGAGTGGGATTTTCCATTACCTGTAAAGCACTTTGAGTGGAGTGTCCAGGAAAGTGTTATATAAGTGTAAGCTATTATTATAATAATAACCTCAGATGACCTGTATTTCTCAGCCGTAGAGTCGGAGGACAAAAACTGAGGAATGAAGACTACTGGACAAGTCGAAGTTAACTCAAGATTCTTTGAAAGGGAAAGGGAACGGGATCGTTCGGCGCGTCCGTCTTACCGATGTGGAACTTGTACATGGAGTTGACGGCCCCGGCCGCGGTCATGCCCCCGAAGATGTAGATGACTTTTCCCAGGGCGGCCGCAGAGTGGGCCGCACAGCCAGGGGGCACGTCTCCCTTCGTTCTCACCCTCTCCCATCTCATGTCCGCTGGAAGACAGGCCGCAAAAACACAAGCCCTCAGTCCCAGGCTGACCGGCATACAGCTCGCAATCAGAACAGATCGTAGCGGGGCGTGTTCAGTGTGGGGCCCTGGATTAAGCTAGTGAAGGACGAGCCGCAGCTGTGTGGGGCCCTTTGGGACACACTGAGCTCCTCCCCGCAAGGGGAGAACCTTCCAGCGATAGCCCCGGAGGGGGTTGTGGGGGGAGCGTTGTCCTTTTATTTTCTCCTTTGGCTGCAAGGATTCACCAGGGCAGGTTGAGTTTTCTTCTGTTTTTGGCCTGGCTCTTTTTTCTTCAATCTGGACCCCGCTAAACAGAGATAATCCAGGCTGGATCCCACCGTTCAAAGCAAATAAGTTTCCCCCCCTAGACAGGACCCCGATAAACAGGGACAGTGCAGCCTGGAACCTGGACGCCACTGTGCAAGGCAGCATATTTTACTTCTTGCTTTTGGTTTTTCCCCCTTTATGGGTGTTTTTTTTCCCCCCAGTTTACGCTAACGTCACACCAGTGCCCCTGGTGTTCGCTGCGGCCGCTCCCCCTCCCACAGTGTTACAACGGAGAAAAAAACACCCTGCTTCGAATGATACAGCCTAAAAGCCGAAACACAATGACATGTCTCGGCTCTACATACAAAAACAGCCGTGTGGACGCCCCTGAAATAAGACATCATGTGCAGCACAGCTCCTGCTGGTCCTACAAACAGCTCAACAAGCAGTCCGGCTGGATCGCACTTACTGGTGTCGATGCAGTGCAGGTCACTGTGGAGCGCCTCTCCAGCTAAGCCGCCGTGAATGTAGAGCTTGGAGCCGACAGAAACTATAACGTGGCCGTGTCTTGGGGAGGGTGGTTTGCCCTGAGTTTGTGGCTGAGACCACGTCAGAGATGCTGCAACAGAAAAAGCGCCCCCACCAGTGAGAAGGGGGAGAATTACTTTGAACAGACAAGAAAACTGGTGTGTTCATTAAAAATCCCAGGGCGTTTCTCGAAAAGAGTAGGGGTGTTACCCCGGCTTCCTGGCCACATTTCCCCCTGGCCTCCTAATAATCCCCATCTCTGAATTGGCTTCATCACTCTGTTCTCCTCCCCACTGAGAGCTGGTGTGTGGGGAGAGTACTGGGGCACTATGGCTGCCGTCGCATCATCCAGGTGGGGCTGCACATTGGTGGTGGAGGGGATCCCCATCACCTGTAAAGCGCTTTGAGTGGAGTCTCCAGAAAAGCGCTATAGAAGTGTCAGGAACTTTCATTATTGTATAATATTAAAATGTCTCTATATTTAAATGTGTGGCCAAGAACTGTGCTTGCTCCTCATTTTCTGAATATGAAAAGGTTTTAAGCCTTTCGCTTAAATGCAGTTTTGGTTTCGTGTTAGACACTGGGGAAAAAAAAGGAAGTACAAGAAATATCGCAATGGAGGAAAAAATCTTGATGGACATCTAGTGTGTACTATACTATATAATCCAAAGAGCGTTTTGGGGTTCCAGATATTGAAATATATCGAACCTCCTTTTACAGCTGGTGACACAGAGCTGGTCAGATCTGGGCTGGTCAGATAACGCCCATCAAAATCCCGTTACTCCGACACACCTGAGTCGAAGACGTGAAGCTGGGAGTCTGAGACAGGTGCAGCTCCCTGGTCCCCTCCGGAGAAGACATACAGCCTGTCCCCGATGCAGGCAGAACAAGTATGATAGGTCCGAGCCGAGGGAGGTGTCCCACAGACTTTCACACTCCTCCATGAACCTGCCTCTGGACACAGGAACAGGGGAGACAGGTGTCACACAGGGAAGACAGGTGTCACACAGGGGAGACAGGTGTCACACAGGGGCTACTCAGAAAATTCCAACCTAGGCTGAAGCAGCATGGAGCTGTGTTTCAGATCCCTCAATCTTTCTGCATCAGAAACAAACAGGCGTTCAAACACCTAGCTGATCACCCTGTGGTTTCTCCTGGATTCTCCAGGCTCCGTCTGGACTTTCATCAGGACAAGTCCCTCCAACAGCACAAGCTCAGGCTGTCGAGTGGAAAACGCGCTCTGTACGTTACCGCTGTTCTGCCCCTCTTGCATCTGAATATATAGGTAAATACAGCTGAAAAATTGACTTTAACACAAAAGATGCGACCGGTTTTCTAAAAAAAAGTCCTTTATCTATTCATGTCCTTGACTGCTCGATATAAGCGCCCATCAAACCCAAAACCTTCTCGTTCATTCTGTTCTTAGTTTTAGTGCCTCACACACCCTATTCTTGATTATTAATGAGTTCTTAATAACTTGATTATTATTCCCTCTGCATACTAATGGCTGGGCCCCCTGACTAGCTCTGCTGGTAGAGCATGAGACTCATAATCCCAGGGTAGTGGGTTTGTGTCCCACCTCGGACGCCAGGTCCTCCACGTTGGAGGTTGTGCACAAGGCTAACAGCCCTGTCCTGTAAAAGACTAATGTTACAGAAACAACAACAGGATGTTGCTGCCTCTACGTGCAAACATCCACACTAATCGCTATAACTGCAGTAATAATGCAGCTACTTAACTGTCAGAGAGAATTGAACTGGAGCTGTTCCCAGGCTTGGTACCAAAGTGCTTTTACCCATCTGTAACTCTTGCACGCAGCTACGGTTGCCATTCTGCTCCGCCCCTCCAAACACCCAGAGGCTGCCAGGTCTGCTCTGGGGGACGAAGCTGCAGTGCTCGTATCTGGGCAGCAAGCCCTCCCAGTCCGGCATGTCCCACTCGTGGGCACCTGTCCCACGGATGAATTGAAAAATGAAATGTCAACGTCTTCAGATTGTCTCCTGTCGCTGGGGAAGCTCTGCTTTGTTTTTTTTCTGCACAATCATGCCATTTCAAAAGATTATGAGAACCGCTTTCCTATCAAGGGCCACAAAGCGACCTTTCAGTTTCCGTTCACCGAGCGCTATAAAACAGGACACGCACGGAAACTGTGTGCATAAACACTGCACCTCGAAGTCAGCCTAGGAGTTGCTGTATGGTGCAATAGCAAACTAGCGCCTCAGTTATTCGTTTTACAAGCCAGCATCTGTAATCTATGAAAAGAAAGGTATAATACTGGCAAAGGTATGCCTTGGGCTTAATCAAGTCTTTATTTCTTACAGTGACTGACTGGGACACAGATATTTAAACCCCCCACCCTAGAACCCTAAGCTAGATTCATTGAGATCTCTTGATATCTAGACCAAGCTCAAAACATGCAGTGTCTATAGCATAGAACTGCCGCCTTTCAAATGTCCCCTAACCAGGTTTCAGGATGAGAATCCTACCCAGATCGATGATGTAGGAATCTGAAAAGCTTCCATTGGGATTGGCTCCTCCAACAATGAGAATCTTCCCTTTGTGTCCATCTTTCCCGGGAATGTAGGTGCAGGTGTGGCCAACCCTCTCGCCCGGCCCCTCCCCTGCGGGCACCAGGGCATACCTAGACCCGGAGACACCACATGCGACACCGCCATCGTCACAAGGAGCTGCTTTCTCATTACAAACACACAGGTTGGCGAAACCCTGCTTCAGAGCTTTGCCAGGTATGAGCTCAGTAGAGACAATTCCTTGAAATGTAAAAAAAAAAAGTCAGGATTATGTTTAAACTGTTGGATTCTCCTGACTGCTTAAACCGAAAATAGAGGCTGTACAGTTTCAGACAGATGTAATATTCATAAACTATAGGAATCTGATTATATACCACCATGTGGATTTTCATTTTCATTAACCAACGAAATGTTACCTAATAATCTGTGGCAGATTATTATCCTTATCCTTACTGAATAACAATAAAAAATAATCTGACTTGACTTCTTACTGGAAACAGTATATACTCGTTGTGTTTTACCTGCAAACGAGCTCAGAGTTCAGTATGCTTTTGTTTGAATACCTACCAGCGGATTTTATGCACTGACACAACGTCATTTACCATAAACCCTAGAATCTCCGAGACCAGGTAAGGTTGTGACTGACCAGGTTGATTCTTGTGGCTTGTCTTCAGGCTCCAGTACTTGAAGTAGCTCCATTAATCTGGAAACACGGTGCTAGCTCTTCACGCAAAGGAAATCGCACAAGCAGCCCACCTAAACATGCAGAAGGCACGTGTATCAGCCTAAAGCATGTGTTGGTTTCAAACTTCATTCAAGGTACTTAAATCTCCGTGCACAATTCATAAGGTTTCATTTAACGAGTGATGGAGTATTGAACTGAAATAACTTTTTTTTTTTAATGATACTACTTATATCTGTAAGATAGACACCTCACCGTCACAAAGAGGTTTCGGCTAAATTCAATCCGCACTGACGTTTAATGTCACACGTCCGTCCTCCTCGATTTCTTTATTCTCCAAGTATAGAGGTATAGTTATCGGCATACGCTGAAACATTTTGATAAAGTACATCATGCCATGCACACAGCAGATCCGTTGTGTGCCTGATTATAATGTACAACAGCAAACCTACCATCCTCCGTCTAAATCGCGTTGTTAACACTGAAGCGTCTGCGGAAATATCTGGCTGCAAGCTGTAAGTCTATCCGTTCCGGACATGCTAACACGTAGTAAAACGGTCGAGCCTAACAAACCACCCGCACTTCCATCCGATTTAAATTTTGTCACATATAAATTACGTCTATAGCATCATCAACACTTACGCCGCAGTTCCAGGCGCTGTTGCCACCACACGCCGTGCACTTTCACCTTTGCCCTTTGCACTCCCATGCAGAGCCAATGGGATGAGACATTCAGGAAACCATGGATACGCCAACAAGCTTCCTTAGAGTGACGTCGACGTACTGGAGGTGGTTGCTGCTGGCTGTTGTAAATTCAGTGTTATATACTCCACTCCCGAGACTGAAGGTAGTCTCTGCTGTAGGTTTACGCACAGGACACGCAAAGCACATTGATATTCGTGTATGTATGGCCATATAAAATATTTTCTCATGCATCTGTCATTTTTTTCCCCGAATCGCAAAATAGGCAAGAACCTAAAAATCTACAATAAAAAAAAGTAGTCAACACTCAACACAACAGGCGTGGCGTTGCGGTGCCGAGCGCCAGTGATTCATCACAGCTCATAAAACCCCATGAAAGGGCAGGAGGCAGTGAAAAGGGGGTAAAGACCTCCCCCTGCCGGACAGCACGGCGAACTGCAGCTGCCCCCTTCGGCCCTGGGACGTCCTGCGGAGGAGGCCGGCGGCGGTGACCTTCATCGTGGACCAAGCAGGAGAAACCGTCAAACCGAGGCGTCTCCGCCGCTTGTGAAGAGTTTTGTTTCTGTGTTTTCGTTCTAACTTAATGCCACGTTTACGTGACGTAATAAAGTCTCATTATGACCCTCGCTTGTGGTATCAGTTTAAATATTTCTATTGCATTGCACCACCGGGTAACAACAGCAAATACCTTTCTCACATAGTTGGGCGCTTACTGTAATTATACGATTTCCGCGTTAAAAATGAGCTTACAAATCGTCATTCTGTGAAGCAAGATGGTTTTGTTGTTTTTCCATTAACAATAGCATAATCTGGGACATTCGATGAAATTTGAACAGTCCAGCTGCAATAAAAAACAGAAGAAACCCATGCTCTAGGAAACAATTAATTTACCCCCGTTGGTGTATGCGGCCTCTTGTGTTTTTGTCATCTTGCCTATGACAAAACGGAACAGTTCACAATTGGAAAGGGATGTTGAAGAAAAAGGAATATCATCTTGGAGATGTGGTGTGGTCTGTGGTTGGTCTGAACTAGGTAAAGTCACATTTATAGCACAACAACAATTTGTACATCCTCAAAACTAGGTGGAATGTGATAAATAGACCCACGGGTAATAGGAAATTGTCGTTCTTCATTATTGTTCTGCTTTCTTGTAATCCTATTGCTGTTTTTATATCACTTCCTCCTTGCAAATTGACACAGAGCTGTGCACTGCTAGACAGGAAAAAGTCTCATTCCTGACACAAAAATAAATTGTGCCTCTCCAAAAGTAGTTCAAATCTGTTCTACAGACCCCCAGCTAACAGTATATAACCATGGTTTTGCCAGATGAGCGTCCTTTGCCAATGTTGCTGGAGTTTATAGGGGTCTTTTAGTGGCCGATACTAGATTTTTCTTGAAGGGCATTGTTAACACTTCACCGGTGGATCATCCTTTCTGGTTTTAAATAAAGCGTCAATTTCACAGGTGTTCTGTATCAAAACACTGCGGATTTTCTGTTCAATCAGATCAGCTTTCATTATTTTGAGTTTAGAACTACTCAGACAGCATTCAAATGCTGCTTCAGCTTTCTGGCCTATCATCCTGTGGACACATACATTCTGCACAGCACAGGGGGAAGGAAAAACCTCATTTAACTGCAAGAAAACCTCCAGGAGTCCAGGGCTTGGGAGTCCAATTTTGGATCATAGCTGTTCCGTGAGAAATTCTCTAATATTAGATGCTATGTCAAAATATACCTGGTTCGGTACCTACGGGCATTTTTGGAAATCTGAATAGCTTTAGATCCCAGAAGGGTCTTGAAAGTCTTGTGCAGGTAAGGCTGTCTGTTTGTCTGAACTGTTGCAAGAGGGAAGCTGCCTCAGGGCACAGGGTGAGAAGCGTGAACCTAGCTACACCAAGCGACACGAATGATCCGGAAGCGTATGTAAATAGCCGAATTTCAATCAAAATTACTGCAGATTACCGCACCCGGCTGCTGCTAAATCAGATGGAGAAAAATGACTGCAAGTGCCTGGCCAAAACACAGCGGAAGTGACGTTTTACCTCTTCCCTTTCGCAGGCTGTAACAGTTGTTGTTCCTAAAATGGCGCCGCTGGATCTAGATAAGTATGTGGAGATCGCAAGACAGTGCAAATACCTCCCAGAAAACGACTTAAAGGTGAGAGGATAACTATTTTGTCGGGAGCTGAATTACGCTAATATTGCACCGCTTTTAAATCGAGCTTGGACTTTTGTACATGGGGGGCATTATAGATGAGGATAGGATATAGGGTATGCCTGATAGCTAACAGTTATTCCCTTCCACCGTAGAGGAATCAAAACTAAATCTTTACACATGCTTTTCACTGCAGAAATGTGTGTCTGAGGATAAATGGGTAAAACAGTCATGCGGAAGGGAAGCCGGGCACAGACCGGAAGAAGACAGGGCAAAAAAACACAGTAACGAGGAATTGCCGAAACATGCTGAGAAAAACACGGCGCGTATTTGTCCATTAACAAATGACTAGGTAAAAAAAAATCATGGTTTAGTCTCGAACGTACAATTCTGTTCAGGTCCCGAAAGGAGAGTAGTACATAGTGCACGGTATTGCAAAATGTTCCTGGATAGACTATTGAACTGCACTGTCAGGTGTATGGACAGCCAACGAGTTTCCTAGTCCTTATGTTGGAAAATATGACATTGTTTCTTTAAGTAACGCTTATCAATAATTATCAAATAGTTCTGAATTTAAAACCTATTAAATCGGCATTAAAAATGTTTACTCCGCTACTGTTTGAAGCCACGAAATAACTTAATAGTACAAGACTGAAGTTTTGTTAACCATGTACTTGAGTTCCTTTTCACCTCCTAGTGTCAGGGTTAAAAAAACAGTTAAAAACATAGATGTAGTCCACCACCCGGTTCTTGTCACACTGTGACAACTCCAATTTTGTAAGAATAGTAAAAAAAAATATCTTAATTTCTTCATTCACATTCAAATTGAATGTGGATTAATACTTTAGTTAGATTAGATATGTTAAAACAATAGTTGAAACTTTTGGATACCTAGATTTCAACTAGATATTCTCAGAGAAACAGCAGAGGAGCCCAAGAAACTGTGGGTTGTGAATTGGCTGTTTTAAAAGATTATATGTTGTAATTAATAGCAAATTTTAGCCTAATATTGTATATGAATTTGATGTTGTGCCTGAACAGGGGTTCTCTTGTGAGAAACCCTGCTTGAAAGCAACTCTCTCCTCCCAGAAAGTCAGAATGTGCTGTCTTTAAACAGAACGTTCATTTTTGACTGCCTCGGTCAGGGCCAGGAATGTTAAAAGGGCGTGGGTTTCTATAATGTTAGCTGATGATATTCCTTTAGTAATTTGTAAGTGTGCTTTTTACTCTTTATCATCGGCAGTTCCATCAGATACCGAATGTTTACAAAGAGTGTTGTAAAATACCACAGGAGAGAATTTGTTCAGGCTTCAAAGAGACGTCTATGATACTGTGTTAAACTTCCAGCTTTAAGTTTTTTAGGACTACTTTTAGAAACATTTTAATGAGGTTAATTTATGATGTCTAGATCACTTTCACGGTTTCATGAGTATTTTTTTTCCCATAAAACCTTTCATGCCAAAACATTTCCAAAACGCTTTCGGAGAGTAATTTGCTGTGCCTAATTTTTCAAATTGTACTTTTGTTTAAAAAAAAAAATTAGAACCTTCTTGTAAATGCTTGAGGTTGAAAGCGTTTTGCAGTGGTTTGAAAGGAGTTTGCCCATTAGAGAAGACCCTGTTCATGCAGTGAACTGATAGTGGGGTGGGTCTGTGTTTTCCTTTTTTAATGCAAGACAGCACAGTAAAAGTGATAGTAAAAGCAATGGTGATTAAAATTGTAGCAAAATGGTAAAATGGGCAGTTAAGTCATCCAGATGTCCAGGTTTAATGCGGTTTCCTTTTCTTCCCTCTAGCGATTATGTGACTATGTCTGTGACCTTTTACTTGAAGAATCAAATGTCCAGCCCGTGTCCACCCCAGTGACAGTCTGCGGAGACATACATGGCCAGGTACTGTCACGCCCTGCTTCAGAATCCTTCAGTTCGGCATCACTGTTGGGGAAATTGCATTGCTATGTCTTCTTTGCTGATGGACGAAACCTCATGCGTGGGTTGACATCTCAACATCTGAATCCGATTCGGTCGAACCCGGGATCACAGCCCGAATCTGACACACTGCAGGATCTCTGGTCTGCACTCCTGCTGAGCTCTTCATTTCAAAATCAACCCTGTTATTTGCTAGTCTGGATTAGTGTGAACTTTGGTTTCCAAGTGCTTTAAAAACCTAAAGAAGTGGAAATCTCTCAGACAAAGGTTGGAGATCGCTGAAGTACTGTCTTTGGTAGGCCTTAGATAACGCAGTACTCTGCAGCCCCTGTTGAAGATATTCCACCAATTGCAGCTCGCTCACATTTTCAAAGGTTAATTACAATTATTTGTTGTATGTATGGTCTCAGTCCTGCCTGCGTCACTTAGCTGCTTGATCAGTATTTGCCCTTATCAACATTTTCTGCGCCGACTTTGGAAAGTCCTCATCTCAGGTGTTTTTTGTTCTGTCTTTCCTTGAGTGTTTTTAAATAGGGATATTGCGCAAACAAGCTTTATGCCTTGGAGCAAAAGGCACTGTTCAGGGCAATGATGAGCTGCGTAATTATTGTATGTGCTTTTGAAGGTGGTTTGTGTGACCAGGGCCTGCTTCTCTAGTTCCATCACATTGTGGTCTCCTGCTTGACACCCAACATGACTTTGGGATCTGGGGATCAAATCTTTGCCCAGAATTTCATCACACTGCCATCTGCCTCTCATTATACTCAGTTTCACTGCACTCCAGGCTTAAATGTATTTATTTTTGGATGTTTATAGCATTTTGGGGAAATTTTGTAAGGGGGATTTTTCAAATGGTTGTGTTAAATTGAAGCTAGTTAAATATGCAGTAGGAGCTTCTCTTGCTTTTGCAGTTTCTTCAGTGGTATTTTGCACCTGTGTTATACAGGCATTTTTCTTTGTTTATAAGGGGATTGTAAACTGGTGTTTAAAGCTTCCACTGAGTCTCAGCTGACAAGTAAGAGCAGGTTTCACAGCTGATTCCACAATCCACACATTAGCCTTTATGCATAACGAGGAATGAGCTAATTAGGAAAAGTAACAGATTTTGACTTGACTACAGCTCTTGGCTGCTGCTCATTGAATTCCAAAGCTGTTCTGTTGAGTGTGTAAACATGCTCTCGCAGATTATTTTCAGATAGGAATAATGCTAACAGATTTCTTGCTTACAAACAGAAGTAAAATTGGTGGCAGGCTTTTTGTCCTGAATGCTTTTTCTTTACATG